CAACAAGGATATATGAAATTGTATCAAACTCTTGTGTTTCTTCTGTATCTACCGACAAAAAATTCCAGCTTTTCCCTCGAATTTCTTCTCAAAACCCAAAAAAAAAGAAGATCCATCTCTCATTCTTTCACTTTATATTTTATGAGACGATTTCTTTCCAGCTTTTCTGCACCTGCAAGCAGTCAAAATCAATCGTTTCTCTAGGAAAAATCATATATATTTGAGTGGGGGAGAAAGAAGAAAAGTTCAAGTTTTCAGGGAAAAATCTCAAGGTCCAACTTTAGGAATGAAGAGTTTATTTGAGCAGTAAATTGTGAGAAAATTGGTTTTGTTCGTTTTTAAAAAGTTCTATGCGGAAAGGATAGTCAACAATCAGATTAATATTTGAATAACATTTTCATATTTACCTTGTGTTGCAGTAAACTCATCTTCATAAGATTTTTTTCTCAAAAATTCTCAAGAATTCTTCCCTTTTTTTCTAAATTATTTTCCTTATTTTTCAAGTAAAAGCTCAAACTTGGCAGCTCGAAAGCTCCATAACGCGCTTTCAACCATTTTTTTGGAAGAAGAAAAAACCAAAAAGCCATTAAGCTTATTACCACTTAGTGCTGTTCGGCCCGGAAAGTGCAAAGATAATGGACGGAAAGGCACGAGACTTTTCCGAATAACATGAGAGTTCGTTGGAAATTTTCAAAAAAAGACTTTCACATTTAAAATATTTGAAAAATACTAATTTCATTCAGCTATTAAACAGAGCTTGAAAAATTTAAATTCAAAATAATTACAGGATTTTAGGATAATCACTTCTTCTCTAAGAAAGCCCCACTATTGGAAAATAAGTTAAAAATTAATTTTTTTCACGACTTTTCGAGAAAAAAAGGCCTTTTTGGAACCAAAAATACAAGATTTTTTTCTCTATAGGTATAGCAAGAAGCCGTAAGAACTGAAATATTCTCAAAAAAATTTTATTTTTTTCCTAGTGCTAGATTCAACGAAAATTACCAAGCTTCTGCCCTCCAAACCCAATGAAAAATCTTCATTAGAGTTTCAAACCTCAATATTTTGAAATAGAAGCTTTTTGGGAATCGAAATTCGACTTTTTTTACATTTTTTTGGAGTATTTTTTTAAACAAAAAAATAATTCTATCAAAAAAAGGGCTGAGTTTTCAAAAAAATCTTTTTCTCAACCCTATTTTCCATCAAATTCACCAAGCCAATGCCCTCCAAACCCAATAAAAATCTTCATAAGAGCTTTAAAATCGAAGCTTTTTGTAATCGAAATTCGACTTTTTTACATTTTTGGAGTTTTTTTTTAAACATAAATCTTTCTAAAGGGCCAATTTTTCAAAAAATCTTCTCAAAAACCTTTTTTTTTTCCTAGCCCTAGATTCCATCAAATTCACCAAGCTTCTGCTCTCCGAATCCAATAAAAATCTTCATAAAAGCTTCAAAATTCGTTTTATTGCTTGACCCCCCTCCCCCCATTTCGAGGCCTTTGTTGCTCCTTCCGAACAAAAAGATTTGATGTCGAGATATCGGGTCCGAATATTACACGATTCTCAGAAATGTTGGAAGTCTCCCCAGGGGAGCAAAAATCGGGGCGCGCCAAATATGGTGCCGCCGTTCTCGAGTTCGGATTCAAAAAAGTTTGTAATTCGAGAAAATTTTGAAAATTTGGATCAGTAAAACTTATGTCGAACCTGTCAATGATCTTATGGGCCTTAGAAATGTTTTATTCATTGTAAAATGAATAAACTGATGATGAATGAGGATAGTAAACTAGTCATTCTAATGAGTCATGAAAAGTTTAATGACGCCATTAAGGCGGTAAATGAAATTAATCATTTGAAGAAACGTTTTTCCATACGCATCAGGCAGTTCATTCTAAATTTGCTACTTTTTCAACATTTTCAAATTTGATGACGTCATTTAGAAGAAAAAAACCTTTTCATTACTGAAAATGACGTCAGAAAGCTCCAAAACAGAAATTTTTAAGATGACGTCACTATGTTTGAAACAACCACTTCCAACCATTTGAATGACGCCATAAATGCAAAATTCTTTCTCAAAAATGCTCAACTCTATTAGAACTGTTTATATTAAAATTCAAGGCTCTAGAAAAACAAATGTGAACCAAAAGTGAACCCTTGGAAGGACCGAAAATGCAAAATTCCCTTTTTCAAACTCCATTCCTTCTCCAGATACGAAAAACTTTTAAATTTTCTCAGTTTCTAACTATCTAATGACGTCACCGAACCCTCAAGTAAACCCTTGAAAAAATCGAAAATTCTACAACTATCCAATGACGTCACTCAACCCTTAGGTGAACCCTTGAAAAAATCGAAAAATGCAAAATTTTCAAATCCCATTCTTTGTACTGAAAAATCGTCGTCTTTCTCAACCCATAACTGTTCCATGACGTCATCTAACACTCAAGTTAACCCTTGAAAAATTCGAAAACGCTATAACTATTCAATGACGTCACCGAACCCTCAAGTGAACCCTTGGAAAAATCGAAAATGCTATAACTATCTAATGACGTCACCGAACCTTCGAGTGAACCCTCAAAAAAATCGAAAATGCTATAACTATTCAATGACGTCACCCAGCCCTCAAGTGAACCCTTGGAAAAATCGAAAATGCTATAACTATCTAATGACGTCACTCAACCCTCAAGTGAACCCTTGGAAGGATTGAAAAAAGTCAAAAATCCCTTTTTCAGATCCCATTTCTCGTACTGAAAAATGTCCGTCTTTCTTAATCCAAAAATATCTAATGACGTCACCGAACCCTCAAGTGAACCCTCAAAAAAATCGAAAACTCTACAACTATCCAATGACGTCACGCAGCCCTCAAGTGAACCCTTGGAAAGACCGAAAATGCAAAAAACCCCTTTTCAAACCCCATTCCCCTATCCCATAAATGTGTATTCAAGTCGGGCGGGCGGGCGGCAACTTCAAAAAGGGGCCCAGTTTTCTTTTCTCTCTCTCTCTTTTTCTTGGCTGGGAATATCCCTGCTTGATAAGGATGATCGGGAAAAAAGGAAGGTCTATTATCAATTATCCCTCTGCCGACGAAAGAGAAAGGGGGGGGGGGAAGGTTTACGCAATCCAAACGCCTTATCGATTGATTGATCGACAGATTTCGATCCGCGGCTGAAATCGATCAATCTTGCTCGTCACGCATCGGAATCATCGACCTTGTGCACTGGGGGAGGAATTTATGTGAAAATATATAGCCGTGGGAAAATAGCTTGGTTTAGAAAAATCTAACGAAATTAGCCGCGGATGAAAAATCTGAAAAAACGGCCAAACAATGGATTTTTGAAAAATTACAGCTCAGGAAAGGGATTTATGTGAAAATACATAGCCGTGGGAAAATAGCTTAGGTTAGAAAAATCTAACGAAATTAGCCGCGGATGAAAAATCTGAAAAAACGGCCAAACAATTGATTTTTGAAAAATTACAGCTCAGGAAAGGGATTTATGTGAAAATACATAGCCGTGGGAAAATAGCTTAGGTTAGAAAAATCTAACGAAATTAGCCGCGGAAGAAGCTGAAAAAACGGCTGAAAATTCAGTTTTTGAAAATTTACAGTTGAAGACTAGAGAAGGAATTGATGAGAATATATTGAGCCGTGTGAAAATAGCTCAGATTTAAAAAAAACCAAGCAAAATTAGCCGCGGAAGAAGCTGAAAAAAACGGCTAAACATTTGATTTTTGAAAAGTTACAGCTCAGGAAAGGGAGTTATGTGAAAATATATAGCCGTGGGAAAATAGCTTGGGTTAGAGAAATCTAACGAAATTAGCCGCGGATGAAAAATTTGAAAAAACGGCTGAATCTTCAATTTTTGAAAAATTACAGCTTAAGTTACTAAGAAAGCGGTTTGTGATAATATATAGCCGTGGGAAAACAGCTTGAGTTAGAGAAATCTAACGAAATTAGCCGCGGATGAAAAATCTGAAAAAAGCGGCTTAACATTTATTTTTTCAAAAATTACAGCTTAAGTTACTAAGAAAGGGATTTCTGATAATATATTGAGCCGTGAGAAAATGACTTAGGTTAGAAAAAACTAGCAAAATAAGCCGCGGATGAAAAACCTAAAAAAACGGCTCAACATTTGATTAAAAAAAAATTACATCTTATGATACTAGGAAAAGGATTTATGAGAATATACATATAGCCGTGGGAAAATAGCTTAGGTTTTGGCCGCACAAAAAGCAAAAAAAAAGGCCAAACACCTGATTTTTTTGAAAATTCTCAGCTCATCGACCAGGGATAAAATTCATGAAAAAAAACAGCCGTGGAAAAAATAGCTCAGATTCAAAAATTCAGCAAAAATAGCCGAGAAAGAGAAATACCCGGAAAAATAATCAAAAAAATATCCTCTTTTTTTCAAATCAGCACAAAAAAATCAGCTTTTTGCGATTTTTTTTAATTTGATAATTTCCTTCTAGGCTTGGAAAGATATCAATCAATAAATATAGAAAAGAATAAATCTCTGTGTAATATACATATGAAAAAAATGGACCTGAACAGAAAGAGCTCGGAAATTAAAAAAAAAAATCACTGATTCAAAATAACTTGACAAAAAAAAATCGTGAAAATGGCCCAGAAAAATAGCTTTAAAAATACTCCAACCTTATACGCCCTACGGATAAAAATCCCCTAGTTTGCCTATTCAAAAACACATGAAAAAACGCCTTTTTGGGGGTATAATCGAAAATTAGCCGTGGAGCGCATCAACTCATTTTATGGCGGCTATTTTTTTCCTCTGTTTATTTTTCTTACTTTTTCCGATTATTTGACCTCTTTTTGCACTGAAAAAACATTTCAGCTTCAATTTTACACTTCTGAAAGTTTTCTGAAACTAAAATCTTACTCTAACCTCCAAGAAATCCCCAATTTCTTTCAAATTCTTCTAGAAAACCCCCTCTTTTCAGCCCCAAACCTTCAGAACCTGCTTAAATTTCCTATTTCTGTTCTTCTCCAAATGCGCATTAGTATTCCATTCCCAACTTCTCTTCATTCCCAAAAAATCGCACCTCATTGGTATGAAGAGGCTGAACGAATGAGACGAAGCAGAGGATCTGGAGGGCGGTGAGGGCGAACGTCGCCATGCCGACGACGACGGCGGGCAGCGCCGCGAACCAGTACGTCGCCATGATGGCGAGCAGGGCGGGCAGCAGGGCGTCGTGGCCCGGCAGCCAGAAGACAAAGTCCAGGGTCAGGACGGCGAGTGCCGAGATCTGCAGCAGCGAAACATTTTATTGAAGTTGATCACAAAAAAAACATTTTATATGAGGTGCTGGCCGAGCCAGTAATCTTAAAATTCGGTAAAATTCCTTGAAATTTAGTAAAATGTCCCAAATTTCCGTAAAACTTCTCAAGTTTCAGTTTTGATTCCTAAAGTTCAGTGAAACCCCTCAAAAACCTCTAATATTTCCCAAAATCCAATAAAATCCCCAAAAAACTCAGTAAAACCCAAAAAAAATCTGTCAAGTTCTTGAAAACTGAGTAAACTTTTTTTAAAATTCCGTAAAATCCCTTAAATTTCAGTAATAATCTTCCGGATGCAGTAATACTTTTCAAAATTGGATTCAATTCTCAAAAATTTTTCCCGAAAACGATTAAACCCCTCCAAAAATACAGTTCAACTCCTCAAAACTCAATATTATTCTTCAAAATCGCGTGAAATTCCCCGAAATTTTTGACAAGTTCAGTAAAATTTCTCAAAATGTGGTGCATCGATTAACAAATTTCAGCAAAAAAGGTTATGAAGACCAATTTTCAAAATTTCCGTAAAAATCGTTTTTTCGACACACCTGATTTTTTAACTGTTTTTTTTCGATTCACTGAACATGAAAAATGTCTGAAATCAATAAAATATGTCCTTGAATCGATAAAACCAATCAAGAAGCCTAAAAAATCATGAACAACTTCTAAAAATCAATAAAACCTAGCAGGAGGCCCAAAAAATCAATGAAAAACATCCGAAAATCAAAAAAACCAAGCAGGGAGCCTAAAAAGCCATGAAAAACCCTTTGAAAAATCAATAAAAATCAAGCAGGAGATTCAAAAAAATCAATGAAAAAAATATCTTATCATCAAAAATCAGGAAGCTCAAAAAATCTATGAAGAATCTCTAAAAATCAAGAAAACCAATCAGGAAGCCTAAAAATCAATAAAAAAAAGGAAACAAAAAAAATCAATGAAAAATCTCTAAAAATCAATAAAATCAATCAGGAAGCCCAAAATCATCAAGGACCTCTAAAAAAAAATCGATAACATCGGTCAGAATACGTAAAAATCCACAAACGACAGCCTAAAAATCAAGAAAAAATGTCCTAGAATCAAAAAACCTATCAGGAAGACCAGTTAATCAAATAAAACCAATAAAATCAATCAGGAAGCCTTAAAAATCAATGAAAAAGTCCAAAAATCAATAAAATCTGGCAGGAAGCTTGAAGTCAATAAAAATAATCAGAAAGCATGAAAACCCATGGAAAACGTCCAAAAATCAATAAAATCTGGCAGGAAGCTTAAAAATCAATAAAATCAATCAGGAAGCATGAAAATCCATGAAAAATCAATGTAAAATGTCCAAAAATCAATGAAACCTAGCAGCCCAAAAATCAGTAGTAACAAGCAAATCGAAAATATTCAAAGAATCACCTGGATCGCGGCGACATTCTGAGGTCGGAAGATCTGGAAGACGACGGCCACCGTGGCCAGCAGCAAGACGTTGGCCGTCCATAGAGCCGCGGCGCCAGGGACATGGGCCAAGGTTCTGAGCAGGGCCGACCCGGCGGTCACGATGAGAACCTTTAGAACATCTCATTTCAAAAAGTAACCACATTTCTGAGGAAACCGTTCGGATGAGCCTGGCGGCGGTCGCGTCCCGCCACCGGCCGTAGCTCTGTTCCAGCCACGCGCTGGTGAAGCCCATCCCGAGGATCCCGCCAGGTCTACTCAATCTCTTGTTCTGGGCTTGGGAGTAGGGGGTCGATCTTTAAATTGACATCAATGAGGTTCTAATCAACAATAGTTATTTATTGCCGATTGAAACAGTAAAGTAGGATTTTGAAAAAAGGGGTTCTAATCGATCAAATCTCGACACGAGAAGCTTCCAGTCAACGCAAAAAATATTTTTGACTGGAATTTTTTTGGCTTGGCGGTAGGATCTATCTGAAGCTTCTCTGCGCCCTCCGTATCTCTCCTGTTTACGTGCTATTCCCATGTTTCTCTGACCTCTCCGGTGAGGGAACAGAGAGACGCAGACAAGTCGCGGAGGTCGAACTATAAAGATGAGAAAAATCGGTACTAGAAACTTTAAATTAGTTCAAAAAAATATGATATTTATGGTCATAAATTTGTGATATTCTCATGGTTTTCTTAGCTTTTCTGCTGATAAAGTTTCTTTTAAAAAAATAGAATGATGAGAAAAATTCAAGAAGTCAAGTTTTCAGCTGGAAAATCGTAATTTATAACCAAAAGATCCTTCGTTAAGATCAAATTCACATTTCCGGTGCCAAAAAGTTCAGAATCATGGGCTTTATAGTTCTAAAAACTTCTCTTTCTCAAAAAACCTTGAAAAAAGTCTCAAATCAGAGAAAAATCATATCATATTGGTCCTTTTTCTAGTTCAAAAAATCATAGTCCTCAATTCACGTTTCCGGTACCAGTAACCAAAAAGTCAATACGTCAAAGTTTCCAAAAATCCAAAAATATTGTTAAAAAGCCATAAATTTGTGAGTCTTCTCAAAATCACGCTCTTTCTTGACTTGGCGGTAAGAGGTTCTTTTTGAAAAGTGAGTTATCAAAAAAAGACGAATTAAAAAAAAAATAAGTCAAGGGCTGAAAGGGACCCAGAAAAAAAAACCTTTTATTCGGAGCGCAACAAATTCAAGGACCATAGGACGATACGGAGAGATTTCAGTAGATGCGCAGTCAATAAGGTTGAAAAAAACTATTTTTGTGGTTTTGTTAAAAAACCAGAGACTTGGGCCGAGAAAAAAGCTCCGGAACAATAAATTTCAATGATGAGAATAATGATAAAGTTTTCAGATAATTTTAAAAATCCTCTTCCCTTCAAAAGATCAAGATTAACGTTTCCGAGCAACAAAGACTGAACTAATTCAAAAAATATTTGAAAAATTCAGATGAAAATCAAAAAATCAGTTCAATGAATGAGAAGTATTTGATGGATGAATCGGTTTCTAAAATAGAAAATCTGAAACCGGTTATATTTCTATCGATGACGGTTCAGTATGGAATATTTGAAGAGTTCAGCAGATACAAGATTACTCTGAGGACTGATTAAATGTTATGTTAAATGTTAAACGGTTCAGTAATAATAGCTCCTAAAAACTACATTATCGAAATTTCCAACTCAAAAATGAGTAAAAATCAAGATTCCATTGAAAAATCATGTAAGATTAACAGAAAGCTGAAATCAGAAACCCCAGAAAAAAAACAGAACGAGGGGAAACTTCAAAACGTTTCGTGTTAAACTTTGAAAAAAAAAAGATTTGTTTGCACTTAAGAGACGCCTGTTTGCTTTCAGTTAATGATTGGTAGAGTGGTTCTGTAAAATGCGAACACTTTCAAATCTAAGGCAGAGTTTCGTCATTCTTCGAGCTTAAGCTTTTTAATTTTGATAATTTTTTTAAAGAATTGATGATTTTCTTTGAATATAGCTCATTCTGAAAGATAAAAAAATCGAAAAACTAGATTCAAAAAGAAAAAGAAAAAAATCGATGAAAAATGGAGCTTTTAAAGGTCACATAAAAATCAATGAAATCAGTGAAAAATTCCAGATTCTTTTTTTCTTTTTTTGGCTTTTTACAAAAGGGACTCTTCTGACCTCAAAAAAATCACGCCAGAAGAATTTTAAAAAAATCGAAAAAAATCCCTAAAAAAACAGTACCAAAGGGACTGTTCAGACCAAAAAAGTGTAAAACTCTAAAACTTATTAAAATCAAAAAGTTCTGTTCATAAATTTCTTCTAAATTTAACATCAAAATTCAATAAATCTGCAATCTGGCTTTCAATCTTCTATATCTGAAAAGCCAAGTAGAAGGTCGGATTTTTTTCTTAAAAAAACTGATTTTTCTAGACTACTACTAGAATCCAAAATCAGAAGAATCGACTAAAAAATCGGAATCAAAAAAAAAGAACCGATTTTTTGAAAAATCCAAAAAAACTTTTGAAAATCAAAAAATCAATACCTAACGCTTCCAATCGATAAAGTTGGATCAAATCAGTAAAAAACTGTTTTCACTCCATTGTTAACTTCCAATTTAAAAAAAGGTCCATTTAAATGATAAATTAAAAGTTTGCGTTTAAAAATCAAACGAATATATTTTAAAAAATCAAAAAATCAATGAATAAATGCTTTATAGACTAAGATCAAACGGGATAGGATCAATAAATAATTTCTAGTAACTCTCAAAACCAAAGTATCCCGTTGAATAAAAAGCTCAAAAAAGAAGCATAAAAAAACTGAAAATCACCAATTTTCTTTTCAAATCAGTGAATAACAGATCCATAAAAAAGTACGAATATTTTGAAAAATCTAGATCAATGAAAGAAGACATTATCGATTGGATCAGGCAGCGTCAGTAAAACTTCCAAATTTTCTTCATAACTAATGCATCCAGATGAATCATAAGCTTCAAAAAAAAGGCAAAAAACTTCAAAAATTCAGGAAAAATCAGTGAAAAACGCTCCTAATCGATAATATCGGATCAGAGCAGGATTAAAAAAAAGTTTATTTAGAAATATCTAACAAAGTGTGCTCTCTTAAATCCGAAAATTACATGCAAAAGCTCACAGATCATCTCAAAAAATCAATCGGATCAGTCAAAAACTCCAAATTTCCTTCGTAACTAATGCATTCAGAATGATTAAAAGCTCAAAAAACTAAGCAAAAAAGTCCGAAAATCAGGAAAAAATCAGTAAATATCACTTCCAATCAATAAAATCAGATCAAAATCAGATTTAAAATCAGAAAGATTTCAGTCAAAAAACTCCTAGATTTTCCTGATTACCGACGTTTTCATATGGATCATAAGCCCAAAAACAAGGCGAAAAACTTCAAAAATCAATAAAATTTCGGTAAAAAAGTCCTCCAATCGATAATATCGGATCAAAGCGGAGGAAAGACGTTATCGATTTGATCAAGTCGGGTCAGATCAGTCAAAAACTTTCGAATTTTCTTCAAAACCAATGCATCCAGGATGCTCAAAAACGACGTCAAAAATCCAAAAAAAAAAACAGGAAAAAATCAGTACATATCGCTTCCAATCGATAAAAACGGATCAAAGACGATCAAATTATTCAAAAACTCCTAAAATTTTCTCATTACCGTCTTTTGCAGGTGGATTATAAGCTCAAAAACGACGTAAAAAGTGCGAAAATCAGGAAAAATCAGTGAAAAACTCCTCCAATCGATATAATCGGATCAAAGCGGATCAAATTATTCAAATTTGTTTCATACTTAGCGCATCTAGAATGATTATGAGGTCAAAAACGACGGAAAAAAGGTTCAAAAATCAGTAATTGTAACTTCCAATCGATAAAAACCAATCAAAATCAGATTTAAAACCAAATTTATCAGTAAAAAACTTCCAAATTTTCTTCATAACTAATGCATTCAGGGTGATTATAGGGTCAAAAAAACAAGGCAAAAAAAGCCTCGAAAAAAACCAAGAAAAAAATCAATGAAAAAAACTCCTCGAATCGATAATATCAGATCAAAGACGACTGAATTATTTAAAAATTTCTTAAATTTTTTTGTCCTTACCGACGCTTTCATATGGATCACAAGCTCAAAAACAAGGCAAAAAACTTCAAAAATCAATAAAAAATCGGTGAAAAACTCCTCCAATCGATAATATCGGATCAAAGGGGTTCAGATCAGGGCGAAAAAAGTTTCTTCAAAAGTATCTAACGACATGTCTCCGTGTGTGTGAGTATGTGTGTGTTTGGACGTGTGCCGAGGAGGGGGGAAATTGAGACAGCCGCCAGAAAGAAAGGGGGCGGAGCCACGGCGGACACACCACACGGACACCCGGCGCGCGCCCTCCGTTCCTTCCTTCGACTTCGTCTTCGCGCGCCAACACAACACTGACCGTCACGCCCACTTTTTTCAAAGAAAGAAAAAAAAATTTGATTTTTCTTCGACTTTTTTTTCTCTTAGGAAAGGTGATTCATCTGGGTTTTAAGGAGACACATGTTCAGTGAAAATAGAGGTTCGGAAAAATCTCTAACATGAGCAATAACTTGCAAGCATGACGCTTTTAAAATTTTCACAGGAATATTCAAAAACGCATGGGAAAAATGGGATTGCGGAAGAAGGGGGTGGGGGAAGGGATTTTAAAAGATTTTCTAAAAATTCAAAGTTTTTTCAGAGTTAAATAAACACTCTATCTACCACCAAAAAAATCCACATTTAAAAAAATAGCTTCAAAACTGTCTTGGACTAAAGAAAAAGGCTGAAATTAAATCTCAAACAATTTTTCAATTTCCAACCTCCTAATAAGCCTAACTATAAGTCCTGTGGAAGGCTCAAAACTTCTATACTACCGAAAAACATTTTTTTGACTACGAATTTCAAAAAAACTAAAAAGAAGATAAGAAAAAAATCATTGAAAAGCCTATGGAACAAAAAAATACAGAATTTTTTTAGATTACAAAAGATCTCTAATGAGTCTAGTTCCAAAATCTGAAGCTAAAATCCAGTCAACATTAATTTTTAACGAAAAACCGTCAAATTTGATTCCAAACCGATACAGGAATCTTAATAAATCCTGTAAAATCTCTCAATTTTTTATTCAATGTGTACCTTTTTCTGCTCATTTCCAACGGAGACTACAAGGTTTTCCCAAAATTTTCTTTGAAAAACTGGGAAAATTTTTAGCGGCCATTCAAGGGGTAAAAAATTAGTGGCCACTATAGTAGTCAAATTAGTGGCCACTTAAGGGGTTTAAAGTTAGTGACGACTATAGAGGTCTAAGTGCTACTAATAGACCACTAAAAAATTCTAGTGGCCACTTTAGGGGTCAATGGATCAACATAACTGGTCCAATCTGTTTGTTTTAAAATTATCAGAGTTCCTGGAAGGAATACGGGATGAAAAACTACTGAAGTCGCCACTAAAACGAAAAATAGTGGCCACTATAGAGGTGGGTTTAGTGGCCACTTTAGTGTCCTCTCCAAGTAACCCTCGGCGAGCCTCTATAGTGACCACTAAAAAGAGAGAAAGACAAACCATTTTCAAGGGAAAATCCAAGTTTTTAAATCTCAAAGTCAATGAATTTCAACAAAAATCTCGCAGTCAATGATTAAAATTTAACCTTCTCCAGACTATTTTTTCAAGAAGAAAAATATTTTCTCAATAAATTTTCAAACGGCCAAAACCAAGTTTTCCTCTTGATAAATACACGAGAGAAGAAAAATGAGAGGGTACGAATTTTTTTCGGGTTTTCCGAGTCACTTCGAATGAGGATTTTTCAACGGGACGAATCGGTGAACGGAGCACATAAATCAGCGGCAAATCGCCGGGAAACCCTTCCAATAAATTTGTTTTTCGAGACCGGCAAATTCTTCTTTTTTTATTTATATATTTATTCCACAAAAAGATTTCCTACAAATTGGTCAAATCAAAAATTGAAGATCAGGGGCCAATTTGGACTCTAAATAAGGCTCATTTTTTTGGAAAAATTGGGTTCCTGGATTCTCAAAAAAGTTGGGATTCAAAACAAATTCAGCAAAATGAACTGAAAAATGGATACCAGAGGAAAAAACCTTTTCCAGTCAAAAAAATGGACGAATTTCCGAAAAATCAGTTTTTTTAATCGAAAAATTCATAAACTTCGAACAAATTTTGAGAAAAAAATTACAAAGAAAAATAGGTTTATTAGGATCCTAAATGGTGTGTTTTTCTGAAAAATAATGCAGAAAAACCTCAGTTTTTTTGGCCTGTAAAAAAATATTCTCTGTTGAAAATAAAGCCCTTTGAGCCCAAAATGGTACGTTTTTCTGAAAAATAACTCAGAAAAATTCCAGTTTTTTTGGCGTATAAAAAAATATTTTTCTTCTAAAAAAATAGAACCATTTGAGCCCCTATATGGTACGTTTTCTGAAAAATAACGTAGAAAAACTTCGAAAAAAATCAATATTTTTTTCAAAAAAATGGAGCAATCTAAGCCCTATATGGTACCTTTTCTGAAAAATAACTCAGAAAAATTCCAGTTTTTTTGGCCTATAAAAAATATTTTCTTCTAAAAAAATAGAGAAATCTGAGCCCTTTATGGTACGTTTCCTGAAAAATAACGCAGTAAAATTCAGTTTTTTTGGTGTATAAAAAAATATCTTCTTCTGAAAAAAATAGAGCAGTTTAAGCTCAAAAATACAGCCAATTTCTTTAAAAAAATTAAAATTCTTAAAAAAATTCCAAGACAATTTTTTTATTTAGAAGTCTGATTTACTGAAAAACGAGGTCATTTATCTGAAAATACATGAATTTTCTGCTACGAAAAAAAAACCCACCAACAAATTTCTATCTCTCGTTGTTTCCTCCCGTGCGGCGTTTTTGTTGTTTTCCGCGCCGTTTCATTTTTTTTTCGGCTTTTTTTTTCCGTCGACGCCTACAATAATAGTTGGAAACATTTGATTGCACATACAAAGACAGAAATACGGGAAACATACGAACACATTAGCGCGCCGATGCGTATTTTTTTAACGGTCCGGTTTTGAGTAATTACCGATTTTTGATTGGGATTTTTTTTTTGGTCAGGGTAAAGATTAGTTTTCTCAATCTAGTGGCGAGAAAAACATTCAAAAGAATTTTATCCAAGAAAGAACGCCAAAAATTAGGCTTGATAAATTGACGGAGTTTTTATACCTTATTAGAAACTTCAGGGAATTATAAAATTTCGAAAAAAATTAACGTTTCAAACTGAAAAATCAATTTTTATGTCCCAAATTAACATATAAAAAAATAAACCAGCTTTTACCAACAAAAAAAAAATTCAAAAAACCCAATCTTCGAAAAAAAAAATCCAAGAACCGCTTCCAAAACGAGGTTACTCAAACAAAGTTTGCCGAATCGGTTCCAATTCTTTCAAACTGCAACAAACTTCCTTCAAACAAATATTTTATGTAAAAAGTGTAGGGAACTCAACGAGGACCCGTGGCCAGTGAATTATATACGGCGTGGTAATTCGATTCAATCATCCAATTGACCCAAGATGCGCTTGGGGAACAAGGAACCCGCAATTATTAACAAATACACGCATGGAAAAGGCCAGGGGGACATGAAAATTCACGAAAGTCACAATATATAACAACGAGAAAGAGAAAATTGAAATAAAGTTTAAAAATTCCATGAAACACTATTTTTTCGAAACTTATGTCTTCTGATATTGAAAATTTACCTTTCAAGTCCATTACAGTGAAAATTTCCTGCTCAAATTCCCGTAATAGTATGTTAGAAACGTTTAAATAACAATATTTCTATCATTTAAACAAGGAGTTATCACCAGCTCAATTCACAAGAGTTTAAAGCTTTGAAAATCATCAAATGCTTTTTTAAGTGATAAATTAATCAATCATACTTAAAACTTGATGAATCACTTGAAAAAGAGGCATTCTTTTTTTTTCTCCGCTTGAAAAGATCAATTTTAAAAAATTGACACAAAAATACGCAAACATCGGCTTTACACTATACGGAAAACATTCGATTTGACGCGCAACTTTCGTATTTCGCTAATTTTTTCAAGCGGATTACGCAAATCTAGAAGCCAACTTCAAGTATATGAATGGAGACTGATAAAAAAAAATTTACTGGTCTAAAAATTTGTTTAATTTAAATCACAACACATCGCAAAATTATAACGGAAAAATACTGAATGAAAAGCACAGACACCGGTAAAAAAACAACAGAATCTCACTGGTCGATTATGTGGGCAATTAAAAAATTAACTGATTTAAAATACACGTTCTTCGCGGTAAACTGGATTAGAGAAGAAAAAAGAGATGATTTCCATAGAAAGGCAAGTTTTACCAGAGCTGAGTTAGGTTACCCAAGTAAAAATCAGAATAAAAGAACGAAGTGAATGAAACCAACATAAACAAGCACACTCGAACAGAAAAAGGCACAGATATTATATGAAAAGACACAAAATCAGAGTATTTCACCAATAAAAAAATCAATAAAGAGACATTTTCAACGGAAATTTTGCCCTACAAGACCTAGGAAAAAGCTAAAAAGGCACAGATTTGAAAAATTTCTTCAACCCTATCAATGATAAGCGAAAAGCCAACACAAAATACAGGAGAAAAAACAAATTTCAACCAAGAAAACTCAGAAAAGGAAAAAAGTTCGTGAAATAGGACACACTTCTGTACATTTCTCTTGTGATTTAAGCTTTTTTTTGAACATTCGAACGCCAATTTTCAACTAAAATACTTCAGAAAGAGGCTAAGACTTGAAAAAAGGCACATACCTGAAAATTCTTTCAACCCTATCAATAGCAAGCGAAAAAGAAGCATAACATTCAAATTTGCAACTGAAAAAAAGGCCAATTTTGTCTAAAAAACAGATTTTGACATTTTCTTTGATATAACTTTCAAAAAAAAAAAGACAAAGTACAAGAGAAGAGCCAATTTTCAACTAGAAAACAACAGGAGGAAACCAAAAAAATTAAAAAAAGACACAGATTTAGTAAATTCGTTCAACCCTTGTCAATAATAAGCGAAAAAAAGCAGCATTAAAAGTGAGAAAAAAACGACGATTTTAAACTAAAAAAAGGCCAAATTTGTCTGAAAAAAGAGATTTGAACTATTTTTTTCGAGCGAATTTTTCAAAAAAAGGGACAAAATACAACAGAAAAGACAATTTTAAACTAAAAGAAACCTTAAAATGAACGAATTTTATGTTTAAAAAAGACAGATTTTTGAGCGAATTTTCGAAAAAAGCATAATACACAAGAGAAGAGGCATATCTCCACAAAAACACTTTAAAAAAAAGGCGAATCGCTCTTAAAATCCAGATGAAACCGGATTCTCACAAATCACAACAAATAATGAATGATGAGGAAACGGACGGCGAAATCGAGGACATTTTCCAGATCGTCGCGGTTGAATCGATGATTCCGGAAGCGGAAGATCTCGCCGTCGACGTCGTCAAACGGATCATTCTGGATGACGACGACTTCATCCTCAAACTCTTCAAATTCCTCGTCGTCCTCATCGTCTTCTTCCAGCCACCGGACGACGTCGTAAAAAGAAACGATCACGTCTCGGACAAAATTCATCGTTCATGATAGGTACCGCCAAACTAATCTACCGGCGCGGGTTCTGAAAATGGTCAATCTTCAATCTAAAATATTTGAAAATTCTCAAAGAAGCTCAAAAATTAAGAAGAAACTTTAAAAAAAGGGGTTCAGTCTCAGGTATTCCAGAGTGGTCAGCCCCAATAAGGGTAAAATTAAAGTGGTCCCTGAAGGGATTTATGGTCTGACATCTAAGTACATAACGTTCAAGTGGACCCTATAGGGGTTAGGGGGCAACAGCGGCGATCGGGGTCGCAATGATGCTCCCTATAGGGGTGATCTCAAGGTGGTCCCTATAGGGGTTTAGGGTCTGACCCCTGAGCCCCTAAAGCTCAAGTGGTCCCTATAGGGGTCTTGCAATTTCATTCATTCAAAAAGCTTCTTTTTCAGTTTTTCCATGGAACAACTTCTTCACTTTGAGTTCATAACTAACCTGTCCCCTATAGGGGCCACTTTTGCAAGCTTTAGGGGCCCCTATAGGGGTTGGTAAAGTGGCCCCTAGAGACTACCCTCCAATGGCCCCTATAGGGATCACTCTGGAGTTCCTAAGGAAGTCTCCCTTTCAAATCAGTCTATTGGAGTCATAAATAATATTTTAACGAAAGAAAAAATTGCTAAAATGACTGGCGGGCTCTGAAAATCGCTCCATTTTCGAGACACAGAAGAAAAAATTGTCAAGCGTTTTTTGAGAAAAAATTTCAAAATTCTTAGTTTTTGTTACTAATTTGAGCTGAATTTGTGTTTGTATAATCAGTAGGTGATATGAAAAAGCATCTCGCTTTGAAATAAATGACCGAAAGAGCAAAATTTGTATAACAATACAAAGATTTAAAACTTGAAAAACAAGAAAAATTCCTAACTTCTCACTTTGAACTCTCCTGGCGGAGATTCGCAAAAAAATTACAAAAAAATTATTGGATAATGATCTTTACAGTGATATGGGAAATAATTTTTTAAAAAATGAATTTTCAAGGTTTGTCGAATAACACTAAATCTACCAGAAGAAGCTTAGAAATGAAATATTTAACAGAAAAAAATGCTCACCAATTTCTTCGATCGAAACGGGTGCAAAAAAATTCGTTCAGTCCCCCAACCACATGTAGAAAACCGGGAACACGTTGGATCGCAGGAAAAATTTCTGAAAAAAACTTTTTTTCGAGAATCCTGCTTTGTAAAAATACGAAATCATATGGCAGCGCGGTTTTAAAAAAAATCTTAAAAAAACAGAAATAATAATGAAAAATACAAAAAAAGCAAGCAAAAAAACTTCTCGTCGCATTACTAACGGAGAACCAGCAAATTATTTTTTATATAGTCTATTCCGCGAATTAGATCAAATTTCTGCTTTTTATAACGGCAAGAAACAAAGGTCTTGAAGCGAAAGTTGGTTAAATTTGACCTGGCCTTTTGGCGGAAAGAAAAACGTGACAAGCTGGCGCGAAATGGCCTATATTTAAAAAAATCTCCTGAAAGAATTTTCATGATTTTTCCAAGAGATTCATAAAAATGAATCGTTGAAACCTAAAATTTCGAATTATTTCAAAAAAATTCGAAGAACTCCTCGGAATACAAGCAACAAAATACGAACAGGGCCTCAATGAAAGTTATAACCTTTTTTTTTTTACTAAAACTAGCCGACTTTGGAATAACTCTCATTCTAATATCATTTCTATTCATAGCAACTTTGAATCGTATCAATAACGGGTGAAATTGGATATTCAACTAAACGATCAAAGAAATGAGACAATAACAGCCAAAAATGACAAAAAAAAAACGAGAAAAGTGCATTGTCAACAAAAATTATCTAAATCGTTTCACACTACAACGCCCAAAACCTTCTTATCATTTGCTTTACGATTCAAATAACAGATACAGATATAAAGACAGCTGGCCAACGTCCGGGCGTTACTTATTATCTTTAAAGCATTTAATGACCTTTTTTCTATTTTTTAACACTTTATAAGGCTGGATATAATCCGAAGGCCATACAAAACTAAAAACATCAAAAAATAATTAACAATAACCATGTAAAGAAGAGAAAAAAAACAGGAAAAGTTCAAAAAGAATATTTTTTTTTGAAAACAAATTTTGCGCGTCGTGGTGTTGACGGCCATTACACCAGTCCACGTCTCTTCCTTTTTTTAAAATTCATTTTAACCTTATTTTCTGATTTTCAATTCGATTATTAATTTTTCATGTATTATTTATTTTTTGATGTAAAAATAGAACAATTGTGTGCACTTTCTATGTATGAGCAAGGCTTCAAGTTTTCAGACTCGTCGTAGTTTTAATTTTTGAACTTTGACCTTTCTATCTATGTAATTCGTGTGTTAGCGGTTGATTCTTGAACTGAAATGAGAAACAAAAAACGTACAATCTTCATTTTTCTTTATTTTCAGTTTGTTCTTTTCTCTTTTTTGCGGATCTTTTGACTTTTCAGACTTGATAGCTGTTTATTCTCTAAAATATTCAATTTGAAGGTCCTCGTCGGGAAATGTCTCCGTCAACTTTCGAAGAGGCTCAAAAAAACTTGTCGGCGAGCAAAAAAACACCTGTTGAACTTCTGGAACAAGATCGAAGATGGGAAAAATCGCCACGGATTTCAAGTCGCAGGTTCGTTTCGAGAAAAAAAGTTTTTTTTAGTGGAGTTTTTTTCAGGAAAAATTACTTAATGAATACATTTTAAAAAAATGAATTTTTTTAAAAAATATTACAGCAAAAAAATCATTTTCCAGGCCAAACTGAGCTTTTTTTCTGTAATTAAAGCAGATATCGATTTCAAAAAGTTCTTCATGGTATATAAAAAAGAGAAAGTAACGGGGTACCTAAAATACGACTAGAAACGGCTCTTCGCCTCAAGACCTTTACCGAAGCGACCTATGATCCTTTAAGACTCCGAGTGAGCATTTTTGATCCAGAATACAGTCAAAAAATACAAAATAATAGTGAATTATACTAAAAAGAAATAAGATAAGTGAAAATGAACATAGAATTCAAGTAAGTGAGAAATAGAATATAGTCAAAAATTACAAAATAATAGTGAATTATACTAAAAATAAATAAGATAAGTGAAAATGAACATAGAATTCAAGTAAGTGAGCAATAGATGAATATATTTTCCAGTTGGAGCGGACAAATTTCGCCGACGCCCGGAGTTGGTTCGAAGAATCGGCGCATCTGCAGGCGACGTCGCCGGAGAATCTGAAGCCCGTCGCCGACGACCACTACTTCCGGAGTTTCGAGTTGTCGCGGGAGGAGCTCGACGAGTACCGCGACGCGGGCTTGGCGGCGATATCGCGGGGCGAAGTCGCGGCTTTGGTGCTCGCCGGCGGTCAGGCCAGCCGTCTCGGTTCCAGCCAGCCTAAAGGTACAGGCATTTTAGATGAATAGGTTCAAAAAATACTTATAGCTGATTCACGGCTAGCTTGGGACGCTAAGGGGGCGTGTCCTGTCTGCGCTCTCCTCGAGCCAAGCGCTATCTCGTGCATTATCGTGTCAGGACCCTTTTTTCGATGGCTCAAGCTAGCCGTGAATCATCTATACTAGACCTTACGGGATACTGTAGAAGGCTCTTCGCCTCGAGACCTTTTTTAAATGTTACCGTGCTTTTTTCACTGTTTCTTAAGCCTCTTGAGCTCCTTTGAAGCTAGGACTTCGAAAAATTGAGAATTTACTGTCTGAAAGTCCATTTCAAGGTGTCACTTCCTAAATTTATTTTGAACCTATAAATTCCAGGAACCGTCCCTCTAGGAATCGCCACCTCCTCTCCAGATTGTCTTCTCGGCATCCAGGCGGCCAAAATTTCGGCTCTTCAAAGGCTGGCCGCCAAGAAGTTCCCCGGCACTGATCCGAAAATTCAGTGGTAAGCTTGTAAAAATTGTACTTTGAGCGAAAGTTTTCCAAGTTTATCGAAGAATTTAGGAATCATTCTCAGCCGTTATCTAACCCCCAAGTTTATTAAACTTAAAATTTATAAATTTTGAAAAGAAGATTTAATTTATAAGCCTGAAACCCTCTTTTTTTATCACCTTAACAGTACCACTATAGACGATCTGGCTAGCATAAGGGGGCGTGGCCTGTCTGCGCTCTCCACTAACCAAGCACTATCTCTTTTTTCATCGTGTCAGGACCCTTTTTCGATGGCTCGAATCAATCCGCCTCTTGACAATTTTCGCGTGTCTGCGTCTCTCTGTTCCCTCACTGGCAAGGTCAGAGGTACATGGAAAGAGCACGTAAACATTAGAGACACGGAGGGCGCAGAGAAATCTCGCCCTTTCGCGAAAAACTGACTATACAAGGCTTCATGAAAAATAATTTTTCAAAAGCCGAAAAAATTATAGTTCCACCCTTCGTGTTACTTGACACATTCCAGGGTGATCATGACCTCACAAGGAACGGAAAAGACGACGCGAGATTTCGTCGACACCCTCATCAAGAACTACAACTTCGACTCGAACCAAGTGACGATGTTCAACCAGGACGAGATCGCCGCCTACGACCTCGAGGGCAATTTCTTGCTCGCCGAGTTCGGCAAGCTCGTCACGGCGCCGAGTTTGAACTTGACCCCAGAATCTTGCGAAAATCTACAACTTCAGACGGCAACGGAGGGCTGTATTCGGCGCTGTCGCCGTACCTTCCAGAACTCCGGAAGAAGGGCGTCAAGTACTTCCACGTCTACTGCGTCGACAACATCCTCTGCAAGGTCGCCGACCCGCATTTCCTCGGCATGAGCATCGTCAAGAAGGCCGACGTCGCCACCAAGGTTCGTCGTGTCAGGATTTCAGAAAGTAGAAGATCTTCAGACAGTGCCAAAGACAGTCGGCGAGCTTGTCGGCTCGGTCTGCCTGGACAACGGAAAGCCGCGCGTCGTCGAGTACAGCGAGTTGGGGGCGGAGCTTGCCGAACTGAAGTCGGCCGACGGAAAGTTCCTTTTCGGCGCCGGATCCATCGCCAACCACTTCTTCACCATCGACTTTTTGGATCGGTAGGTGAACCTGACCATCTCTCTTGGAGCTGAGCTTGTTGACGTTTAGCTTGATCATCTCCAGTTTTTCGAATGTTTTTAGTCTGCTCTGACTCTTCTAAAACAAACTTTCCAACTTGATTATCATCGAGTTCTGAAACTCTCTAGTCAGCTGTGACAACTCTTCAGTGATCCTCATATTTTATAGTTAGTTCTGACCTCTCGATGTTGTCTTTGATCAACTCCAGAGTTTGGAAACCCCTTAATTTGATCATCTTCTAACATCGAAGCTTCTTAAAAGATCCCTAACTTGATCATCTCCAGAGATCAGAGACATCCTGAATGGTTCTTAATTTGATCATCTCCAGAATTCTGAAACCTCTTGAGTCATCCCTAACTTGATCATCTCCAAAGCTCTGAAACCTCTCAATTTGATCATCTCCAGAGTTCTGAAACCTCTGGAGTGATCCCTAACTTGATGATCTCCAAAGTTCTGGAACCTCTCAATTTGATCATCTCCAAAGCTCTGAAACCTCTCAATTTGATCATCTCCAAAGCTCTGAAATCCCTCAAGTGATCCTTAACTTGGTCATCTCCAGAGTCTGCTCACCCTCGATGCGCCTCCCATACCACCGCGCTCTCAAGAAGATCAGCCACCTGGACAAGAACGGCGACCTCGTCAAGCCCGACAAGCCCAACGCCATCAAGCTCGAGCAGTTCGTCTTTGACGTCTTCGAGCACAGCGAGTCAGTTTCAAGGGACTTTAGGCCTTTTTTGACGTGACGTCTTCAGAAACTTCTACATCTGGGAGGTCAACCGCGCCGAGGAGTTCAGCCCTCTGAAAAATGCCGAATCGACGGGGAAGGACTGTCTGAGCACGTGTCTTCGGGACCTCGCCGCCGTCGACAAGAAGTGGTTGGAAGACGTCGGGGTCAAGACGACGTCCGAGAAGCCGCTCTACCTTCTGGCCGACGTCAGCTACGATGGCGAGGTATAGGAGGGTCGAAAACAGCTGATAACGGCTGGCTCGAGCCATCGAAAAAATGGTCCTGACACGATAATGCACGAGATAGCGCTTGGCTCGAGGAGAGCGCAGACAGGACACGCCCCCTTAGCGTCCCAAGGGAATCGGCTATATAGACCTTTTGAGGGCAGATTGAAAAATGCCGATTTTAAAGCTTTAAAACTTTCAAAATACTCATCTAATCACGAAAAGCTTGGAGCAAACTTTAAAGGCGCAGAGCAAGGTTCAAAAATTATATGTTCGTTATGGGACCTTTTTTGAAAAAGCTTATAAAAAAGCGAATCATCTTGTATAGATTTTTGGCTCTGTTCTCCTTCTTTATATTGTCTCAAAGATTCAAAATTCAGCAAAAATATATTTAATCGTCTCAGGACCTTTTCTGAAGCACCACCATGCGCCTTTAAATTTTTCGAAGCTTTTTTTCTATACTAGGCTAAAAAATAATGATCTTTCAACACATGTGCGCTCCATTGATATAAACTTCCAAAATGAATATTTTTTTAAAAAAACAATAAATCAAATTCAAACTTTTTTCCAGGGCCTCGAAGAACTCCGCGACCGTCAAATCCGGCCAGAAGACGTCGAATCGGACGAGACGCTCCAGAAGTTCTTCCCGAAACGGCCAACCGCTTGAGAGCCTTGAAAATAGTGTGATTAACAAAGAAATCGACGGATCTTTCACTGAAACAAGCCATTTTCACCGTGATTTGTACAATTATACGTATTTATTTGCACGATAAAAAAATGTAAATTTCTTGTTTTTTTTTTGTGAACAAAGGGGACGAAGGCGGTTAGAAGCTGAATTTTTTGGTGATAATCTGATTTTAGATTTGCATTTTTAAGCGATTTATGAACGATACAACTTCAAACAATTGCTTTTTCGCGCCAAAAATGGATGTCTAATGGAAATTTTCGATTTTGAAGTCGAAGCTCTATGTATATCCAAAAACACTTGAATTAGAAAAAATATGACTTTTGCAACTTATATCACCATTCTTGGTATCAAAATAACAAACAAACAACTGAAAAATTCAATAATTGGTGGCGTTATTTCGAAGTTTCACCCGTCATCATCTTATTTCGAACTTTCTGGACCTTAAAGAAACTATTTTCGTTTCATTTATTTACCTACACCTTCATATGACTTTGAATAAAATTAAAAATAACAAGAACGCAAGGATTTTGTTGATATTTTTGGTGGCTTGGCGCCAGAAATGGTCCAAACCAAAATATACGTTTTTTTTTTGAAATTCGGACAATGATTTTCGTCCGAATTTGAGCATTTTTGGTCTTGAAGATAATTTCACTCACATGTCAAGTGATGTATATGTGTAATGTTTTATCTCAAAATATAGATCCAAGTGAGCTCTTTAGGGTTCCCGCTGATTAGTCAATAGATTATTATTTTTTTATAAAAAAATTCGCTTTTCTCTTTTGACAAATTATAAAAAAACACACAAGCACAAAAACGCTTACCTCAATTTTAGAAAACTTTAGATTTTTCAAGTAAATTTCTATGTATTTAAATATTTATGGAACTCTTCAAAAGTTCAAAAGCATCTCTTGAAATTCTTTTATTTTTTGTGAAAAAAGAGTTTTTAAATTTCAGGACAATGCAGAAAGACCTCTTTGGTGTATGCACAATTTCAACCTACAGTATACAAGATTTACTGGAAAACTTCTTTTCTTCTCGATTAAAAGTTCGAATCACTTCAAAGTTCCGACAAGGAAGGTCTTTTCACTTTTTCATTTTGGATTTTCCTGAAATTTGACAAGAGCACTTCTTGATGCACATTATGAAGATTCTAAAAGTCTCAATCTTTAAAATTTCCTAGTCTTCCGGAAACAAGGGTTCAAAGCAGTAAAATATCCCTTTTTAACAGATTTTGAGGTGTGTCATTTTTCAAAAACTAGCAATTTGTGCAAGTTCAGATTTTTTTGTACCATTATCTGGATCATCAAGAAGGGTTCTAGCCAACTTTCAAGAAAATTCCAACCGAAAATTTTTCAAAAAATAGCAATTTGTGCAAGTTGAGATTTTTTTTGTACCTTCATCTGGTACGGAGTATTCTAGCCAACTTTCCAGGCAATTCCAACCGGAAATTTTTCAAAAACTAGCAATTTTTGCAAGTTGTGATTTTTTGTACCATCCTCTGGTACATAGAGGAATGTTCTAGCCAATTTTCAAAGAAATTCAAAGCGAAAGGTAAAATGGCCTTGCTTGTGAGCAAACTAGCGACGGTCAGAGAAAAGGAAACTATTGCAAAATGTCGACCAAACTAAAGACCGCCGAAGAACTTTTTCCAAGGAACTGAACCCAATACTTTCTCCAAATGTTCCTCTACACCTAACTGATAACCACAATCAGACATACACAAAAAAAGGGGAGTTGAAAACAGGTTTCCCGTCATAAGATCGGAAGGCCAGGTCGTTTCGGTTTATAACATTTCGTCGCCGCCAGCTGGGTACAAAAAGGCTTGTCCTTCTTCGTAACTTACTATATTGATCATTATGAGGTTGTCATCGGTTATTCTGATGTTCCTATGTATTGGACTGGTTTATTCGCTTCCTTATTATCAGATGCTTCGATTGAGAAAAGCCCAGGAGCGGCAACACCTTCAGACGAAGGGCGACGACAATTATGAAGATTCGGACAGGTGAGGATACTCCGAGAAAGTTCTGTTTTGAAGAAAAAAGGCTAGGGCATGCTATAAAGTACGGGCGTTTACAAAATACGACCGGTGCGACCGCTTTTTTTTTGCGCTCCACTGCAAATTAATAAAATACGGGCGTTTCTTAATCTTATCTCATTCGCCTTTTTTGACACTTATTCTCAAATTTCGTATGTCAAAAAACGCCCGTATTTTATGAATTTGCAGTGTAGCACAGAAGAAAAAAACGGTCGCATTTTGTAAACGCCCGTACTTCATAGCATGCCTTTTTGATACATTGTTTCAGCATCCTTGATTTGAAATGATCCAAAATTCTTGAAAAAAACCATTCGATTAACTATTTTCTCTGATGTTCACATTTTAAACTTTAAGTTCTTGATTTGCATTTTCCGGCCAGCTTTGATTTGCATCTTCCGGCCAGCACAGAAAGTTTGGGGGTCGTAGCATATTTTTTTGAATGAGTGTAAAAAAGATCTTTTCGCATTTTTTTCAACTCCTAAAAACCAGCCTTTCCGCAAAACTATGAAATATGCTATGCAATAGGCGTCCGGATGCAAAGAAGACGCAAGAAGAATTGAAAAAAGGAGAAAAATAGCTGCTCGAAAGACCTTTTCGTGCTATTTTTGGAGCAATTGTGAGGTCCCGTACCTTTGAAATCTACGTTGTAACAAAATGAATCTCTTTATATTTTTCAAAATTATTTTTTCAACACCTAATAGCTTTTTCTGTAAGCTTCTATGAGCGTCTGGAAGTCAAGAAATCGCCAAAAAACGGAGCAAAATAGCTGCTCGAATCACATTTTTGTGCATTTTTTTAAATCCTTTTCGAGGTTCTGTACCTTTCAGCTTCACGGTGGAATTGAAAAAAATCTCTCCCCATTTCTCTAATAATTCAAAAGTGCGATAGCTTATCATTAAACATGTCAACTATTTCTTTGACGAAAAACCTATCAACCTTCCTTTCAAAATTCTACTTTTCTTTAATTAGACTCTAGATTCAATAGATTCTAACTATCGAATAGCTTATTTGGACTCATTTGAACTTATTGAGCTGTAACTCATTTGGAAAACCTTACAGCCGAGCCGTTTCGGAAAACGTGGACCTCGACGACGTCGACAGCCTTTCCTACGACCGGGTTCGGAACGCTTTACACCACATTCGTCCACATGTTCGCATTCTTGATGCTTGAATTTATGGCTTTTTCTCTTCTCGTTGTAAAAACCTAACCTACAATTATTTAGGGATTTTGAGTTTGCAGAAATAACTTTGAAACGAGCTTTTTTTTTTTAAATTCCCAAAATCCGGGTCATTTTTTTTGAAACGTTTCTCTTCTACCGGTTCAAATTCGTGGTAAACTTCACATATTTCTCACTAACATCTTGAAAAAAAAAATTGATTCGTTTTTGATCATCATCAATCTTCAAAAAAGCGATTATCGACCGCCAAATTTGGTGGCAAAAACAAGCAACTGCCCTCAAAAAAACGAGAATCACATCATGGGGACGCACTAAAACAAAAATAATTGGAAAAGGGCAGTTTGAAGTCAAAAAATTCTTTACAAATTCATTGAAAAAATGGCAAAAATAAACTCGCCGTCAGCAGGAGTCGAACCTACAGCTAAAAGTAAATCTTACTAGTGTTGCACTTCAACAAAAATGTTTACATTGTGTTTTTAAGCTTAGATCTAGATATATAAAAATGAAAAAAGCCCAATTCCAACAAAAATCAGCGGAAAAACGCCTCTTTAAAAATGGCAAAAATAAATTCGCCGTAAGAAGGACTTGAACCTACGACTACAAGTGAGTCTTATTAGTGTAACCACTACTACACAAATTTTTTTGTCTTGGTATTTAAGCTTATATCTAGATAAATACAAATGAGAAAAGCCCAATTCCAACAAAAATCAGCGAAAAAGCGCCTCTTTAAAAACGGCAAAAATAAACTCGCCGTCAGCAGGAGTCGAACCTACGACTTCAAGACCGCCTAATTAACGTAGCCACTTCTACTTATATGTTTATCTTAGTATTTGAGATTAGATCTAGAAAAATAAGAACGAAAAAAGCCCAGTTTCAATCAAAAATTCGCGAAAAAGCGCCTCAAAAAAATGGCAAAAATAAATTCGCCGTCAGCAGGACTCGAATCAAGACCGCCTCATTAACAGCCCGGATCCGACTCTTTCTCTTGAAAACTTGAGTTTTTATATCAAAATTAATCAGAATATTGATTAACCAAATCAATTCGCTGCACTGCTGGTAACATTGGAGCTCTTCGTAGTCCTTTCAGTCCAAATCTTTTTCGATTTAAAGGTGAATGAGGTGAAGATTTTCCGTTTGTTCTGGTTCCCAATAATGAATGAGAAAGGTACCACATAACCTAAACTAATTTTCTTCCGTTAAAATCTTACAGAAAAAGTAGAACCTGACACAATAATTCTGAGAAAACCAAGCTGCTGCGCGATGTGTCCAAAGGAGTTCACATCGGCTTGTAATTTCAATAAATTTTCATCAAACAACATAATCTTCAAATTTGGACCTTAACTGGACTTTAAAAAAGAACTAACAAAAGAATATATCGAAATAGGTAAAGCCTGCAGGACAATCGACTTATGGCCGTCTTTTTTCGAGGCTGACGTCATCATAGCCGACTTTTCCCGGGTTACGCTCCAGAGTATCAGAGTATAACCAGTTAGAGTGAAAATGATAAGGAATACTTTGAACGCAAGAGCTAACTGAAAGAAAAATCAGTGGAGATATTTTAAAAGGAATATTCTTACAAGATAGTGAGTCGACAGTTTTGCCGAATTTTCGTTTTTTTCCTGTTTCAATAAATAAAAAATAATCACATAAGAATGCGGGATCGATATTATTATTGCAAAAGTCAACGGCCTGAAAAATCATTTATTTTGATGTTTTTGGTCGCATTGGGAATGGCTCAAAGGTTCCTTTTTGCGATTTTTGGCGAACTTGACTTTAAAACTTTCCATTTTTCTCAACTCTCTAGCTCTGAATCAAATAAATCTCACCATTTGAAATTCTCACAAAACCACGGAGAGATTTGGAAAAAGCTAAAAATACGATGAAGGCATAAAACAGCGTCGATGAATAGTAGAACATGGGGACAGCATAAGGTAATTACAAAGGTGAGTTCACCGATTATTGTGAAACTACCTTGAATACTTACTTACTTACTTAGATACTTAGATGGTCCATCTTCGCTTTCGACCTTTTATTGCCTTTTAGTGCCTTTTATTGATCGAAGCGTGGACCACACGTTTTCCAGGAGATCTTATGCAATCGGTCATCCAGTGTTGTCGTCCTGGTTGACTGGTATTCTTGCGAAAAAAATCCATCCGTGGTGTTGAACGTGTTATAGCATAATTGTGGTCTTATTATCCTTTTTGCCTTGCCAGGGCTAAGAAAGACCGCCCAGGTGAACGAGACCTTGAATGAAGCTCATAAATACGAAAATGGGCCCCAGGATACCGAGAAGCGTGAAAAATTCCATCCAGGGGACCGCGATGTAATAATTCAGCTGGAACAACGTTCGTAACTTGGAAATGACAGGAAATTTCTTGAAAAATCCCTAAAAGCTCACCTTTCTGTCATCTTTATAGCACTTTATCAAAATATAAATGAAGATTGCATGAAGAGCAATAAGAAGTGAAGCTTGAGATAGAAATAAGTAAGGCAAAAAGATCAAATAAAAACGATTCATTGCAGTGATTTTCTCTTTTTTGTGAAATTTTTGAGCAAGATACAACAGAAGAGTCTTCAAAAAGTTTCCTGTGACTTTGAGATTTAGTCTGGAATTTTCTAACGTATCATCAGGTTTTTTTCACGATTACATGTTATCATAATGTACGCGGAACGTTGGAAAAATGAGTGTTACTTTAAAAAAAAATTATAAAAAGTTCAGAGCATCCTTAAAACACAGTGATACCGTGTTTGTTCAATCCAAGAATGATTTATACAAATTTCAGCTTTTTGGAAAAGCTGATATTCTTTAAAAAATGAATTCGTGAAAAACGTGAGTAAAAAATAACCTAACTTTATGAAAATCCAACAAGAAATGCTCTAAAAGTAACTCAAAGTTGCTTTTGAAAAATTGGCAAAAAGGAATTCGCAGTCAGCAGGATTCGAACCTACGCGGGCAGAGCCCAATTGATTTCGAGTCAATCTCCTTAACCACTCGGACATGACTGCCACGGAGGCGTCGGCGGCGATTTGGCATTGAGATTGCTGCTCGCGGTACAGTTGTGCACATGAACTACTGTCTTTGGTTGGAAATTTGAAGAAAGTTCATTGAAATTATGAGGAATAGCCAAAGGATTCGTGAAAGATACGAAAATAGGCTGTTTTCTGGCAGAAAAACTCGAAAATTCTTACAAAAGGTTACAAATAGCGAAGAAATTTCTTAAAAAGTCACTCAAAACGTAAAGAATGAAATTAAAAAAAATGACGGAAGCTACGTCGAAAAATTCCCATCATTTCCACTCATTCAAACTCTACTGACTCGACTAATCGTCCAGCAAAATGCACGCGAGATTTCTAATCATTCTGTTCTTTATTCTGGTGACTGGAGCTTCGAGCTTCGATTTCATCGACAAAAATCGCTTGACTGAAGTCCTCAAACTCAAGGTTTGTTTGGAAAGTCGCCTATTCCTTTTAAAGTTTCCGTATAGTTGAAAAAAAAATTCTAGAGTACCTAAGAAGGCCTTCGAAGCGCCCATTCATGATTTTTCATCAGAAAGATCCTTTTTAACGATATGAAAAGGTTGAAAATAAGACGTTCCAAAAAAGAGAATAAAACGTCAATAAAAAGGTCCTTGAAAATTAAGGGAAGGTTAAGATACAGGCAGCTTTTAGGACCTTAAATGAAGACTTTGTTCTTTTTTTAGGCCCCTAAAAGGTCGCTTGGGCTTTTCCCTGTATGATCCTATAAATATCACGGCGTAAGTAGATTTTTGAAGCTAGAGTTTTTTTTTAATGCTAATTTTGTTAACTTTCTTTGAAAAAGTCTCATTTTCCAACAAAAAAATTTTAAAAAAACCGGGTATTTAAAGATTTTTGGTTTGATCAATAATCGTAACCCTTTTTTTTGAAAAATTCATTATTTTTCCAAATTTCTTACGACAAATTAAAGATGCTAATACTACATTTCACCAAACCCTAAAGGGGTCACTAAGGCTTGCAAAAGCGGTCCATTCAGGAATTTTAGTTAGTGGTCCCTATAGGGGATAATTGTTATGAACTCTATGTGAAGAAGCATATCCATGCAGAAAACTTCTGTATAAAATTGAAAGACCCCTATAGGGACCACTTAAGCTTCAGTGGCTAAGACCCTAAACCCCCTGGGGACTGCTTTGATTTTACGCCTATAGAGGCCACTTTTTCGGCCCCTATAAGGTCTGTAACTTCCCCCTAACCCCTATAGGGACCATTCTAAAATTCCTAAAAAGTAAATTTCAGAAAAGCGACGAGGGATGCACCAAGAACGACCTTTTCAACTACGAGCTCCAGCCCTTGTGCCACACAATGTTGCAGGTGAGCAAAATGACTCAAAACTAGAGTTTCACTCCTTTTTGTGCAATCTCGTTGAAAAGAATAAAAAACACCTCAAAATGATGATTTCAGCCGTGGATCTACGGCCTGTTCGTGTTCACGGCGTTCAGTTGCCTCATCTACATGTTGGTGTGCTGCTTGAAGAGCTGTTGCTGTGCCTGCTGCTGCTGAACAGTTCCAGAAGTACTTTACTGACACGGGGGGAATGAATAAAGCTTTTTTTTGAATTTCACTTTTTCAAGACATTTCAAAGGACAAAAAAAAAGTTTCGAACGCTTTTTGGAAAAAATAAAATTTACTGGATCATTAGGGTGACAAAGGTTCCATTTTTGCTGCCTTTTTGCACCATTTTCTCAGCCCTTATGCACCATTTTTGCTACCTCTTCCCTTTTCCACCATTTCTGGAGCCTTTGAAATCCCAGAAAAAATAGAAGGCTCGATAATGGGGCCCTTTTTGCTGCCTTTCTGCGGCCTTTATTGAAGAGTTTTCGAAGAAAAACCCATATTTTAATAAATTTTCACGAAAATGAGCTTCAATCTTGCCTTTCTGACTCATAAGGAGGACAGGAAAAACTGTAAAGCGGGACAACATTTCGGCATGTTTTCAAATATGTTTCCTCTCCCTTGCTGAAATACATACGTTATTCATCCCGGTAGGAAGGAAAGCGGGAATGTTTTCGAAACAGTCAATTTCTCCGTTGCTTTCTCTTTTTTTCAGTTAAACCAAATGACGCTTCTTCAGAACGGTGATACATTTTTGTGCTTGCTTATAATTTCCCTTGAATTTCAGTTCTGATCTCATTGTTTTTCTTCAATTTGTCTGAACAGCTTCAGAGCGGTGAGTTTTCAATGAACAATTCAACTTCAAAAATAAATTTCTTTCGAAAAATAGCTCGGAGCTTGAAGATCAGAAATTTCATGATAGGTTTCGAAAAAGAGAACCCGAGGCGAGAGATTAGCAATACCTTACAAAACAGGGAGACACAGAGAGACGCCAGCAGGACTTTTTAGGATGGTGCTGCAACAAGAGCAATTTTTCCATTTGCGAGGAGTACGGTATGCGGATATGCGCATTGAGTGCATACACTTTGCGTGTTTACACTTTCGTTGCGTAACCGGGTTTTTTGTTTCCGAGTTTTTTTTTTTCGAATATTTTTGCACTTTTCTCGATGATATTTGCACGATGAAAAACAGTACCAAGAAAAAAAAATTGAAAAAAAATGTGAAAAAAAAAACCTGGTGACGTCACGCAACGAAAGTGTAAACACGCAGAGTGTATGCACGCAATACCGTACTCCTCGCAAATGGAAAACTCGCTCTTGTCGTAGCACCTTTAAGATCTTGTCAATCAATTCAACTTCTTCGATCCCATGTTAGGAAAGAATTAAAACACCACGAAACCGGATCAAATTTTTGTTCAATTCTTCCAAAAATGCTATGCTTGATTCGCTACAACTTGGGCATTCATGATGGCTCAACGCGTTGCGGACGCGCTGCGGTTCAAGTTCCAATTTCAAAGTTGATAGCCCATACAGTTACACATGATGTTCCACGCAAGTCGTTTCGTGATCCGACGAAAGTGGTCCCTATAGGGGTTGAAGGAGAAAAGACCGCAACGCGTTTAGCCATTCCCCGTGCGCTTAACAAGGAAGGTAATTTTGCCTTCTGGTTGAGTCTTATTTTAAAAATGGCCAGAACACTTCTTAATGGGCCAGCTAACGACATTAGAAGTCTCAAAAAGTCTAAAAATTTCGTTTTCGAGATGTGAGGTCTCAAAGTCCCAAAATAGCCTGGTTAACGCATTTTTGAGGGGGAACTTTTTGACTTTGAGGTGTTAGGAAATCGAGAGTGGTCTCTTTAGGAGTTGAAGGAGGAGATTAGCTCTATAAGTGCCGAAAAAGTGGTCCCTACAGGAGTGAAATCAAGGGGTCCCTATTGGGGTTCAGGGTCTGTCCCCTCAGCCCCTAAAGCTTAAGTGGTCCCTATAGGGGTCAACTGCATTTAAATTCAGTTATTCGCGTGGGATTGCTTCTTCGTAAAAATTATCGATAAGCATGTCCCCTATAGTGGCCACTAACTGAAACTCGTACAGGTACTAATTTTGCAAGATTTAGTGACCTCTATAGGGGTTAATAAAGTGGTCCCTAAGGCCCTTATAGGGACCACTCTGGAGTTCCTAAGATTCTCGAAAACTAGAAAAACGTGCAGATTGAAACTTTCAAACTCATTTTCTGGAATATCAAGGAAATTTCGAAGAAATTCTCAACCGTGAAGTGAAATTACCTTCCTTCCAGATATGCATTTTGAAGTCAAAAACTGATTAAATTCCAGACAAATGCTGTCAAATCGCGTTGGGCTCCGGTTCCGAAAGAGAGAAAAAAACGTTCGAAGCTATGTGTAGGACATTGTCATGCACCAAGGGCGAGGTGCAGATCAACGAAGAAACTGTGAGGTACAATCGCACCTGGACCAACCAGATCTCAAAAAGTGGACCTATCGAGTTCGACCACGTCGATGTTCATATCAAAAAGATGCTCAGCCTAGTCGAAGTCATCTATCTCACCAAAATTACAGAAGCTCGTGGGTTTTTTGAATACATTTTATTTATTTTTCTGTTTTTTGTTTTGTTTTGGTGGTTGAAGAAGGCATGGTTGACTAGAAAACGGCTCTTCGTTTCGAGACCTTATTTGAATTTATTCATGTTCCTTTAAACACTCTAGCTAGGGTTTTGAAAAAAAAATGTTCTCTTTATGTTTGTCGATAAAAATAACCTTTTTTTTAATTTTTCAAAAATTATCCACGGAGCACAAAAATTCTCTAACTCGTAGGCTATTTTTTTGTGTTGAAGGTTCATTTAGCCCATGTTGGAAATACATTATCCATAGAGCAAACAAGCTTCCAAGTGCGCGGCTATTTTCACAGCACAATTTTCAAAAATTATCCATGGAGCGAAAAAGCTTCCAAGTGCGCGGCTATTTTCACAGCCCAATTTTCAAAAATTATCCATGGAGCGAAAAAGCTTCCAAGTGCGCGGCTATTTTCACAGCCCAATTTTCAAAAATTATCCATGGAGCGAAAAAGCTTCCAAGTGCGCGGCTATTTTCACAGCCCAATTTTCAAAAATTATCCATGGAGCGAAAAAGCTTCCAAGTGCGCGGCTATTTTCACAGCCCAATTTTCAAAAATTATCCATGGAGCGAAAAAGCTTCCAAGTGCGCGGCTATTTTCACAGCCCAATTTTCAAAAATTATCCATGGAGCGAACAAGCTTCCAAGTGCGCGGCGATTTTTACAGCCCAATTTTCAGAAAATTATCCATGGAGCGAACAAGCTTCCAAGTGCGCGGCGATTTTTACAGCCCAATTTTTAGAAAATTATCCATGGAGCGAACAATCTTCTAAGTATTTTTTTCAGCCAAACTTTCCTGTTTTTACGTGAAAATATATTGAAATGGTTCAATTTTTCGAAGATAAAAGTTTTGTAAAAATCAGAAAGGGGTAAATGACATAAGAATTCCAGAGTGGTCCCTATATAGGTCGTTCGATTTCATTTTAAAAAAGCTAATTATTGTTTTTGCATGGAAATGCTTCTTTGAATAGAAATTATAACAATTATCGACTAGAATTTTTCCCTATAGGGACCACTTTCAAGCTTTATTGGTCCCTATAAAGGACCCTTCAAGGGCTGCTAAGGTTGCCTCTATAGGGACCACTCTGGAGTTCCTAAGTACTGCTAAAAACCTCGAAATGTGCTTTTTCTTAGGTTTTTTTTTTACTTTCTTCCCAGGATCTTTTTCTGGTAAATTTACGAATTTACAGCCCACGCGGTCAAGTTCGTCAACTCGACGGTGTCGGAAGAGGAATTCAAAAATCTCAAGTCTATCGAAATCCTCGGAGACTTCCTCGAAGATTATTGCGACGGACGAAAACTTGTGGAAATCGATAAGCTTAGTGATGTCCCTATGAAAGTTCAAGATAGATTGAACGGGGCTGTTGATAAGGTAGGTTTTTGAATTTTCGTCTTAATTGCAACAAACAGTTATAGCCCAAAAGCAAAAAATCGTGCCGATGGGCGGAGCTTTGCGGTCCCTATCTATAGGAAGCTGATTGAAAAAATAGATCTACTGTAGATCTGAGTACTCAAAGCTACAGAAAAAGCCCCGTAGGTAGGCTGAGAGGGGGGTCTTATAACCCTTGGAAATTTTTTTATTTATTGTAAAATGAATTAACTGATGATGATTGGGGGAGGGGGGCTTAAAGGAGTGAGGGAACCCGATAGGGGGGGGGGGAGGAGAGAAACACACTACTTCCGTAACCATCTCTTTTTCACTTCCAATCCAAAAAATTAACCTCCATTCTTATTCAACCTATCTCCATCCTACCGTAGCTTCAGCTTTTCGTATCTACCACTCATGAATATGAAAATCATTCTATCAAAAAAATTACAGTAAGGTCTTTTAACCCTTGGAAATTTTTTATTTATTGTAAAATAAATAAACGGATGATACCGTAGCTTCAGTTAAGTACCATCAAATCTTTAAAAAAAATTTCTCAGGGAAAATATTCAATTTCCAACATTCTACCCTCGTCAATACTCTCATTACTATTACCCAATCTCAAATCTCTTCGAAAAAATTTTTCAGCTCACAGAACCTTGTGCCGACTTGAAAAAAGTGACGCCTGGCTACAAGAAACTATCGTCACAAATTCATCTTATGAGTTGTAAGTTTTTCCTTTCTAAATTTCGGGATGCACGGCATTCCTAATGGGGTGGAGGAAGGTGAGCGAGGCGGCAAGGTTTCTGAATCAAAAAAAAAGTAAGTGCGCGCTCCGGATAAAATGACGTCATTCTACGTCACAAATTACACTGAGTATTCAACGTTAATAACGTGTTTGTTCGATCGCCTTTGGCTGCGTACTTGAGATTTAAATTTTCGCGCCCAATTATTTTTTGACGTTTTCTCAGCCCGTTTGGGAACGTCGTGGGATATGAAAATTTTTTTTTCAGCCCTTCTAGCCCTCCTTCCAACCTTCTACTTATGATTCAACGACTTCAAGTTCCGCTTTTCCTCAATAAATACTTCTCAAGTTTTTTTTACACACATTGGTCACGTCAATTGGAAAACTTAAAAATATATCTTCATTATAATCTAGATATTCGTTTGTACATTTAATAAAATTTTCTGAAACTTGTTGTTTTATCAAAAGAACATTGCAAAAGTCTAACTTCTGGTCATTGAAAGTGAGGGCGTTAATTCTAACAAGAAGATGATCATCGGGATGAAAACCACTCATTAAAAAGAAAAAAATTTATATTTTTCAGAAAAAAACAAGGTTATTTACTGTTCACGCTTGACATTTACTTGTTCTGTGCAATTTTAAAAAGTTCCACGAAATATTTCTCTAGCAAAATTTATTTATTTTAGAGCTCTTACTACTAGTTTTTTTCGGCTCTCCGGTCATAGAAATCCTTCAGAATCCCGTTATGGTTTTGCTTGTGAATCAATAAATAATAAATCAAGTAACTTCCCAGAAAGTGAAAAAAATGCTACAAACTTTTTAAAAAGTAACCCATCCTTTTTTTAATTTACGTTTGAGTTCACGAGCCCTTATCTAATATTTTTAAACTTCTAGAAAGCTTATTCTGTGCAAAGATCATACTGGAACGGCTATAAAAATCAAATAAATTCCCGAAATCTGGATATAAGTGTACAAATTCTCGTGATTTAGGAATTCCAGAGTCGTCCCTATAGGGTTTAGTGTGTAAAAAAAAACCCATTTAGAAGCCGAAAACCTGGTAAAATCAAGGTGGTACCTATAGGGGTTAAGGGTCTGACCACTGAGCCTCTAAAGCTCAAGTGGACCCTATAGGGGTCTTTGAATTTCCTTCAAAAACCGCTTATTTATTCAGATTTTCCTATGGAAACGCTTCTTCGATTAGAGTTTATAACAATTATCGACGAGCCTCTCCCTATAGGATCCACTTCTGCAAGCTTCAGTGGCCCCTATAGGAATTGGTAAATGATCCCTAGAGGCCTATAAGGTTGCCCCTATAGAAACCGCTCCGTAACTTTCAAGGGTTTTGGGTTAAAATTGCTCCAAAACTCAATAGCCTCAATTCTTCGGGTAAAAATGATTCCGCCGAAAAATACTGTTAAATCAGCTTTCAGATATCAAATAACCACTCAAAATCTGGTTATAAAAACACGAATTTCTTTGTTTTCCGTATCAAAATATGTTCCAAAGTTCATGAAATTATTTTTTTTACACTAGAAAAAGCGTTCCAAGCCGAAAACTTCCGTGTGAATTTTTTATTTCTTCAGAGTTTTAAGAATCTTTATGATAGTCCATTTAGGATCCCCTTAAGTTACTGTAGCAAAATTCGAGCCTTTACCATAATTATACTTTCTCCTTAATCCTCCCAAAATTTACCGTAGATCATTTTTTCTATTTTTCTTCTTTTTTTTTTGTTGAATTTTCTCCATTCAACCCGTCTTAAAATTCTTAAAATAACCATTAATCACCCGATTCCAGTCATGAACTGCTCATCCTACCACAGAGATGCTTATTTTTTGGGTTTTAAAATTCTATCGGCACTTGAAACCGTCATAATGATCCTGGCAATCTACTGTATCGTTTTTCAATCACCGAAATCGATGAGGACCTTCAGATGGCTGCTTTTGAACCAGCTGATCTGGTTAGTTTCCTTGTAAAAATATGGATATCACTGATAATTTTTTAAAATACTCTTTTTCAAGGATAAAAAAAACCTGAAAACTAAAGAAAAATAATCCAAGGATCTCATAGAACTGTACTTATTAGAAAAATAACTACAGCCCTTTCGATATTTATTTCAGTTTTCGAGTCTTTTTAAAAACTTTTCAATGGAGCGCATGAAACACGGCTATTTTTTCTCTGCTTGTTCCTCAAAACGCCACCAAATTAGATTTTTACTTCTTTGATTTTCATAAAAAGCCATTTCAGAAAGTAAATCATTCTTTCAAGCTACTTTACTCAGAATATAATTCACTTCAAGCTCACTCTCTTCCCCTAAACCTTTAGAAACTCTTAAAAAAGGAGAAAATCTTTTTTTCAAGCTACGTTTCTTGAAAAATAATCCAAATGAAGCTAAAACTTCACTCAAGAAACGTTGACAAGTATATTCCAGAAGTGCATGAATTTTTCAAGCTTATCTCGAAAGATAACCGACTTTTTATAGAGCTTAGAAGCCTCATTTTTTCTTTTTTTATTCTCAAAAAACTCTTCGAAATACATTCAAAGAGGAAAGCATTTTTTTTCAAGCTACTTGTCTGGAAAAATAGTCCACTTCAAGCTGAATTTTCTTCACTTAATCTCGAGAAATTTGAGAAAAATCTACTCCAGTAGTAAATAAACTTTTTCCAAGCTCCTTTCTGGGAAAAATAATCCGGTCTAAGCTCACTGATCTCTACTACACCTTAGGAAATTCTTTAGAATACATTCCAGGTGGAAAAAACTTTTTACAAGCTTCTTTTCTCGAAAGACGATTCACTTTAAGCTTATTTTCTATATACCAAACCTTACGAAACTTTTTGAAAAATAAATATCAAAAGAACATAATTTTACAAGCTACTTTTTCACGAAAAAAATGATCGACATTGAGCCTAATATTTTAGACTTAACCATAAGAAACTCTTAAAAACATATTTCGAGAAAAAAATTTTTTTTCCACCTTCTTTCTCAAAAAACAACCCCTGCATGCTCAATTTTCTCCCTTGAATCTCAAAAACCCATTCCAGGATGCTGCTTCTCCAAATGGTTCTTGGAAGCCTGATCCGACCAGTTCTATATTTTCCCGCAAGTGGCGCCACCGTCAATGGACCTCTGATCAAACTTCTATCCCCTCCGATGCAGTACTACTTCAGCTTCTTCATAGTTGGATGTGAGGCTCATTTTTTTTTCAAACAAAATTTGAGAAATTCCAGGCGTGGTGGCATCAACGGTGGCCCTATTCGAGTACAGATTCCAAGCGATTCTACCGGAAAACTCGGCTTTCAAGTTTTCCACAAGGACTCGAGTCATCATTTTTGCCGTTAGGATAATCGTAGCTTGTAATAACGCGGCACCGACTCAATTTTGGATCGATCGGGATAAAGATGCTGCTGAGCATTGGAGAACAGTAACTTTTCGATAGAACTTGTCAATATCAAATCATAGTAAGATCACCGTATTTTTTTCAATTTCATAGCTAGGAATAACTGGAAAGAGTCATTTTTTGATGTAACTTACTTGGGAAACTTTTCTGGACACTTCAAAGAACTCAAAATAGCGCTTTTTTGTCATAATTTGCGAACTTTGAAGCTCCATAAATTTGAAACGAGGGCGTGAAAAACTTTCCCTAACTGATGAAAATGACCAAAATTTCTTTTGATTTCAAAAATTGCGGGCCATCAGAACCGTTAATATCCTTCTAATCACTCTGATTCCGTTTTTTTCTGTCTCGAAATTTCATAAAAAGTGGCCTTTCCAAGATTTAGACCCCCGTGAGAAGTTAAAATCCATAGATTTTGATGAAAGTCAAAAAAAAAAAAAATCAGTTGGAAAAAAAAGTTTGCTACTTGCATTTTCATGTAGAAATCTATTGAAAAATTAACTTTTTTTCTAAAAAAATCTCATATTTTCTATCAATTAAACATCATACAATTTAAAAACCCCAATTTTTCAAATCTAGAAGTCCTTCTTCAACATAATCCAATTCCCTAGCCCATCCCGAAATTTCCAGTCCCTACCCTGCCTGCCAGAAGAAGCACTATCGAAATCGTCCACAGTTTTCCTTGAACCAGAAAACTTGAAGTTCGTCTTCATTTTCTGTGCAATCGCCTGGTGTCAATGTGTTGTGGAGGGCTTTTTCTACGTTATCAGTTCGATCAGGTTAGTTGGAATTTCACAGACAAAAAAAACAATATTCAGAAAACTGAACCCATACGTGAAACACGAGTGTTCGGATAGAACCAAGCAACTTCAATGGTCATTTTTGAAGGCTCTTCTTATTCAGGTAACTTCAAAAGTTCAATAAAATTTTCAAAAAGGTGGTTTTTTAGGAATGCGCTCCAATTTTGATCGCTTATCCTTTACCAGCTTTATACGTCAGCTTCAGCTGCTACACGGGTTACATGAACATGGGTAAATCCTTATTTTAGTGAGTAAAAAGAAAAATTCCTCGCCCCATTTCGTTGATTTTTAAAAATGGGAAAGCCTTGGAATCCCAGCCCAAGAAAGTCTGATTATAATTTTCCGTAAGTTATTGCCCTGAACTGAAAAAATAATAGTGCTCTAAAAATTCGTTCAAAATCCAAAAGAATCGATGAACTTCAAAACAGCATCACACCAAAATTTCAGTTTGAGTTTTTTGAACTCCTATTGTAATCAGAATAGACAAGGTACTGAAAATTTTGCATAGGAATCTTACTGGCTCCGCCCCTTTTTAGGGTTACGGTAGGAAAAATACCAAAAAAAAACCTCTCATTTTCCAGCACTATTTCGTAACCCTCTCAAGAGCCCTTATTAAAAATTTACTCGTTCATATCATTCTAACAATATTATCACACCAAAACTCCATCAAAAAGTGGGATTTATTGTAGTCCAAGCGCCATTAAAAATTAAAATCGACGAGAGTCAACAGGGGCCTGAAGAGACACCAGAGAAGCTAGAAATTCCATTTTTCTCTGATCTCTCCTGATCTCTCGCCTCTAGTTGAACCTCAGGAACTTGGGTGAAAAACTGTTAAAGTGTGTCGTAAAGTAAAACGTTTCAACCGCAATGAGAAAGTGCATACACTTCTTATTTCTACCGTATCCCAAAAATATCAGAGTTTTCACCCTTCCTTCCAGCAAATGAATCTTAAAAAACTCTCGTGATCCCTCGCCTCTAGTTGAACCTCAGGAACTTGGATGAGAAACTCTTGAAGATTGTCGTAAAGTAAAACGTTTCAACCGCAATGAGAAAGTGCATACACTTCTTATCTCAACCGTATTCCAAAAAATCATAGTTTTCCCCCCTTCCTTCCTGGCAATGAATCTTAAAAATTCGTTTTCAGACCTCAACAACATTGCGGTTCTGATTCTGATGAGCCACGGGATGCTCTCGGGTGTCGCCGTCATACTGGTCAACAAGCCTTATCGACAATTTTGCTGCCGACTGTTTCACAATAAAAATTTCCCGAGAAAATGTAGCGTTTTTGTGGACGTTCCCAACGGTCTCAATATTCCAAGCTACTATCATCTTTTCTCGAAATAAACTTTTTGTGGGGACTTTTCGGGGAGCATATATGGGCAAGTAGAGCTCATTCCGTCAGGGAGAAGAGGTTGGCTCACAAAATTTCAAAAAAAAAAAGGATAAAATCAAGTTTCAACCCCAGGGAGGTAGTTTTGGCCATAATAATACAACTTAAACCTAAATTTAGAAAAACTTAGGAGGAAGGGCCTTTAAAAAGGGGGTTATACCTTGTTCTAGAAAAAACAAATAAAAACGAAAAAAAAATTCCTAAAAAAAATGTGAAGATCTGATCAAATAAGCGACCTTTCTTCAAATCGTTTCAAGACCCATTAGCAAATAATTTTATCTACTGGTGGTGGGCTCGTTCGTACAGGGCTGTGGGGGAGCATTGTAGATTAATCCCAAAATCTTTTCAGTTCTCAGTTCTCAAACTTTGTGTATCCCTTTGAAATTTTTTTCCAAACTTCAATTCTGAAGGTCGCTAACCACTGAACATTCCCTAGTAGTATTTTTTCAACTCTAATGATCAATTTCTAGCCTATTTTCTTCTGTAAACTCCCTCTCAAAGCTGAATTTCAAAGATTGCGAGTTGCAAAATCGGCAAAATAAGCAGGTGGCCGAAAAAAAAGTTAATTAACTTTTCTTCGTAGACAAAATAATGTTTCAAGAACCGAAATGCGTGCCAACGCATTTTCCTGAATAATTACACCTTCAAAGTTTTCTCAGCTAGTTTTGTGATTTCTGAGATTGAGAAGAGAAACTTTTCATCATTTTTTTTTAGAGTTCTTTGAAAATAACAACGTTCAAGCTTTTTACTTGACGCTTCTCCCGTTTTGAGCTAAACATTTGGAATTTTTCCAGTCATGAACTGCTCACACTACCATAGGGAAGCCTATTTTTTGGGTTTGAAAATCTTATCAGTACTGGAAACGACGGTAATGTTCCTCGCGATCTACTGTATCATTTTCGAATCGCCGAAATCGATGAAAACCTTCAGATGGTTGCTTTTGAATCAACTCATTTGGTTAGTTCACTCATGAATGGAAAAAGCGCTTTAAAATATCAAACTCTACCAAAATTGAGGGTGAACCCCGCTAGGAACCCCTAAAAAGTGAACTTTTCTTTGATGTTGGACCTGCATGGCGTGCACCCCTGGGGCAACTGGTCGGAAATAAAAAGTTGCTTTGAGCCACCGTATCAGCCTAGGATGATACTGTATAAAATGGTGATATTAAGAAACAAACCACTTCGAAATCGTGCACAGAATGAGTACCTTAATAGGCATATAAAGCTCAACGGGGTGCTATTCAACGTACGTTTCAAGGCTGCCATATAAGAGAAACCAGTCCTTAGGAATCCGTTTCTTGGCTTCTCACTGCGAAAAATTAAAAGCTGGCATGGGCAGAAGTGTTGAGATATAGTATATCCTAGAGAAGGCAAATAATGAGATTCTGTAGGGAGAAAATTGGATTACAGTTTTTTGGGCTCTTCCCATTATTCCTAGCGATTTTCTCTTTGATGATATCTAAAAAAAAGTTGCGGTGCACCCCGCGTCAAACTCTTGGCGCACCCCGTAATGTAACCAGGGGTGCACCCCGCAGTTTAAACGGGGGCGCACCCCGCAGTGTAACCAGGGGCGCACCCCGTTCAGCTTTAAAAGCCTATTAAGGTTCAATACACGATTTTGAAGTGGTTTGTTTCCCAGTATAACCATTTCCTACAGTATCTTCCTAGGCTTTTACGGTAGCTCAAAGAGAACTTTTATTTCCGAACGGTTGCCCCAGGGGTGCACGCCATCCGGGTCCAACGTGGGATGCACCGCAAAAATCAAAGAAAAGTTCACTTCGGGGTACACCCTTCTTGTTATAGTCTGTTCAGATTTCGAATGTCAAGTCGTCGCCCAAGCTCCGCCCCTAATGGTGCGATAAACCAATCAGAGAGTGAGCCATCCACAGAGTGTTTTTGAATGACGTCATTGCACTTGACATTTAAAATCTGAACAGACTATAGAGCTAGCAAATGAAAGCCCCAAAATCCCAACTTTCAGGATGTTAATACTCCAAATAGTCCTGGGCGGCCTGATCCAGCCAGTCCTTTACATCCCAGCCAGCGGAGCCACTGTCAATGGACTTTTGATCAAAATTCTCTCCCCTTCGAAGCAGTACTACTTGGGCTTCTTCCTCATCGGATGTGAGGGTTATCGAGTTAAAATAAAAAAATTCTGAACATTTGCAGGCGTGGTGGCATCAACGGTAGCCCTGTTCGAGTACAGATTCCAGGCGATTCTACCGAAAAACTCAGCTTTGAAACTATCGAAAAGGACTCGGATCATCATTTTCGTTGTCCGAATCACTGTCGCGAGCAATAATTCGTTACCGATTCAACTTTATATCGATTCCGACAACGACGCCGGCGAGCATTGGAAAGAGGTTATTGGGGAAACAAAAAATGAGCCTCATTTGGTCAGGGAGCACGAATCGCCTGACAAATTTAGGGATAAAATCAACCTCAGGAAGGTAATGTTGAGAGGATAAAAATCAATTCAAAAGTCAGGGCGGTAGTACCGAGTTCAAATAAGTTAGATTTAAAAAGCGTACTTAGGAATTCCAGAGTGGTCCCTATATGGGTTAGAGAGGAAAAAAACCTCTACAGTGGTCGAAAAAGTGCTCCCTATAGGGATACTATAAAGGTGGTCCCTATTTTGTTGGGGTTTAGGGTCTGGCCCTTTAATTTCAAGTGGACCCTATAGGGGTTTCTCAATTTCATTCAAAAAACCCTTATTTGTACAGTTTTTTTTCCATGGAAATGCTTCTCCGCTTGGATTTCATAACAATTATCGACTAGCAAGTCCTCTGAAGAGACAACTTTTGCAAGCTTTAGTGACCCCTATAGGGATTTGGCTTTCAGGTTGCCCACTCTGGAGTTCCTAAGTTCGAGCCTCTGTTTAAAATAAATTTCATTTTAATCTTCATTTTCCAGAAAAATTTATAATTGCTCAAAAAAATTTCCGGTTTTCCTTATTCATTTCAACGTTTTTTTACGTTTAATAATCCTTGGAACACTACTTTTTCATCAAAAAAAGATTTTTTTTTTTTGAATAGTCAAGCTAAAATGAACATCTACAGGTTATCAGAAACCTCCAATTTTCAAACAGAAAACCTTCCAATCTGAAATTCCTAACAAATAATCAACTTTTCAGGAGCTTTCCTGCCTGCCGGGAGAAGCCCTAGCCGACAAGGCGACATTTTTCATCGAGCCAGAACATTTCAAATTCGTCTTCATCTTCCTCATCATAGCCGGCTTTCAGTGCCTGATTGAAGCTATTCTCTATGTTGTAGGCTCTCTAAGGTACACAGAAAAATTAATGAGCTCAAAAATGAGAAATATTCAGAAAACTAAACCCATTCGTGAAACACGAGTGTTCGGATAGAACCAAGCAACTTCAATGGTCATTTTTGAAGGCTCTTCTTATCCAGGTAACTTCAAAATTTTATTAAAATTTTTGAAAATGGTTGATTTACAGGAATGCGCTCCGATTTTGATCGCTTATCCTTTACCAGCTTGCTACCTTCTTTTCAGTTGCTACACGAAATACATGAATATGGGTGGGTACTTTTTACTTCGCTGTTGAGAATTCCCTGAAAATTGGCCAGAAGGTTCCTTGATATACCAGAATAAGCTTCTAAAAGTCTCAATCTGCACAACTTCTCAGTTCTCGAAAAATGAGGGTCTAAACCCAAAAAGTAGCTCATTTTAACATATTCTGACTGCTTCTTTGAACACTCTTCTCGAAAAGTAGAAGATTGTGCAGGTTAAGACTTTCATAATCCTTTTCTGGTACATCAAGGAGTGTTCTGGCCAAATTTCAGAAAAATCCCAATGTAAAATGACCTCCCTTGTTAGGGTAAAAGATGTTCATAAAAAGCCAAGAACTAGAGAAAAGTCCTAGATGACTGTAGATTTCACACAATTTTTTTGAAAAAAGGCGGGGGGGGCAAAAAAAGTTAAGGAGAGAGAGTTAGTACTGGTCGACAGAAGAGAGGCCAGAGAAACGAGAAATTCTCTCTTTCCCTGGTGTCTCCTCAGTCTGCCGATCTCTCCTTCTCATTAGCATTTTGAAAATGTTTTGAAGTTAAAAAAAGTCATTTTCTATAGCCTATTCTTGGCTAGCTTGGGACGGCAGGGGGCGTGGTCTTTCTCTTTTATTATCGTGTTAGGACCCATTTTTCGATGGCTCAATTCAACCGTGATTCAGCTATACCCATCTTTACCACTTTTATATTTCTAAAAAATCCCAAAATCACAGTTTTTTTACTTGAATTTTTCACCGCAACACGGCGGTGTGTCCACATTCACTACCTACCGTAACCGAAAGAATATCTTAACTTTCCTTTATTTTATACTCTCCCGAAAGAAGGTTGTTTCAGACCTCAACAATCTCTCAGTTCTGATTCTAATGAGCCATGGGATGATCTCAGGAATCGCCGTCATTTTAGTCAACCGGCCGTATCGACGATTCTTCTGTCGTATTTTTCTGCGTAAACCGTTCCAAAGGAAAATGAGTTTATTTGTTTGCAATGCTCCAAATTTGTCCAGTTATGCCATTACTTAGGAATAGACGTGTCTCTTCTTTGTTTTTTGCAGTTCAAAATGAAGATTTTGGAAAACATCGCAGCTTTCTACAGAAAAAGTAGATCAATATTGCTGCTTTCTATATATTCTAGCCTTCTCAAAAAGTATTCTGATCACTTGGAGCCTTACTGGGAAATTTTTTAGTGGCCACTATAGAGGCTGGCCAAGGACTACTTGGAGAGGACACTAAAGTGGCCACTAAACCCACCTCTATAGGCCTCTCTTTTCCGTTTTAGTGGCCACTATAGAGGTTCTCCATTTAGTGGCTACTTCAGTAGTTTTGTACCCAGTATTCCTTCCAGTAACTCTGATAATTTCAAAACAAACAGATTGGACCAGTTATGTTGATCCATTGACCCCTAAAGTGGCCACTAAAAGTTTTAGTGTTTTAGTAGTAGCACTTAGACCTTTATAGTGGCCACTAATTTTTAACCCCTAGCCACTGAAACGTCAGAACCCTATAATGGCCACTAAACATTTTCCCAGTAGTTCCCCTGCTCTCCTTCAGAAACTTCAATGACCATTTTTTTTTTGAAAATTTCTAGTTTTAAGAACAAAATTCAAGCACCAAAGAGTGTCATGAAAACTTGTTTTCAAAGTTATTTTGTTGCGAAAATGACCAGGTGGCAAAAAAAAAATTCAATATTCTCTCGTAGACAAATAGGTAGGTTAGAAACCAACGCAAGTTTCAGATAATTACCGCTTTTTTTCAGCGACTTTGCTAGAAAAATTTAACTTTCAATACTTCTTTTTGGAAGCTTCTTCGAATAAAAAAATTCAGAAGGCTTGAATTTTTGATAGAAAAAGTCTTTTATCCTTCTTGGCTATGACATTTTTTTGCAAAAAAAGTGTACATTTTTTTGATTAATTTCCACAGTTAAGCTTCCAACCTTCATCATTTTCTAGCTCAATTTTCCAATTTTCCAATTTTTCTTTATGTTCTCTTTCTACAGCTGCTTATCTCCACAATCTCTGATCACCTGAATTCCTTCAAAGTAAATCAAAATATTTATTCTTGATTGAATTCAGTCATGGACTGCTCACACTACCATAGGGAAGCCTATTTTTTTTGGGTTTGAAAAATCTTATCAGTACTGGAAACGACGGTAATGTTCCTCGCGATCTACTGTATCATTTTCGAATCGCCGAAATCGATGAAAACCTTCAGATGGTTGCTTTTGAATCAACTCATTTGGTTAGTTCACTCATGAATGGAAAAAAAGCGCTTTAAAAATATCAAACTCTACCAAAAATTGAGGGTGAACCCCGCTAGGAACCCCTAAAAAAAGTGAACTTTTTCTTTGATGTTGGACCTGCATGGCGTGCACCCCTGGGGCAACTGGTCGGAAATAAAAAAAGTTGCTTTTGAGCCACCGTATCAGCCTAGGATGATACTGTATAAAAATGGTGATATTAAGAAACAAACCACTTCGAAATCGTGCACAGAATGAGTACCTTAATAGGCATATAAAGCTCAACGGGGGGAGTTTTAAAATAACAGTTCGGTATGAAAAAAAGCCTCAAAATGTCTAATCTATGTAAAATCAACGTGTAATTTTTCATTCGTCGATTTTAATTCGGAGAACAAATATTTACCCCTCCAACGTACGTTTCAAAGCTGAGAGAAAAGGGAAATCAGTCCTTACGAATCCGTTACGATCATTGTGTTCTTACATAAAAAAAAGATAATTCATCTGAGATCAATAAATTTTCTTTCCTCTTTTACTTTGCGAATTTCAAGAAAACTCGAAGATTAAATATCTTCAAAAGCACAATAAGAGAAAAAAATTCTCTGATAAACCCAGATATTTTTTTAAATAGTTTCGAAATGTAAAAATACTACTCGCCCCCCCAATGAGGTCATCACTTTCGAAAAATTTGAGAATTATCCATAGGGCGCACTTTAACCGACAAGCCACATAAACGTGGCTGTTTTTTCTCTGAGGGATAGTTGGTGAAAGGACAAGGTGATAGGCTTCAATACACCATCTCTCATCATCCAAATGACAATTTTTCTTTTTGAATGAGATAAATTGATATCAAAGAGCCGCAAAAAAATAAAACAGCCTCGAATAACAAGTTATTTGCTCCACGGTTAAAAGGAGCTGTAACTGAAACCTTGGTAACACAAACCGGACGTTTCCTAGCATCTCTAGTAATCACTCAAGAAGGGGCTCAAATGTTTTTCAATATTCTGTGAAAGTTTTTAGTGGCCACTATAGGGTTTTGACGTTCTAGTGGCCACTATAGTCGTCAAATTAGTGGCCACTTAAGGGGTTAAAAATGGCCACTGTAGAGGTCTAAGTGCTACTACTAGACCACTAAAAATTTTAGTAGCCACTTTAGGGGTCAATGGATCTGATCAAATCTGTTTTTTTGAAATTATCAGAGTTACTGGAAGGAACAATGGACGAAAAACTACTGAAGTGGCCACTATAGAGGTGGGTTTCGTGGCCACTTTAGTGTCCTCTCCAAGTAGTCCTTGGCCAGCCTGTGTAGTGGCCACTGAAAATTTTCACTGTTTTTCTTTTCTTGAATCCCTCTGACTACGCGCCCAGGACGTCCCTGTACAATTCTAGTAATCACTTAAGGATCCTGGCGCCACTGAAGTGGTCACTAAAAATGTTCAGAAACAACTAGGACATTCGATTTGCGTTACAGGCGTTCGATATCTTAAAAAAAATCCAGTTCTCGGACCTCGGCAACGCGAACCAGACGTCTCTGAGCAATTCTAGGGATCACTTAAGAGCTCTGTCGCTACTAAAGTGATTCCTAGAAATGTCCCAAAACGTCCGTTTTTACCAAGATCCGAGTTTACTCAATTCATATATCCATGGCGATTTTGAATGCGTCAACTCATCCATTAATATAATATAAACTGAGCAATTCCAAAGTGGTCCCTATAGGGGTTAGGGGAAAAAAGCCCCTATGGGGGACGAAAAAATGGTCCCTATAGGGGTGATCACTTAGCCTCTAAGTTTAAGTGGTGCCTCTAGGGTTCTTTCAACTTTGTTCAAAAAACGCCTATTTACTAAAAAATTTTTTTAGCATGGAAGCTTTTCATAGAGTAGAAAAACTATCGATTAGCATGTTCCTTATAGGGGCCACTAACTAAAACCTCTATAAGGACCACTTTTGCAAGCTTTAGCGGTCCCTAAATAGACCTAAGGATGCCCCTATAGGGACCACTCTGGAGTTCCTAAGAAACCAGGATTCGATAGAGAAAACTTTTTTTGAACAGGAGCCGTTTGAGAGAAAAAACCCGATTTTCATTTTTCCATAAAACTGGCTCAAAACTGTCTCATTTCAGGATTCTAATCCTTCAAATAGTCCTCGGCGGCCTCATTCAACCGGTCCTGTACATTCCAGCAAGTGGCGGTAAAGTCAATGGAATTTTATTGGATATCCTCTCCCCATCATCTCAATACTACCTTGCCTTCTTCATGATTGGATGTAAGACGAGAAAAATGATAATTGAGGATCAAATTATCAGGCGTGACATCTGCAACAGTGGCCCTATTCGAGTATCGATTCCAATCAATTCTTCCGAGTAATTCTTCTCTCAAACTATCCAAAAGGGCTCGAATTATCATATTTATTATTCGAATCTCTATAGTGAGCAACAACTGTCTACCAACTCAATTATTGATCGATCGGGAGAACAAAGCGAGTTATCACTGGAAAGAGGTACTCGTTAACTTTCTGTTCCCCCCTCCCTCTTTTTTTAACTCTCGATGAAACTTCACAGCGATGTACTTTAAGACCTCCTGATTGCAGAACAAGAAAGAAATTTCTCGCAATAAATCTGGTTTTCGAGTTATGGAGCTTCAAAGTGTGCAAAATACGCAAATTGGGCCAAAAAAGCGCTGTTTCGGGCTTTTGAAGCGTCCGTCCTAACTAAAAAAAAGAGGGGGAGGAAAAACATGTCTTTAAAAAAAGCTTAAAAAAATAAAAAAATCACAAAGCAAAAAAATGCAGTAAAACCTGCTAAAAAAACCGAATTTTGCTGAAAAATACTGGAAAGAACCATTTCACTCAAAAATTGAACTCTAGTCAAGGGAAAAAAACGCATCTTTAAAATCCAGAACTCCTAATTTTTTTGTCTCTCAAATAATCCAAACAACTACACAAGTCCATAATCAACAATCTTTAAATTTTTGAAAAATGATCGATTTAAACTTTGTGAGCTTCTACTTCCTCAGAAAAAATTGAAAGCGTCAAAAAAATATAAAAATTTTCACCAGATAACTTATCTGGATAGGTATTCCAAAAACTGGATATTTTAAAAAAACAAGCCTTTAGAAAAAAAGTATAGATAAAATCCTAGGAGTTACGATAACTAAAATATAGCCTTTTTGACGAAAATCGGAGTATTTCCTAAGTCTGGAAGCTCGAAAAAAACATTTCTAAAACTGAAAATTCCAGCTTCTCCCCTGCCTACCGGAAGAAGCATTATCGGAATCTTCCACATTTTTCGTCGAGCCCGAAAATTTCAAGTTTGTCATCATTTTTCTGGTTGGAGCCTGTTTTCCATTCGTCGCTGAAGGGGCTTTCTACGGTTTGGGCTCAATTTGGTCAGTTTGAAGTTTTAAACAAGTCTGGAGAAGATTCTAGTGGCCACTTAAGAGGTTTCTCAAGAAATACTTGGAGAGGAGTGGTCACTGAAGTCATCTTCTTAGAAGCCACTATTTTGCATCTTAGTGGCCACTATAGCAGTTTTAGGTCGTAACATTTAGACTTTTAAAAGTTAGTGGCTTCTTATTCAACTACTATAGCGGCCACTAATACTTCAAAACCCTAAAGTAGTCACTAAAACGACTTCTATAGAAGCCACTATTTTGCGTCTTATTGGCCACTGTAGTAGTTTTGGTAGTCTAGTAGCACCACTCAGACTTCTAAAGAGGCCTCTAGTTTTCAGCCACTTAAGTGGCCTCTAATTCGACTATTATCTTCTTCTCAAGATTAGCCGAGGTCCCGATATCAAAAATAATCAGTGAAATCAATATCCTAAAGAGGCCACTTAAAGTTCCTTAGTATGAGAATCAGATTCTCACGGTCAAATTTCAGGCACCTCCACCCATTCGCAAAGAAAATATACTCGAATAAAACCCGTCAACTACAGTGGTCCTTTTTGAAAGCTCTCGTTCTTCAGGTAAACTTTCTAGAAACTTCTTTTGCTGTGTCATGAGGATCTCTAACCATCTGTGTTCTCTTCTATTCTCTACAGACGAGAGAGAGAGAAAAATAGAGCGCAGACGATTAGAAACTTATACAAAGCGGGGTGAATGGACTAAGCCTCTAATAAGAGAAAAAAAAAATCCTCTTTTTTCAGGAATGCATCCCCGTCTTTTTTGCCTACCCTTTTCCAATATTTTACTCCGTTTTCAGCTCCTACACTGGATATATTAACATGGGTCAGTTCGAGTTAAAGTTTTTTTATTAATAAATGAAAAAAATACCTATCCTCCGAGTCGAGAAGATAAAGAACCTGTCAGACGGCATTTCACGGGGATTTTCGAAAAGAGCCTGTCAGACGGCATTTCACGGGGATTTTCTGGATTGAAAGTTCAAAGAAATTTGTTAGCTTGAAAAGATGCTGAGTCAAAAATATTTTTAAAAAAACTGAAAATCGCGTGAGATACAACGTTTTGGTCGTGTTGTGCATGTCTACCGTAACCAAAAAATAAAAAAATTTTTTTCTTCACATCGCTATTTTCTTCTTTTAGGATATATAACCCCTTCTTTTTTCCGATTTCTCTCTACAAAAAAAAGCCAAAAAAGCGAAAGCGAAGAGATCAATTGCATCCTGAAGAGACGCCAGACAATTAGAAATTCCTCTTTTTCTCTGGCGTCTCTTCAAACTCTCATATACCTCTCAGCTTACTGTTTCTTAGTTTTCTTTTCAATATGCCCTAAACCCCATTTAATCAACTTTTTCCAGACCTCAACAATCTTTCGGTACTTTCCCTAATGAGCCATGGGATGTTCTCGGGTATTGCCGTCATTTTAGTGAATAAGCCTTATCGAGAATTCGTCACCCGATTATTCCGAACTCAACATCGCCGGAAAAGAAGCCTATTTGTGGTTCACAACATTCACACCCATGTTATGTCTTGAAAAATGAATCTTTTTTTATTACTCTGTGTTTTATCAACTTTTTTTGGTGGATGAAAAATCTGTATGGTATTGACGTTATAGTGGCCTCTATTGTAGTCAAATTAGTGGCCACTTAAGGGGCTAAATATAAGTGGCCACTATAGAGGTCTAAGTGCTACTACTAGACCACTAGAAATTTTAGTGGCCACTTTAGGGGTCAATGCATCAACATAACTGGTCCAATCTGTTTGTTTTAAATTTATCTGAGTTACTGGAAGAGATGAAGAGCTACTGAAGTGGCCACTAAAACGGGAAGTAGTGGCCTCTATAGAGGTGGGATTAGTGGCCACCTTAGTATCCTTGCCAAGAAAATCCTGAAAGATCTTTGAAAAAACATTTGTCTAGCTACTGAACTATTCATAATTGAATCTCAAAAAAATATTTTTTTCGGGCAGGTGCTGCAAAAAGCAACTTATAAAGTACTAAAGCCGCTAAAAATATGATCACAATTTTTCATTCTCAATAAATATTTCTTTTTTTCTGAGAATTTTTGACAGCATAGTTAACTAGGATATGACTAGCTTAATCAGTATAATATAACCTTCAATTTTCTAGTAAAGCAAAAGAAAAACTTGAGGTTTTGAAATCTTAGAAGCTCAATGAACAAAGGGAAAGGCCGTGAACTGATCAGCTCAATATTATGATAATTGGGTGTTTCATAATGTTTTTTTGATCGTTTTTCAATATTTTATTTTAAACTTGAGAAACTTTTTAAAAAAATTTGGATTCACAGGATCACGTTTGAAAAAAATTTCAAAAACCGAAAATTCTTTCTAAGGAAAGTTAAGACGACTCCGATAGGGAGAGACCACATTTGCCCCGCCCCCCCAGCCCCTATAAGCTTTTTCTTAGAAGTTTAAGAAACAATATTTTAAGAACACCTATTTTTTCTTCGGAACACTAGCTAAGGAACGGACCGAATTGAAACTTTGGTGGCTTATAGACCCGGGTAAAAAGTCAACTTCCTGCTTCTTGGAAAACCCTAAAGTGAAAGTAAACCCTCAAAGACCGGTAAAAAAAAAGCTATTTCGGGGCTCCTTGCTCCCCATAGACCATCAAGTTGTTCAGCTTGAGACTCTTATCATCTTAATACTGTGCATCAAGGATTGTTCTCGTCAAATTTCATGAAAATCCCAACCGCCAAGTAAAATGACCTTAAAAAAATTTTCGTAATTTTTCTCGCTCATCAAATTCAATCACCTGCGGCAACATGCTGACCACTTTTATTGAAACTTAAGTGGGAAAATAATTAAATTTTGCGTGAATAAACATATTTATGAAAGTTTTGCAAGGCAGGTGACGCCGAAATTCGGGAAATCTTGGCTCGAAAGAAGACGTTAAAGAGCAAAAAAACAAAACGCTGAACGTTCATAACCGATTAGGTGGCCAGGCCTTTTTTTAAAGTTCGTTGAAAGCTACTTTTAGCTCTCTTTTTCAGTCAACGAACCTGATAATCTCTTTCAAAACTTTCTGATACCTTCCACCTTTTAGTACAGATAAAAATGTTCAAAACTCAGATTGAAGGTCATTTTTTCGTAGGGTTCAGAATTTTCTATAAATTTGCTCAAACGGACTTTGATGGTCTCCATTCCACATAGTCGCTATTTGCGCAAACTTCTAATTTTGGTGATATGATTTTTTAAAGTTTTTATCTTTAAACATGTGACGACGTTTGGAAGGAATCTGGCCGCGCCGCCAACCATTACACGGCGGCTAGAAGCGTGGTGCAGTGGCTAGCGTGTTAGCCTGCGGCGCCCATGATGAGGGTTCGAATCCTATAGCCGTTAATTTGCCATTTTTTTTTCCCAATAATTCTGATGAGAATATTGAAATTTTACGAATATCACCGTTTCAAATAGGTTTTCTTTCCAAGATCACTTTTTTTTTCACGTTCTCGTTCTGTCCAGCATTTCAATGTTATATTTTTTTCATTGTGAAGCTTAAAAAAAGCTGAAAAAAACCGACAATAATTTTATAAAAGCCTTGGAATTTCTAAAACTAAAGAAACTATTCGGAAAAATCTTAAAAAGGAACTTTTTTTTGTTCAAAAAAATTTCAAAGAAATATATTATTTGTTTGATCTTGAGAAATTTTCCAAAAATCATAGAAAAACACCTTCCAGACACCGATCCCAACTATAATCACCATCTTGTTAGTTCTAAGAAATCAACCAAAAACCAACAATCTTCGCCTTGAAAACTGCGAAAAAAAGCTATGTAATTTCGAAAATTCCTCAATTTTTTTTTCATTTGACGCATTGACACGTTGCCGTTCTCGACAGAAAAAAAAACCAAATCTACTTCCTAATTTGTAATTTGATATGAACATTACTTTCCACCAGAATCAGTTTATCAAAGGGAAATGGTTCCTAAGTGTTCCTTTGGTTTCAAAAAGTTGTATTTTTTTGAATTTTTGCGTTCAAAATCTGCCCAGAGAGGGATTTTGATTTCACAATCTTGGCCTCATTTTTTGTAAAACTATCAAGTTTTTCTATAAACTTTTTTTCAAACAGTTTCTTTATGCATTTTTTTTCTCGTTTCTCTATTGTTTCGTTTCGCGATTCTTCCAGTGTTCGAAAAGACTATAAAATCGATGAAAATGACAAAGAATATTTTTTCTAGCCATGAACTGCTCATACTACCATAAAGACGCCTATTTTTTGGGTTTGAAAATCTTATCAGTACTGGAAACGACGGTAATGTTCCTCGCGATCTACTGTATCATTTTCGAATCGCCCAAATCGATGAAAACCTTCAGATGGCTGCTTTTGAACCAACAAGTTTGGTTGGTTCATTTATAAGTCTCTCAAAAAAACATAAAAGTCCAAAATAAGTCCTTCAAAACATTACCTTTGAATAAAAAAACTTCAAATCTACATAGGTTTTAGAGAAAAAAAAATCAACGTGTAACTTCCATTTGTCGAAAAATGATTCGAATAATAATACATATATTTTTCCCCTTCAAAGTACGTTTCAAAGCTGAGAGAAAAATGAAATTAGTCCTCAGGAATCCGTTTTCGCTTCTTCATACTGTTTGATCCAACCTAATTCACTTTTCTCTTTTACTCGGCAAATTTCAGGATCCTAATACTTCAAATCGTCCTTGGCGGCCTAATACAACCAGTTCTATATATTCCAGCAAGTGGCGGACGGGTTCATGGACTTCTGAGTGGGATAATATCTCCGTCGACTCAATATTACATCGCTTTCTTCATAATTGGGTGTGAGGGTTCAAAAATAGCCAAAAACGTCATTGAGAGCCTGTTTCAACCCACCTTCCAAGCCATACGTCGGCTGGATTTTTACCCCGGGTGCGGCCTACCCCCCCCCTCCCCCTGAAACTGCGGCCTACCCCCCCTAAAACTGTGGCCTACTCCCCCTGAAACTGCGGCCTACCCCCCCTAAAAACTGTGGCCTACTCCCCCCAAAATTGCGGCCTACTTCAGTACATTTTTTTCGCGCGCAAAAGGCTGGGGTGGGGTCCAGCCGATTTATCTTACAAGAGTGAAAAAGAAAAATTCAAATTTACTTCATTCTTCATTCTCAACAGTTTTTGATTGAAAAAAAACTACTCCTTCAAATTTTAATTTTTTTTTTACAACGTATGACTTCACCTCCTCCTTCCCCTAAAAAACCAAAATGAACAATTTTTCTAGGCGTTGTCGCATCGACAGTGGCCTTGTTCGAGTACAGATACCAGGCGATTCTTCCCAACAATTCCATTCTAAAACTATCTAACAAAACTCGAACCATCATGTTTATTGTAAGAATGGCTATCGTCAGTAATAATTCCCTACCGCCTCAATTTTGGCTGGACTACGGGAATGGGGCAAGAGAGCAATGGAAAGAGGTAGGTTCGGAAAAATCTGGAGCTAAATCTCAAAAATCCCACAACAACCGCAAACCTTTCGATAGGGTCATGAATTTATAAAAATTGTGGAGACCAGACAAAATTTGACATCAAAGTGAATACACATGAATGAAACTGAGAAGAAGTAGATTTTCCTCATTAAACTTATTTTAGACTAAATTATTTTTCTATAAATTAATTTTCATTTTCCAGGCGCTTCCCTGTCTCCCAGACGAAGCTCTATCCATAAAATACACAGTTTTCGTGGAGCCTATGAACTTCAAATTCGTGATCGTTTTTCTAGTCTTAGCGGGTGTTCCAAGCTTCGTTGAAGCCGCTTTCTACGTTCTAGGATCTTTTCGGTTGGTTTTTCGGCTATTTCAATAAAAATTTAATTTAAATTCAGCCGCCTCAACCCATTCATCAACCGTGGGTATTCGGACAAGACCAGACAACTTCAGTGGTCATTCTTGAAAGCATTAATGATTCAGGTTTTGAAAATATACGAACTTGAGGAATTTCAAAAATCAATAATTCAAGGAAGCTGTGCCGATACTACTAACTTATCCAGGGCCTATTATCTATTTTATCTTCAGCGCCTACACGCGGTATATCAACACGGGTTAGTTTCTATCTAGAAAACGTCCGAAAAAACAACCAAACATGAAAAAAAATTACCTGTCATTAATGGTTCCTCAAACGATAAAAAAAAGGCTTTCCGTCCTCAGCATAGCATTGCGCCTGACCGCTGCAACGTTTCAGATCGGATACATAAAATCAATCCTCACAAAAGCGAAGAAACTTTGCAAAAACAAGAAAAAAAAAAGAAAAAATGTCGTAAAAATTCTGAAAATTGCATTGTCCGCAACATCTGGTGTTTACACCTTTTACGCTTACCGTAATCCAAAATATTCAAAAATGGCTTTTTTCAGATTTGAACAATCTTGCGGTGCTAATTCTAATGAGCCATGGTATGTTTTCGGGTCTCGCCGTAATTTTGGTCAACAAGCCATACCGAGAATTCTTCTGTCGCATTTTCCAAACCAACATCGTTTCGGGGAAAAACAATTTATTTATCGACAGTCCGCAGATGAACATTTTAAGCTTCACTATTTCGTGAAAAAATGATTTATCCCTTTCTGTAAATAAACGGTTATTACTTTTTTCTTTGTTTTTGGGACAAAAAGAAAAAGAAGAATAAAAGGTTTATACAAGGTTACAACGAAAAAATCACAGATTATGACGAGGTGGCGGAAAAACGAGAAAAAGTACTATCATAACGAGAGGAATGCAACAGAAACGCTTCTCAATTTGATACTAGGCTTACAAAGAATCATTTTATAAAGAAATTCGCGATAAGGTCGATTTACCAGAATAACCGCGAGGCCAACACTAATTCCATGGGTTAGAGTGATGAGAATCGCCAAATTGTTGAGGTCTGAAAAAAATAATTAGTTTTTACTGGAGTTCAGATGTGATTGATTTTTTTTTCAGCAGTATAGTCTCTTCATGATTCTTGATGTTAAAAAGCGTAGAGGTCCTTTGAAACAAGTTTTCGTCTCGAGACCTTTAGGAATTTTTCTATGCTCCTTTAAACACCACAGGGTTAATTTTGAACACAATTTTTGGTTTTTTTTTCTCTATTCAAGACAAAATAATGCTTGGAAGCCTTTCGAACCGCTAAAATCAGGCTCATCAATACTAAAACTTTTAAAAAAGGTTATTTTTCCCGTAGTTTTGGCTACCTCATTGAAGAAAAATTTCAATCGAAGCTAGACCCAGGTAAATTTAATTCAACATGGCAAAAAATTTCCTTTTCAATGCTCAATAATCAAACACAGCACGTCGACGTAATTTATCGCATTTTTCCTGCAAAATGAAAAACTTCCTTGTCTTACTTTCTGCAGGAAAACGTTTTGATTTATCCAAATTGTCTTATACACTTGAACCCAACGCTCGAACATTAATAAGAAAGGATAAATAGGACATAATTCGCCTATTTTGCAAGAATATCCTTCCTGGTCTCCAGATGAAATTCGAACCTAATATAGTTCCTCCCCACTTCCTTTCAAACATGAACAATTGAAAATTGAAATCAAAATTGGCGAAATTTCCATTTTTGTGAGATACAATTGAATTATTTTCTTAAAAAAAATCTAAAAAACAATTCTAAGAACCAACGCTCAATTTTTCATTGAACAACAGGATCGGTGTGAAAAATGAAAGTGATGAAAGTTTTCGCAGTGTTTGGGAGTTTCAGAGAGTGAAAACTTAGGATCTCCCGAGTGGTCCCTATAGGGGCCTTTGGAGGGTCCCCTCAACCCCTTTATCAGCCCCTATAAGGTCCACTGGAGCTTGCAAAAAGTGGTCCCTATAGGGGACATGCTGGTCTTTTACTTTCATGATCTCTATGCGAAGAAGCATTTCCATGTAAAAAAAAATGAATAAGCGTTTTTTTTATAATGACATTGAAAGACCCTATAGGAACCCGTTAAGCTTTTAGGGGCTAAGGGGTCAGACCCTAAACCCCTATAGGGACCACTTTTTTTCGGCCCCTGTAAGGGCTGTTATTTCACCTGACTCCTATAGCGACTCTGGAATTTCTAAATAAAATTTGGAGTGTCAGAGATAATTTTGAATTTCGCGAAAGGTTATTTGAACCTAGAAAATGTGAAAAATAAATAATTATAATTTCTAAATCAAGGCTCAAACATCGAGATCAAGTAGGATGTTTTTTTATGTTTATAAAGTTTTTGCAAAAATTAAAAAAATTAGGATAAAAGCTTGATAATCAACTCAAGTGCCCAAACATCAGGATTATCATTTTTCCCTTTTCAAAAAAATTTAAAGTTCAATACAAATCACTTGATAACTCTTCGAAAAAAACCAACCTATCGACATCAAGCCGATCAAAGAGCTGACAACGATGTAGAAAATCGGGAAAGGATAGGAAATGAGAACTGGAGCACACTCCTGGAAAAATTCTATATCATTTTTCAGTTATATCTCAAAAACCTGAATACAAAGAGCTTTCAAAAAATCATAATGAAGTCGTCGTGTTTGTGAAGAAATCGTCACGCTACTCGATTTGATTTTTCTGAAAAAACATATTGAAAAATCCCGTTTTTCAATCCCACCGAAACGAGTTGGCAACGTAAAAAATGATCTCGAGAACCGGCGGAATCGTGAAAATACACCCAAAAAAGACGCTGACTCGGATCACGTCAGTCGTGAAGAAAACGACGTTTGACGTGTCCATTTCGAATTCTTCCAGTTGACAGGGTGAGTGCTGAAAAAATTCTTTTTGTTTTGGTTTTTAAAAATGATTCATTGGTTCAAAATACATATACCATCAAAAAAGACGGGTGAAAATATTTTTGGAAAAAATGGCCGATGACTGGAATCTTATTCGCTCCAGTGAACAGATTTCGAAAAACGTTAATGTGTGATTTTCCAAGTGTTTCATGGGATAAAGCTTAGAAAAATGCTCGGTTTTTGAGTTCAAATTGGTAAATTTCAAAATTATCAACGGAGCGCAAAATACTTTGCTAACGCGGCTCTTTTTTCCAACAACTTTTTCAACTAGCTAATTCAATCCTCGGCTATTTTTTCAGTCCTAGTAAACTCGGCGACGGATCCAGGAAAGTTCGAACAGAGAAAAAGGTTGAGAACCAATGAAAAAATACCGTTTTTTGAAGATTTTTTCTTTTTAAGAACTCCTAGGCTAGTTAGATATCACGAAAACGAATCTTCTCCTAAAATTTCTTGGCTTTGAAGGAAATTGAATAGGAATATATCATAAATATCAACGGAGCGCAGAAAACTTTGCTAGCGCGGCTCTTTTTTCCAACAGTTCCTTGTCTATTTTTTGAGTCTTGATAAATAAGGCGACCGATCTAGGAAAGCTCAAACAGGGAAAATTTGAAAAACAATGATAATTCCCACCGATTTTTGACTCTTTTTCTGAAAACTTGGGATCCTAGGACAATCAAAAAGTCCCGAAAACCAACCTCCTGCCAGAATCTCTTGGCCTCCACTTGGTCGTTCAGAACAAAGTTCCAGACCGTGCCCATATTACAGGCGTAAATCGGCCGCATTATAAAAATGAAAAGTCTCAGGGGCGTCTTCAATTTGAGCCGTGAGTGGGGAGGAAGAATCGCATGGTGTCGATATTCGAACAAAGCCGAGGTTGAGGCCAAAACAGCCCCGAAAAAGCCGAGGGAGATGTGATACTGAGTGAATGGCGACAGGATCCCGTTGAGGATCCCGTAGGTTCTGACCCCAAGAACTGGGACGAATAGAACCATCCTGGAGACGTCGCAAAGGTATATTTGCCAGGCGAACAGCCTGAAACTTGAAAAATTTCTTTTGCAATCTTCTAGTTTTGAAAATTGCCCGAGGCTATTTTTTCTATGTCAATTTTCTCTTCATGGTTGATATAATTAAGAGTTCCAGAGTGGTCCCTATAGGGGTTAGGGCGGAAAACAGCCGCGATCGGAGTCACAAAAGTTGTCCCTATAGGGGTGAAACCAAAGTGGTCCCTATAGGGGTTGAGAGTCTGACCCTGGCCCACTAAAGCTTAAGTGGTCCCTATAGGGATTCCTCAACTTCATTTAAAACGCTTATTTATTTTTTTTCGCATGGAAATGCTTCTCAGAGAATATAAAAATTATCAATAAGCATTTCCCCTATAAAGGCCCCTTAATAAAACCCTATAGGGCTCACTTTTGCAAGTTTAGGGGCCCCTATAGGGGTTGGTAAAATGGCCCCTAAGATTGCCCTCATAGGGACCACTTTGGAGTTCCGTATTGACAGCTGGAAAAGTTAGAGGTTACTGTAGAACCCTCCTATGTTTGCACACTATTTCTCTAATCGCGACAGGACCCATTTCTTGAAAAATTGAGATCTTTCCAAACTTTTTAATGAGATCAGTGAGCTTCTAATGGACTCTCCTACATGAGAAAAACTTTTTTCGACTTTTTTTTAGAAAAAAACTTTATAGCCAATTTTCTGTAGGAAATCCTTGACTTTGTATCAAAATTGATGATTTCGAAATGAATCGACAGAACCTACCACAACTGTTGATTCAACAAAAGCCACTTATAAGTCCGCATCGATTTCGGTGATTGGAATACGATACAATAAGTGTTGATAATCAGAACAATAGTCGCAATAGCTGATAAAACTTTCAAAGCAATGAAATATTCATCACGGTGATACGGGGCACAATGCATCAAAAAAAGGAATTTTTTTCAAGAAAACTAGATTTAGAAGAGTGGAGTCGGAGTGGACATTCGAAGACTAGACGGGAACTTTTTGGTTCTTTATATTTTCGCTTCCTTCGTGGAAACACCTCCTCCACCTCTCTGCAGGTGATACGTATGCAGAGGAAAATTGCAGGTGCGCTCAAGCGAATATCTTTGATCAGGTGTGTTGAAAAAAGGGAAGACGTTTGGGGAAGTGTTTCCGGTCAAATGAAGAGTTTGAAAATTCCTTTGAGTTGGAATTTTGAAATTTGAGGTTTTTAAAGTTCAAGTGCTCTCAAATTTCTAGAAAAAGTCGGCATTTTTTGAATTTTTTTGGTAGATTTCAAATACAGAAAATACTTGGGAATTCCAGAGGGGTCCCCAGAGGGGTTAAGGTAGAAAAGAACTCCTTTAGGGGCCGAGAAAGTGGTCCCTATAGGGGCTGGTAAAGTGGTCACTATAGGGATTAAGGAGGAAAAAACCCCCATAAAAGTCAAAAAAGTGGTCCCTAGAGGGGTTGGTAAAGTAGTCCCTACAGGGGTTCGGTAAAAAAAAATTTTATAGGAGCCGAAAGGGGTCCTGTAAAGGTAAAACCAAGGTGGTCCCTAAAGTGGTCCCTATAGGGGTTAGAGAAGAAAAAAACTCTTATCAAAGCCGAAAAAGTGGTCCCTATAGGGGTAAAACAAAGGTGGTCTCTCTAGGGGTTGGTATAATAGTTATGGGAGAAAACAACTCCAATAGGGGCTGAAAAAGTGGTCCCGAGAGGGCACACTTCAACGACTCCTCGGCCCCTATAGGGACCATTCTGGAGTTCCTAAGTAATTGAAATGAACCTCATATGACTTTCTCAAATTTTTCCAATAGATTGCAAACAATTAAAAAAAAAAGAAGAAAAAAAGTCCATTCATTGTCATGATGTAATAAAATGTGTAATAGTGTTCCGCCTTTTTGTTTTGTGTACAGCCAGCTTGAAAATAAACTCTCGATAAGGTCGATTTACAATAAGAATAGCGAGGCTGGCAAATAAACCGTGGCTCGAGCCTAGAAGAACCGTCAAATTGTTCATATCTGAAAACTGTTTTTTCTGCCAACTTTTAAAAAAATTCACAAAATTGGAGAAAACAATGAAATTTCGAGAAATGGCTCAGTAAAAGCTTTCTTTTTCTTTTTCTTTTTATTGAAAAATATTATATTTATAGAAAAAAACTGTGCTAATTATGCATTCGGACAGGGTAGAAAAAGGCTTTGTAGAGGGTTGAAAAAAGTTCTTTTTTTGCTGCCTTTTTGCGCCATTTTATCGGCTGCTATGCACCATTTCTGCTGCCTCTCCCTTCTTTCACCCTTTCTTGAGCCTTTAAAACCCTTGGAAAAATGGAATGCTTGATAAACGGACCGATTTTGCTGCCTTTTAGCGACCATTATGCGCCATTCCAACTTTGCCCGAGTAGTTTAAATCTTAAAGGCGCATCGCAAAATAGAATAATATATTCGAAAAAGAAAGCCCAAATTCACAAAATTCATAATTTTAACTTAATATCTATTTCGAAGGTTTTCGGTAACTTTAAAGTTTCCTTTTCCAGAATTTTCGATCTTTGAAACTTTCAGGATCTTTTTCGCGTACATCGAGGGGTGTTCTGACTAATTTTCAGGAAGTTCCCAAATTTAAAGTGATCTTCCTTGTGCTATTACGCTGATCTTTTCAGGAATTTTCTTTTGAAGCTCCTGTCAAACTTGCAATATGTTTTCAAAGACCTTTAGGAAGCGACCGCAAAGCCCCGCCCCTTTTCGCGATGGAAAAAAGGCCATTTTTTTGATAATCCGTCTTTGATTGTTTCGTACAGCCGATAGAAGCAATGAAAAATGATAAAAATTTCAGCATACATGTAGAAAAGGTTCCTCTTTCTGTTGAAAAGGTTTTTAGGTACTTTCCATGTGTTTCAACGGAGTGTCGTACGGAATAGTGACGCGAGTTCGAAAAATAAACTTAGTTTTGCGTTTTGATATTCATGTAGGTCGCGGACAAAGTTGATTTTTTGAAAACTTCTTATAAACAGTAAATGAAATTTTTGAAGCCAACAAAAATTTAAAAAAAACGAGGAGCTAGATTGAGTTCGAAAAATAGGCCTGTGGTCCCTAACTTCAGGATATTTTTTCACCACGATTTTTTGCCTTTTTCTGAGAATTCTCACCCATCCACATGACCCAAGTGAAGCTGCTGAACAGAACGTAGAAAAACGGTTCAGGATATGCGATGAAAAGTGGGGCGCATTCCTGGAATCAAACCTATTCAAAAGAACACTACAGTCCAAACTTGGATGATGAGAGCGCGCAGAAAGTTGAGCTGAATTTGTCGTGTTTGATTGGAAATCGTCGTGCTGGGCAAGCGGCATCGTCTCAAAATTATCAAGCTTCAAATTCAATTGTTTTCTGTCTCACCTATAAGAGTCGATTGCGTAGAAGACTACCTCGACCGTAGGTAATAAGGTGAAGGATACATTGAGAAGGGCTCCAGATGAAAGACCCTGGATAGTGAAGAAAAATGTGGTCGACGGGTTCGCGTCGCTTTCTTCAAGCTGACAAGGAGCATTCTGAAAAAGTTCTGTAAACCTTAAGAATGAAGATTTGATGAAATTGGGAATTTTCACGCCAGCTTGTCGCATTCCTACCGAAGAAAATTTTTTTAAACATTATTCCACAGTGTCTTGAAGCAAAAGCTTTTACTCCGTAAAGTGTCGTGTCTCGTGTGCATGCACTGCGCCGTTTCGCGCAGAAAAATTGCGCTTATGTAGAGAGAACTCGTTTCGTCTCGAAGACCTCTGGCAATACGGAGGCCTGCGCCTTTAATCTTCCTTGTTATTTACGCTCTTTTTTTTTGGTTTTGCATCCCTTTTCACTAATAAAAACGGTTATATACGACTTCAAACCATTCTTCAGCACACGAACCTCCATCCAGAACTTTCTTCCTTCCTGGTCATTTAGAAAAATGCGGAATACGAATGGCGCGATTAAACCAAGAACAAAACGGAGTACGAAGATCAAAACTCTAGTACGGGTTGAGAAATTCAGAAGAGAATCGGGTGGAAGAGTCGCATTGTGACGATACTCGAAAAGAGCCGCCGTAGAGACAATAACCAGGACAAAGATTGCAATGGCGATTTGGAACTGCGTGAATGGGGAGAAGATGTCGTTGAGTAGACCGTTAGTACTATATCCAAGCAGTGGTAAGAAGAGAATCGGCTTTATCAAGTCGCAAATGAGCAACTGGAAGCCGAAGAGCCTCAAAAATCACTTTTCGTTACCAGAAAAAATGGTCAAATCCCTTACCAGAACTGCTGGTGTAACAACAGCCATTTGAAGGTTTTCATCGATTTCGGAGATCGGAAAATGATGCAATAAGTGGTGAGAATGAATAAAAAAGTTTCAATAGCTGATATAATCTTCAAAGCAAGGAAATATTCATCTTTGTGGTACGAAGAACACTTCATTCTGAAATTCTCAAAAAACGCAAAAGACGGATGAAAGATAAAACAGGAGTTCTTTCGAGGCACAAAAAGGCCTAATCAGCAGGTGGAAGTGAGGGTTTACTCGAAATAGGTAGAATCTATTATTATTTATGTTCGTCTACGCTTTTTTTATGTGTTGAAACACAAAGATTACTCAGGAGACATCAGGAATCGAAACAAAAAAACTTGAGGAGTCTTTAATATACATTTTCCAGCGAACAGTTATTCTACGAACCTTCAAACAAAATTTTAAATGTCGTTTTTCTTTTCGCGAAGATTTTAAGATAGTTTTGTGGAAAAAAACTTTCGTTATCATTATTTTCTGAAATTTTTTTTAGTATTTTTTTTCTAAATTTAGTTTTGGCACATTAAAAAAAGAAAAACGCATTTATGAAAAATAAAACTAGCGAGGTTTGTGTCTTATTCGTTCTCAAGGTTTTACAGATCCCAGGTTGAAATAGAAATTCTCGATAAGGTCGATTTACGATAAGAATAGCGAGGCTGGCGAATAAACCGTGGCTTGTGAGTAGGAGAACCATTATATTGTTCAAATCTGAAAACTTCTCTGGAAAAATCCTAATGTACTCCCCTTTATGAGGGGAAATCGGAAAATTAATCATTTTAAGAACAAAAAAGTCAATTTTTTTGATTAAATATCGAAATCAGTGGAAAATTATTTTCTCAGAAAATGTTTAGTTCCTTGCATCTTTTATTGGTTATTATAGCATTCTCTATCATATTCTGAAAATTGAGAATCTTATTTTTCAAAGAGAAATGAACTATTTCACAAAACTGTGAAAATTTTAAGTGGCCACTATAGAGGCTCGCCAAGGACTAATTGGAGAAGGACACTAAAGTGGCCACTAAACCCACCTTCATAGTGGCCACTATTTTCCTTTTAAGTGGCCACTTCAGTGTTTTTCATTCCGTGTTCCGTAATTCCGATAATAAAAAACAACCAGATTGGACCAGTTATGTTGATGCATTGACCCCTAAAGTGGCCACTAAAATTTTTAGTGGTCTAGTAGTAGCACTTAGATCTCTATAGGGGCCACTAGTTTTAACCCCTTAAGTGGCTACTAATTTGACTACTATAGTCGCCACTAAAAAATCCTTATAGTGACCACTGAAAATTATCCCAGAACTAAAAAGAAATCCCCACCAATCGACATATTCCGAGTGAAATAGCTGAAAAAGGCGTAAAACAGCGCTGCGGGGTAGGTGATCAAGAGCGGTGCACACTCCTAGGATCATTGTTTTTCTTCAAAAAGTACACGGATCGAAACTTGTATAAGAAGAGCGTGCAAAAAGTTGATTTGAATACGTCGAGAGTGGTTCGAAATTGAAGAACTTGGCGATTTGATCCGCCTGGAATCATATAATACATTTTCAAACTCTTTTTATAGTCTGTTTAAAATTTGAATTCATTCGGAAAGGCTCTGTGAATGGATCGCTCTCTGATTGGTTTATCGCGCAATTAGGGGCGGATCTTGACTTGACATTCAAAATCTGAACAGACTAATCAAATTTTTGTATACCTAAGCGAATCGCATCCGTAAAATATCATCTCAAGTAGAGGCAATAAGGCACAGGTTCCCGCAATCAGTATACCAGTTGAAATACCATCAAGAGTGAAGAAAAATGAATTCGACAACGTAGTTTCGCTCTCTTCGAGTCGACAGGGAGAATTCTGAGAGGGAAAAAATCATTATTATCAAAAAAATTTACCATAACAACAAAAGACAGCAAAAAGAGTTCCATTATCGAGCCTTTCATTTTTTTTTTTCTGGGATTTCAAAGGCTCAAGAGACTTTTAGTGGCCACCATAGGGTTTTGACGTTTTAGTGGTTTCTATAGTAGTCAAATTAGTGGCCACTTAAGGGATTAAAAATTAGTGGCCACTATAGAGGTTTAAGTGCTACTACTAGACCAATAGAAATTTTAGTGGCCACTTTAGGGGTCAATGGATCAACATAACTGGTTCAATATATTTTTTTTAATATTATAGAGTTACTAAAAAGGAATACTGGATGAAAAAAACTACTAAAGTGGCCACTAAATAGAGAGCCTATATAATGGCCACTTTAGCGTCATCTCCAAGTAGTCCTTGGCGAGCCTCTAGAGTGGTCACTAAAAATTTTCCCAGGATGGTGAGAAAAAGAAGAGGCACCAAAAAAGGAATCTTTGTCATCCTAAAAGAAACATTTCTATGAAGCCTTTTTTGCACCCTTTCCGACTTGCCTCTAAAAATATACCTAGCCTTTCCTCTTTTAAAAAAAAAAGTTCTAACAAAATTCATTCAAACTTTACTTTCAAAGGCACTCTGCTAATTATTTTTATGAAACTTGGCTGAAGTATACTTTAGGAGCACCTGACTTCCTAGACCAATAAATAACCTTAAAGTTTTCAAAAACAAAATGCGTTAATGAGAACCTTTGGAGCCTTTTTCCACCCTTTCCGACTTTGCCTATGATACGGTCTTTTAGCCGGAGCAGAATACCTAAAAAAAAAACTCCAAAAAGTCTCGTTTTCCCCACTACATTATCATGTACTGCGAAAAAAGGAACACGGGACAATGAATTCGGTTCAAACCAGGCTAATTTAAACCTACTTATTGATGCCAAAGGGTACCCAACCAAGTGTTGAAAGTATTTTGAGTCATATTTTGAACGAAGATGTTTTTGTTATGATGTGTTTTTCACATTTTCCTGTTGATTTTGAAAAAAATATTTTTTCAACTTTTTTTTGATATTTTTTTTTTGTTGAACCTATTTGTAATACCGCCACAAAAACTGCTTCAAAAATTCAGACTAATCGATTAACTTTGCAGAGAGTTCTGTCCAAAAAACCAATTTGAAATACCTTTATGGTCAGTACTGTAATTTACAGAAAACACACAAACCTCCATCCAGTACCGTCTCCCTTGTTCTTGATCATTCAACAAAACACGGAAGCCGATCGCGGCGGTTAGGCCGAGAATGAAACGAAAAATGAAAATCGTAACTCGAAAACGAGTCGGGAAATTGAGCGGAGAGTTCGGGGAAAGAATCGCATGATGACGGTACTCGAAAAGAGCTCCAGTGGAGACGATAACTATGGCAGCTAGAGCTCCGCCAACTTGAAGTTGTGTGAATGGCGCTAGAATGTCATTCAGGAGACCGTAAGTACCGTATCCCACAACTGGGAAGAAGACGATCGGTCTCATCAGGTCACACGTGTAAACTTGAAAGGCGAGAAACCTGAAAATTTTATTTACTGAATGATTTTAGAGCTCTCGGACCTTGGTAACGCGAATCGGACGTGTCGGGGCATTTCTGGTGACCACTTTAGAAGCCTCAGAACTCTTAAGTGATCCCTAGAATCGCTCAGAAACGTCCGGAGCACGTCCGTTTCGCGTTAACAATGTCCGAGCTGTTTCATTGAAAACTTTGGGTTTTTTGATTTTTAAGAACTCAAATGCTGTTCAAAGTAATTTCGACTGATGGAACGGATAGTTCCTTAGAGTGAAAAAATGACAAAAAGTCAGATATTTCTACGAATTTCGCTAATTTTAGCTTCTTTTTCAGCAGTTTATCATACTTTCCAGATCATGTGAATAATTAAAAAGAACAAGAAAATTGTGAAAACTTCAAGCTTTTGTTAATTTTCCGCTCTAAACGTGTTTTTTTCTGCTTCTATACAGAACCTGTCCTTATAAAATGCTATAAAACTCGCTTTCCAGCAACCAAAAAGTTACCTAACTTACTTTCGAAAACCTAACAAACTTTCGAAAACCATCTATCTAGACGGGAAAAAAATCCTCACCAAAACTGCTGGTTCAACATCAACCATTTGAACGTTTGAATAGACTTCGGCGATCGGAAAACGATACAATATGAAGTGAGGATGAATAGAAGAGTTTCATTTACCGATAAAACTTTCAGGACCAAAAAATATCCCTCTCGATGATACGGAGGACACTTCATTTTTTTAGAAACTTGAAGTTGAAAGAAAGTATTTGTAGACACTCTTGACAATAGTGACCAAAATTAACAGGTAAATGAACAGGTGAAATATTGCGTCGAAACTCGAAAGAGTAAAATTTTTTGTGACGGAATACGGGAATCAAAAAAACAAGGCCTTCCCACTGCAGCTGAAACCGATAATTTTGCGAACCAACAGAACCAAAAAAAAAATTCCTAGTCGGTTTTTCGCCAAGGGTGGGACTTCTCTGTGCCCTCTTCGTCTCTCCTCTCTTGCTGACTTGCTATTTTCATGTTTCTCTGCCCTCGCCGGTGAGGGAACAGAGAGACACAGACACGCGAAAACTGTCAAGTCACGGCGGATGGACTGTACATACATAGGCAAAATCGGATAGGCTGGAAAAAGGCTTCATAAAAATGTTCCTTTTTTGCTGCCTTTTTGCGCCATTTTATCGGCCTTTATGCACCATTTTTGCTGCCTCTCCCTTTTTCCACCTTTTCTTGAGCCTTTAAAATCTTAGAAAAATCGATGATTTGATTAAAGGACTCTTTTTTTTTTTGCCTTTCTGCTGCCTTTCTGCAGCCTTTCTGCGGCCTTTTTGCTGCCTTTTTTGAGCCTCTCCCTTTTAGCGGCCATTATCCACCATTCTGAACTTTGAAAAAAGTTTATTTCATAATTTGAAATTTCTCGAAGTTATGCTGTTTCTCCTCCTTCTGCAGTTGGCGATTTGAAGGACAAAATCGCGATAAGGCCGATTTACAAAAATAATCGCAATGCTTGCAAAAAGACCATGGGTTAAAATGAGAATAATCGAAAAGTTTGTCAAATCTGAAGCATTTTTTCAAAACAGTGAACTTTTCAACTCAACGAACCTATCGACATGAACCAAGTGAGGCAGCTGAAAAGGACATAGAATACAGCTTCCGGATAGGCAATGAACATTGGAACACATTCCTGAAACGAAAAAAATCATGAAAAATCATCAAGTAACTGTAAACTTGGATAAGAAGAGCCCTTAAAAAATTGAGCTGTTTTCTCCGAGTTTGATTTGAAATCGTTGAAGTTGGCGATCGGATCCGTCTGAAATTGCGTTGGAAATTCAAAACTTCAACTTCCATTACCGATATGAATCGATTCCATAGAACAACATTTCAGCTAAAATTAATGTTCCGAAAGATATAACAATAACTAGACCGATGTAGATATTTTCGATGGTGAAGAAAAATGTACTGGAAATTGCCGTCGCACTTTTTTCGAGTTGACAAGGAGCGTTCTGAATTTCTAGTTCATCTGTTTGAGCATACTATTTTTTTTATTCAAATAGTAAATTTTCGAGAATTTCTTGTATAGTTGCTGAGATATCATAGACAGAGTCAGAAAGGGTGGAAAAATACTAAAGAAAGGTTCCTTTTAAGGTGATAAAGGCTCCTTTTTCTGCCTTTTTGCGCCATTTCATCGCCACATATGCATCATTTTTGCTGCCTCTCCCTTTCTCCACCATTTTTTGACCCTTAAAAATCCCAGAAAAAGGGAAGGCTCGATAAAGGGACTCATTTTGCTGCCTTTTTGACGCCTTTCTGCGGCCTTTTTGCAGCCTTTTTGCACCACGTTTCCGCACTTCCGACTTTGGCAGTGTATAGTCCGTTTAGATTTTAAATGTTGTACGTTTTCGAATGAAGTCAAATAGAATGACGTCATTCGGAAACGCTCTGTGGATGACTCGCTATCTGATTGATTAACGCGCCATTAGGGGCGGAGCTTGAGCGAGGAATTGACATTTAAAATTTGAATAGACTATATTCTGAAGTACTCTGATTCTAATAAAAATGAGAAGGAACGATCTACTCCGTCTTTCGCCTTTGAGCCATGTTTCAAAAACGCCCAAAATTTTTTTTTTAACATGATGATTTAAGGTCATTAAGGGGAAAAATACATGTGTGATGGAATCAGGGAACTCCTGAGAACATATTCACAAAATTCACAACGAAAAAACCAGATTCATAAAATTTTCTAGGAAGCTTTAACTTGAAGAAAACCCTCTTAAATACGGCCCATGCTCCTTATATGGATTTTAGAGGTTTTATTTAAAATTTTTCCAGAAATATCCTCACTAACCTTTTTCCAAAACTGCCTGCCTCGTTCCTGGTCGTACGATAATACTTTAAAAGCCATTGCAGCACCCCAACCGACCAAAAATCGGATGATGAAAATCAAAACTCTCGTACGAGGTCGAAAATTGATCCGTGACGTGGATGGAAGCGTCGCATGATGCCGATACTCGAAAAGAGCCGTCGTAGAGACGATAACAGCAGCCGCTAGGCTCAAGGCGATTTGAAATTGGGTGAATGGAGTGAAGTAGTCGTTGAGCACGCCGTAAAGCCCAAATCCAAGGACAGGGACGAAGATGATCGGCTTCACAAGGTCACAAATGTAAATTTGAAGGAGGAACATCCTGGAAAATAAGAAGCTGAACTTTCTTCCGAGTTTATCAGTTACCAAGAACGTTTTTTTTATTGTAGAATTAACATTAGGTATGAATTAAATCTATCACTTTAAAGAAACAAAAAAATTCGAAATTTTTTTCTCAAAAAAAGTACATTTTAAAAAAATTTTGCTACGTTTGCTTTATTTGTATGAAAAACTTTCAACTTAAAAAATTAAAAAAATCCTCACCAAAACTGCTGGTTCAACATCAACCATTTGAAGGTTTTCATCGATTTAGGAGATCGAAAAATGATGCAATAAGTAGTGAGGATGAATAGAAAAGTTTCAATAATCGACAAAATTCTCAAAGCAAGAAAATATTCTTCTTTATGATACGGGGAGCACTCCATTCCGTATTTAACAGTTTGAAAATCAGAAAATACTTCGAAAAGAGATCAGTAGTTAACTTTATTTTTTCTCCACTTCATCACAAGGAAAAAAAACCAGGTTGGAAATACGCCTTCCCCGTCTATTTTAAGAACTTTCACGCAACAACTTCCTAACTGGAGCACGAGGCAGGTGAAAGAAGAACCTTTAAACTTCCTGCTTAAACTTAAGAATACTAAAGTTCGTTCACTTCGATCTTTACAAACAATTAAGGTTCGCTTTGTCGGAAAATGTCGTCTGATAGAAAAATGTCGTTTCAAAACAATAAGAAAAGCGGAGATCAGCCATTCAGAGATTTTTTGGTTGAAGCGATTTTTAAACGCCTGGGTTTCAGGTCTTTTTTCTAAAAACAAGAAAGTTAGGAGGAAGATCAATTTTGAAAAAAAAAAATAATTCATGGATCATTACTATAGACTGTTCAGATTTTGAATTTCAAGTAGAATGACGTCATTCAAAAACACTCTGTGGATGGCTCGCTCTTTGATTGATTCATCGCGCCATTAGAGGCGGAGCTTGACTTGACATTCAAAATCTGAACAGACTATAACTTAATTCCAGTGTGTTTGATTCGCATAAAAAAAACTTTAGTCAACAAAATTATCGAATTAAAACACGAAACACTAAAAGAATAAATTAGAAGTTCACTATGTATCTTGGAAATCTGCTAGCAACGTTTTTCAACAACTTTACTCCAAAAAGTCCCGGTTTAAAACGAAAAAACTGTTGTCAATGATAAATTGAGCTTTCGAAAGAAGTGACAAAAGCACCAAAAAGTTAATTAATTGCTGAAATAACGCCTCTGGAAGCGTTTACATAGTTTTTCCTCTCTTTGAAGTTGGCAAACTGGAAGAGGAAATCGCGATAAGGCCGGTTCACGAAAAGAATCGCGAGGCTTGTGAAAATACCGTGGCTCAGGAGAAGGAGGATAGCAACGTTATTCAGATCTGAAAATATTTTCTCAGTAGAAGTAACGAACTTTATATGAATTAACTAGCCTATAGACATAACCCAGGTGAGGGAGCTGAAAACGATGTAGAGCACGGCTTCAGGATACGCAATGAGAAGTGGAGCGCATTCCTAGAATCATTTAAATATCGTGGATTGTAAAAAAAAAATGACTTGAATAAGAAGAGAGCGTAGGAATTTCAACTGTAGTTGACGTGTTTGATAGGAAATCGTTGAATTGGGCGATTTGATCCGCCTGAATTAATATTTAAAACCAATAATATCAACAAAAAAAAAGGTTACCGATAAGAATCCACCCCATAGAAGAACATCTCAGTTACAGGTAGAACAGCGCAGAGCGAAACAAGAAGTAAGGCAGTATAAATACCCTCGATAGAAAAGAAAAATGAGGTGGAGATGTCCGTCGCGCTTTTTTCGAGCCGACAAGGCGCGTTCTGAAATATAATCTTTTTAATCTTTTTTTAAGATTTTTTTATCGACTTTTCAACGAGAAAAAAATATCCAAAAAAATCAATCTGAGATATGCTCCTTTTAACAAGGCTCATACAAACTTTGAAGTTGTAATTTAGTAATTTATAGTTTCAATGAAAAAAATCTCTTCTCGAACGATTTTTTTGGCTATTCAAAAAAATGCTCACTTCTAATTGAGTTTTTGCATGTTTTTTCTTCTCAAGAGTGTATCAGATTTAGAGCAAATAATGTTCATTTTAACTTTTTTTCAATGAAGTTTCTTTGAAATTCAGTCAGAACCAAGTTTTTTTATTACGCGCGCGTGAAGGAAAAATAAACCAATTCATTTTCTCAAAAAAACTAGAAAATTTTCAAGTTGAAACTTTCAGGGTCTTCATCTTATACTTTTGAAAAATTTTTTTAAAGACAAGATTGTGATCCTCTCAAAGAAACGTTTAATCAAAAAAAATATGAAATTTTTCAAGTTCAAAAAAATAAAAAAATATTTTTCCGAAAGAAAAAAATCCAACTCTTCATTGAAAATCCATTAACAAACCTCGATCCAAAACTGTCTGCCACGAATATGGTCTTCTGAGAGCCCTTGAAGAACAATCGCCACACTGCAACCCACCGAAAACCGAACGATAAATATCAGAACTCTAGTACGCGTTGAGAATTTCAGTCGAGAATCGTTTGGAAGCGTCGCATGATGTCGATATTCCAGAAGAGCCGTTGTAGAGACGATAACGGCGGCGAGTAAAGCCATGGCGATTTGAAGTTGCGCAAATGGAGTGAAGACTTCGTTCAGGAGACCGTAAGAAACATAGCCAAGGACTGGAATGTAGAGGATCGGCCTCATCAGGTCACAAATGCAAACTTGAAGCGCGAATATCCTGAAAAAAATTGGTTTTTTTCAAAGCTTTTTTTGAATTTTTAATTTTTTTGTTGGTTCACCAGATCTAGTTGCAAATAAAAATTCAAAAAAACGACTTCTACAAGTTCCATTTTTTTTGAAAAAAATAAAAAAATTTTTTTATTCCTTTGTGCATTTTATTCAGTTTCTCTATCGAATACCTTCCATAAAAATCTTGTAAAAATAGGAGGTAAAACGGAATATCTTCACAAATTCCAATTTAAAAATAAATTTTCATCTATTTAATATTTGAATAGAACCTCACCAACATTGCTGGTTCAACAGCAGCCATTTGAAAGTCTGGATCGACTTTGGCGACCGGAAAACGATACAATATGAAGTGAGGATAAATAAAAAAGTTTCAATAATCGATAAAATTCTCAACGCAAGAAAATATCCTTCTTTATGATAGGGAGAACACTCCATTTGTCTCAAAATGGCTTTAAAAGAAAGACGAGAGTTGAAATAAGAAGAAAATTTGAGAACGAAAAAAAGTTAATCAGCGGTTAAAAGTAATAGTTTACGCCTTCAAAGAGGAAAGAGCGGAGAACCTATCATTTTTCAATATTTCAGTCTCTTTTCGACGATGACGCAGATTCATCAAGAACTTCCCTTTATCATTATAATATAATGCTCACAGAAATTTTAACGCTATTTTTCCTAAATTTGCACTTGACGAACTGAAGAAGGAATTCGCGATAAGGCCGATTCACGGAAAGAATCGCTAGGCTCGTGAAAAGACCGTGGCTCAGGAAGAAGATCATCAATATATTGTTGAAATCTGGAAAATTTCAATTTTCTTTTAAATAAATGAAGGTGCCGCCATACCTATTGACATTACCCAAGTAACTGAGCTGAAAACTATGTAAAGTGCTGCCTCGGGATATGCAAGCAACAGTGGAGCACATTCCTGGAACAAAAAAGTTCATTAAAAATGGAGAATTCGATAACAACTTGGATGAGAAGAGCACGTAAGAAATTGAGCTGAAGTTGGCGTGTATGATTGGAAATCGTTGAGCGAGGTGAGCGGACCCTTCTGAATGCACAGCAATTGCTTCAAATAGTATAAATAATTACCTGTACGAGTCAACGCCATAAAAAATCATCTCAGATATAGGTATCGCGCCGCAAAGTGCCATAAGGATACTGCCAGTGACGATTCCCTTTATACTCAAGAAAAAGGAGGACATCTCGTCGGTTTCGCTTTTATCCAGTTGACAAGGACCATTCTGAAGTCGGCGTCAAGAAAATATAAGAGAAAAAAAGGGTATAGTCTGTTCACATTTTGAATGTCAAGTCGCTTCTAAAGCTCCGCCCCTAATGGACCGATAAGCCAATGAGAGAGCGAGCCATCCACAGAGCGTTTTCGAATGACGTCATTGTACTTGACATTCAAAATATGAACAAACTATAAATGAATTTTCAAAGCTACTCTGACAAGAGGCTCCAAAAGATCGCCACAGCTCTTCTCTGACACACACTGTTTCGTCGTTATCTAGCAGCGAGAAACCGACGAAATAGTGTACGTCAGAGAAAGAGTTGTGGCGGCCTTTTGGCGCTCTAGTTCAGAGTATACTTTGGTGACTATTCGCAGATGAAAGGGGCCTTTTCGCATTTTTATCCGCTAACCTCCATCCAATACTTTTTTCCTTGCTCCAGTTCATCCGATACTACTTGAAGAGCGATCGCCGCACTGCAACCGGCAAAAAACCGAATGACGAAGATCAGAACCCTCGTACGAGTTGAGAAATTAAGCCGTGAATTGGACGAAAGAGTTGCGTGATGACGATACTCGAAAAGAGCCGTCGTAGAAACGATAACAGCTGCTAGAAGACCCATGGCGACTTGAAATTGAACGAACGGTGTTAACAAGACGTTCATTGCACCGTTAGTACCGAATCCGAAAATTGGGAAAAAGACTACTGGCTTCGCTAAGTCACACACGAAAATTTGAAAGACGAGCATCCTGTAAACATTTTCATAAAAAAACTTTGAAGCTTTTTGAAACTCGCTTATGTTGCTTTTACAACACATTTTTGCATAAAGAATAAATGATATTTTCAAAAATTTATCAAAAAAAAAACAGTCAAAAGAAAAAGTTTTACTCATCCATTTTGAAAAATCAGCTAATCTATCCAATCTGAACCAAAAAAAAAAGACTCACCAACTCTGCTGGTTCATCAACAACCATTTGAACGTTTGCATTGATTTCGGCGATCGAAACACGACGCAATATGAAGTGAGGAAAAACAAAAAAGTTTCAGTGATTGATAAAATCCTCAAAGCGAGAAAATATTCTTCTTTATGATAAGAGAAGCACCCCATTGAGATTTGAATAGCGCAAAAAACAGTTGAAAGATTGAAAAAGAAAAAACCGTGTGTGAGCGAAAAAAATAATCAGCGGTTTGAAGTAAGAGTTTACGCCTTCGAAAAAAAGCACCTGTGAACCCAAGATTAATGCATTTAAAAATGTTTGTCTACACATCTTTCAAACACAAAGAATAATTGAATGCTTTATCTCCATTAAGAAAGAACGCTTACTGAAACTTTCGTGTTATTTCTCATCTTCTTGAAATTGGCGAATCGAAGGATAAAGTCTCGATAAGGCCGATTCACCGAGAGAATCGCGAGACTCGTTAGAAGACCGTGACTAAGGATAAGGACCATCGAAAAATTGTTCAGACCTGAAAATTTCACTCAGATATTTTAGACCTCTTTTTGGGTTTTGCCAACGGGAAGAGGAATTTCAAGAAAGCCCTACTTATTGACATTACCCAGGTGATCGAGCTAAAAAAACAATAAACCACTGGTTCCGGATAGGCGATGAGGATTGGAGCACATTCCTGGGAAAAAAAATATTTTCGCTAAGTGTGACATGTAATTAAACTTGAATAAGAAGAGCGCGTAGAAAGTTGAGTTGATATTGTCTTGTTTGATTGGAAATAATTGAACTGGGCGATTTGATCCGTCTGAAAAAATTCTGGATATAAAAAAAAAACTCATACTTGAATTTTCATTTAACGAAAGAAATTTCTGTGCAAACTAGGCTTTGAGAACTGTTCTCAGCAGTTTTTTTTGAGGGCCTCGAAAAGGGTAAGCTATAGCTGATTCGCGGGTTGCTTGAGCCATCGAAAAAATGTTCTTGACACGATAATGTACGAGATAGCGCCTGCCTCGTGGAGAGCGCAGACAGTACACGCCCCCTTAGCGTCCCAAGCTAGCCGTGAATCAGCTATATCCTTCTGGCCTTTTCTAACCATCTCGTGCGGAATACGCTAAACGTACAAGTATGAGTCGACGCCATAGAAGATCATTTCTATTAAAGGTAAAAGAGCGCAGAGAAAAATGAAGAATAAAACAGTTAGGAGTTCTCTATAGGTGAAGAAAAGGGTAGTACGCGGATCCATCGCACTTTCTTCAAGTTTACAAGGAGCGTTCTGAGATTATAATCTGTTAAATGGAGGGTTTTTTTTTTCACTCGTCGTTTGCACGTATTTTATAAATGGAGTGTTATGGCAAGGGAAGTTCAAACAGTTCGGCTTTGAACTTTTATTTCAATTAAAAACTGCTTAGGTGTATTCTGAAGCACCTATTTACAAGAAACAAATATTCTAACGTTCGCTTTCGAGAAGAGTTCTTGGACCTCAAGCATATCATAAACCATGGTTTTCTCCACTAGAATTGAGTTGTAGGAACTCTTAGAATTTATAACTTGAAATAAAAAGCGGGAAGCGGAAAAAAAAACCTTGCTGTACTGCGCATCAAAATACGCTTCAGGAAATGTTCAATAAAATTTCAAGACCGGACTATTTGAATCTTTCTCTTGAGTTTTTACTGGAAGAAAATTAAACCACCAAAACACCTCACAAATTCGGCCCATGATCAATATTTGATAACTTTCCGAAAATGGTTCAACAAACCTCGATCCAAAACTGCCTGGCCGGTCCCTGCACATTTGAAAATACATGGACCGCAGTCACTGAGTTGCTGCCAATGATAAAACGCAAAATGAATAACAAAACTCGAGTGCGAGTGGAGAAATTGAGCCGCGAATGGGGTGGAAGGGTTGCATGATGACGATATTCGAAAAGAGCTGTTGTAAAAACGATAACAGCGGCGAGTAAGAACATGGCGATTTTAAGTTGTGCGATTGGGGTGAAAACATCGTTCAGTACTCCGTAGGCGCCAAATCCAAGAACTGGAAAGAATACGACCGGTGTCAAAAAGATCACACAGAAAAAAACTTGCAGAGCGAAAAATCCTGCAAAAATATTTAGGGAATGAATGAAATGGAAAAAAAAAGACTCACCAACATTGTTGATTGATCAACAACCATTTGAATGTTTGCATCGATTTTGGCGATCGGAAAATAATGCAATATGAAGTGAAGAGAAATAAAAAGGTTTCAGTAATAGATATAAGTTTCAAAGCGATGAAATATTCATCTTTGTGATACGGCGAGCACTCCATCGAGCTTTGAACTGCTCGAAAACCAGGCAAAAGTTGATAAAAGAAAGAATCGTGAAGCACAGGAAAAAGTTAATCAGCGGTTAGAAGAACAGCTCAAAAAAAAAGTCTATGATTAGTCAGTTAGAATTGTTATTCTACGCTTTTACTTCTCAAAAAAGCAAAGATTGATCCGGAAGAAAAGAATGGTCTAGAGTCTAGACAATTAGGAAGTCATTCTGACCAGTGAGATAGTTAATTTATTCCAGGAAGTCTCGAAATTGGATCTCAAAGTTTCAACTGAAACAAAAGACTGAGAAAAGTTTCAATGAATGAGGAAGTTTTGGAAATTTACTGTAAAGGTTCTTATTTTATAAGAAATGAAGGCTGACATAATGCGTACCTTTTGAATAAAGTTTGCTGCAATATTTTCGAAAAAAGCAGCTGAAAAAGAGCCTACGTTCAAAACTTTACTTAAGGTTGTTTATATTCCTTTACAATTACAACAGAAAATATTATTCTGACGGGAAAATTTATAACATTGAGACAACACCTATAGAAACTTGTATTTTAACTTTTTGTTGGGTTTTATGAACAAAACAATGAAGGAGGAATCCCCTATAAGGTCTATTTACATAATTGAAAATTAACTTTCCAAAACGGGAATTGAAGCAGATGGTTTTTCAATTACGCATTTCTCCTGTTTGCCAGAAAATAGTTCGGACGTTTTTTTTTTTTTGAAATGATAGTAATGGATAAAAGGGAGAGGCTCAAAAAAGATAAAGAAAATTTTGACCGCGCTTAAATTTTAGTGAATTTTTTGGTGAATTATTCGTAGATGAAATATTCCATTTTCGCATTTTCATTCACTAACCTGGATCCAATATTTTTTCTCTCGCTCCAGCTCATCCGATACTAGTTGAAGAGCGATCGCCGCACTGCAACCAGCAAAAAACCGAATGACGAAGATCAGAACTCTCGTACGAGTTGAGAAATTGAGCCGTGAATTGGACGAAAGAGTCGCGTGATGACGATACTCGAAAAGAGCCGTCGTAGAAACAATAACAGCTGCGAGAAGACCCATGGCGCCTTGAAATTCAACGAACGGTGTTAACATGTTGTGTTCGTCTGCACATCTTTTGACGCGATAAAACACAAAGGTTCAAATGCTTCATCAAGAAATGACGCTCATCGAAATTTTCGTGTTATTTCTCATCTTCTTGAAATTGGCGAATCGAAGGATAAAGTCTCGATAAGGTCGATTCACAGAAAGAATCGCGAGACTCGTTAGAAGACCGTGACTAAGGAGAAGAACCATCGAAAAATTGTTTAGACCTGAAAATTCGCTCAGGTGGTTTATAACCCTCTTTTTGGGTTTTCACAGCGAAAAAAGGAACTTTCAATAATCGAAAAAGCCATACTTATTGACATCACCCAGGTGAAGGAGCTAAGAAAAAAATAAAAAACTGGTTCTGGATAGGCGATGAGAACTGGAGCACATTCCTGGAAAAAAAAAATTTATTTTCGCGAATTGTGACACATAATTGAACTTGAATAAGAAGAGCGCGTAGAAAGTTGAGTTGATATTGCCTTGTTTGACTGGAAATTGTTGAACTCGGCGATTTGATCCGTCTGAATAAAATAAAGCATAAGTCGAAAAATACATTTAAAAAACCAAAACTTTCATCTGAATTTTGAGAAATGCTACATATTTGATAAACAGTCAACTAACTTGCCCTAAATTAAATATGCATCAAACGCTTGGTGGCTTTTCTCTGTTTTTGTTTTAAAAATGTGAAAATTTCGCAAAGAATACATTAAACGTACAAATATGAGTCGACGCTATAGAAAATCATTTCCATCCCAGGTAATAGAGCGCAGAGAAAAATGAAGAACAAAACAGTGAGGACTTCTTTATAAGTGAAGAAAAACGTGGTACGCGGGTCCGTTGCACTCTCTTCAATTTTACATGGAGCGTTCTGAGAATATAATATTTTTAATGGAGTGGTATATGGCAAGGGAAGTTCGAACAGTTCGGCTTTATGCTGTTTTTGAAAATCTGTCATGATCTACTCTGAAGCCCCCATAACCCTCATAGATTCGGTCGGTGAGTATTATTCAATAAAATTCCAAAAATAGTTGAAAAAACCTCGATCCAAAACTGTCTGCCCCGTTCCTGCTCATTTGAAAACACATGAATCGCAGTGACTGAGTTGCTGCCAATGATAAAACGCAAAATGAATAACAAAACTCGAGTGCGAGTGGAGAAATTGAGCCGCGAATGGGGTGGAAGGGTTGCATGATGACGATATTCGAAAAGAGCTGTTGTGAAAACGATAACAGCGGCGAGTAAGAACATGGCGATTTTAAGTTGTGCGATTGGGGTGAAAACATCGTTCAGTACTCCGTAGGCGCCAAATCCAAGAACTGGAAAGAATACGACCGGTGTCAAAAGATCACACAGAAAAACTTGCAGAGCGAAAATCCTGCAAAAATATTTAGGGAATGAATGAAATGGAAAAAAAAAGACTCACCAACATTGTTGATTGATCAACAACCATTTGAATGTTTGCATCGATTTTGGCGATCGGAAAATAATGCAATATGAAGTGAAGAGGAATAAAAAGGTTTCAGTTACCGATATAAGTTTCAAAGCGATGAAATATTCATCTTTGTGATACGGCGAGCACTCCATCGAGCTTTGAACTGCTCGAAAACCAGGCAAAAGTTGATAAAAGAAAGAATCGTGAAGCACAGGAAAAAGTTAATCAGCGGTTAGAAGTACAACTCAAAAAGTCTATGATTATTCATTTCAAATTTTTTTGTTTTACCCTTTCACTTCTCAAAAAAAGAGCAAAGATTGATCGAAAGAAAAAGTATGGTCTAGACAATGGTCTTCATTCTGAGTCAATTATTTCAGGGATTTCTCAAAATAGAAAGTTTCAAAGTTTCAACTGGAACAAAAGACTGAGAAAAGTTTCAATGAAACTTTCAGAATTCGTAAAAATTTGAAAATCAAAATCAAATGGAAGTTTCTTTTTTTTTCATGAGAAAGAAAGACTGGCTTGATTAAACTTTTCCCAACATTTCTGATTCGAAAAAAAGCAGCTGGAAGAAAAATCCTACGTTGAAAACTTTACTTAAGTTTGTTGATATTCCTTTGCAATTCTAACAGAAAATATTGTTCGGACGGAAAGATTTATAACATTGAAACAACACCTATAGAAACTTGTATTTTAACTTTTTGTTGGGTTTTATGAACAAAACAATGAAGAAGAAATTCTCGATAAGGTCGATTTATAATAAGAATGGCAAGACTGGCGAAAACGCCGTGGCTTGAGACGAGAAGAACCGCCAGGTTGTTCAAATCTGAAAAAGAGTCAGCTGGTTTTCAATCACACAAACAGAAAAAATGTTTTTTTAAATAAAGATTCATTTCTTCAGAAGCGAAAAGAAAATTTGGCGAATGGGGCAGACTTTTCATACTAGTTCAAAATTGCTTCTTCATCAACCAACCTAAAGACATTATCCAGGTGAGGCAGCTGAAAATGAAATAAAATATTGGTGCAGGATAGGCTATAAGAACTGGAGCACATTCCTGGAATCCCTGAGAATCAAAAATAAACTTTCTCAAACTTGTATGAAAAGTGCGCGTAGAAAATTAAGTTGAAGCTTCCGGGATTGAGTAGAAATCGTTGAGCTTGGCGAGCGGATTCTTCTAAACTTATAATGAATTTTGAAGACTCCGTTATTATATTACTAACAAGTAAGAGTCAATTCCATAGAAGATCATCTCAGCCAAAGGTATAGCGACACAGACGACGAGGACGGACACAGCGTTCAAGGCACCATCGATGGTAAAGAAAAATGTGATGGAAGGGTCGGTTGCACTTTTTTCGAGCCGACATGGGCCGTTCTGAACATGTTCTTTCAATAGAAACCCAGATACTTTATGTAATTTAAATTAAAAATTTTATCGCTCGAAATGAAATATAAAAATCCTCAAATATTTTTTTCTTTTTTTCCCGATTGCCTCCCATCTGATTTGATCCTTTTCACAATCTTTTAGATATACTTTGAGTTGATAATCTCTAAATTCGGACGAAACTTGGAAATTTGTTAAAACGTGAATTCAGCTCCTATTTCCTTGAGGACGATATTTTCTGTGATTTTTCGAGCCTATATAAATATTGTTTTTTTTTTGGTTTCTTGAAAATTTTTGCTTTCACAAATCGTTACTATACAACGAAGGTTCAAAAATAGCGATCTATCGAGAAAATTTAGAAGTTTCATTGAATCGCTACTTTTCAAACCAAATGAAAATTTTTTGAATCATTGCAGGAGAAAGGACTCATTTGAGGACGCCTCAGACTCGTTCAAACTCGAAAAATTATTCGAATTTCAAAATTTTCAACCTCTCGAGTTGTTTTTTACCACCATTCTTTCATTTGAAAGCTGAAAAATTCACTGCGCACACATACCTCGACCCAAAACCGCCTTCCAAGTTCCTGGTCATTTGATAGATTTTGAATCGCAGCAGAAGCGCTGAAAGCAAAGACAAAACGGATGATGAAGCTTAGAACACGAAAACGAGTTGAGAAATTGAGTCGGGAATCGGGTGGAAGAGTTGCATGATGGCGGTACTCGAAAAGAGCTGTTGTTGAGACAAAAACGGCTAGTAATAGAGCTCCAGCTATTTGAAGTTGTGTGAATGGCGTTAGAATATCACTCAGAATACCGTAAGTGCCGTATCCAAGGATTGGGAACAAGACGATCGGTCTCATCATATCGCAAATATAAAGTTGGAGCACGAATATCCTAAAAAACTATTGGAAAATTGAAATTTTCAGACTGTTTATAATTTCTTTCTTCAAAAATAATTCAGAAATTTTGAGACGATTAGTCTGGCCGGGCTGAATAGACAGACAGATTTCTTATCACTTAATACACATTAAAAACCTTAAATAACTTGCGAGAACCTAGAAAAAATTAATTAATGGTCTTTTTCCAACCACTAAATCCACAAAAGTTGACTCTCATCCTCGCGCCCCTATTGCATTAAACCGTGCCGCTGTTGCAGTCAGCCACGCCTACTAACGACAGCTTCCGCCTGTTTGGGAGCCCTTTGGGCTTTTATCTTAAATCATGCAAGACTTCTGTGGCCCCAGAGAATTTCAGAGCACATTGTTTAAATTCGAAATTTTTTCCCTGCTGAACAATTCAAATTTTTTTTTCAACATAAACTGTAAAACCTCACCAACATTGCTGATTGAACAACAACCATTTGAAAGTTTGCATAAAATTTGGCGATCGAAAAACGATACAGTAAGTAGTGAGGATGAATAGAAACGTTTCAATTACTGATATAACCTTTAGAATAAGAAAATATTCCTCTTTATGACACGGAGAACACTCCATCTAGCTCAAAAACCACATAAATCAGTTGAACTTTGAGGAACTTTGAAAGCGTGAGAAAAAGGTTAATCAGCAGGTGCAAACTCTGGAAGTGAATCGCCATAGAACAACAAAGTTCAGATCAAATAAACAATTTATAGAGTGGAGACAACGCCAATTGAAACTTGTACAGTTTTTCGTCTCGTTTTACACGTTATCAGATTGAGGAGGAACTCTCGATAAGGCCGATTTACTAGAAGAACGGCGAGGCTGGCAAATACGCCATGACTTGCAATCAGAAGGATTGCCAGGTTATTTAAATCTGAAAACTTGAATCAAAAAAAGTAAAAGGAAATTGGGCAGGTGCTCTTTGGTAAAGTTCACAACAATGACCTTTCAAAAAGAAAAAGAGCTAACTATTCGAATAAGTGTGAAAATTATCAAAAATAAAGAGCTTCCTAACCAGACTATGATATTGCCCATCGAGAACTTTGAAAAACCACAAAGTGGTCTCTATAGGGATTTAGGGTCTGACCCCCTAGCCCCTAAAGCTCAAGTGGACCCTATAAGGGTCTTTCAATTAAGATTTAAAAAAATTATTTATTCAGTTTTTTCCCCATGGAAATGCTTCTTCTCCTAGAGTTTATTACAAGTATCGATTAGCATGTCCCCTATAGGGACTCCTTTTGCAAGTTTTAGTGGCCCCTATAGAGGTTAGTAAAGTGGTCCCTAGAGGGGACCCTAAGGTTGCCCCCATAGGGGCCTCTGGAGTTCGTAAGCCGTAGCTATTTTTTTTTGTAAAAAACTTGTTTCTGATTTTACACGGTTAAAAATTTGAAAATTCGCACATTTCAAAAACCAATTTCACTCACCTAAATACATAACCCAAGTGAGGCAACTGAAGGAAATATAAAAAACAGGTTCAGGATAGGCTATAAGAACTGGGGCACATTCCTGGAATCTCTGAGAATCTTCAAAAATCAGAAAACCAAACTTGTATAAAAAGAGCGCGTAAAAAATTGATCTGAAGCCGCCTGGATTGACTGGAAATCGTTGAGCTCGGCGAGCGGATTTGTCTGAATCATCAAAAAAATTTTTTTAATTTAACTTTGTATCATTACAAATTTGAGTGTATTCCGTAGAAAATCATCTCAACCAATGGTATCACGGCGCAGGTTACAAGGATGGATACTGCTGTTAGGACACCATCGATAGTGAAGAAAAATGTGACTGAAGGGTCCGTTGAACTTTTATCAAGTTGACATGGAGCGTTCTGAATATTTTATTGAATAGGGGCCTATAAACTTCTTAGAAGTGGAATGAAAACTTTTGAAAAACCATTCAACTCGGGCAAAGTCGGAATGGTGGACAATGCCGATAAAATAAAGAGGCTCAAAAAAAGCAGAAAAAGGCAGCAAAAAGGGTCCCTTCATTTTTTCTGGGATTCCGAAGGTTCAAGAAATAGTAGAAAAAGGGAGAGGCTTTTCAGCCCATCTGAATTTCTCGATTTCAATAAGAGATGAGAAAATATTAATTTTTTTTTGATTTTTTTATATCTCCGCATAGTTCATCTGAACTGGGTTCTTCTCAATTATTCAAATTCTGAAGTTAATAATTTTTCTTGCTACAATTTCTTTAGTCTACCTTGTCAGCAAATTGTCAAACTTCATATAAGATAGATTTTAAAAAAAGCAAATTACATTGAGACCTTGGAACCTAACGTCATATAAACTATGTAACTAGTTCCGCGGCTAGTCCAAAGTTCCCGTCTCAAATTCAATTTCAGCTATGACGAAAACCAATAAATCTTATTGAACCCACGGACCTCGACCCAGAACGGCCTTCCTACTTCCTGATCATTGGACAAGACTTGAATTCCAGCTGCCACACCGCAACCGATGAAGAAACGAAAAATGAAGATTACAACTCGGATACGGGTCGGTAAATTGAGCCGAGAATCGGGTGGAAGAGTTGCATGATGACGGTACTCGAAAAGAGCCGTTGTTGAGACAACAACGGCCAGAAGTAGGGCTGCGGCGAGTTGAAGTTGTGAGAAGGGCGTGAAAACTCCGTTGAGTACACCATATGTTCCATATCCAAGTACTGGGACGAAGATGATCGGTCTCATCAAATCACAAACAAAAATTTGAAGGGCGAACATCCTGAAAAACTGCTTAGGAACTCCAGAGTGGCCCCTCTAGGGGCGGTTGAAACATTCCCTCTAGGGACCACTTTACGCGCCCCTATAGGGGTCACTAAGTCTTGCAAAAGTGGTCCCTATAGGGGACATGCTAATCGATAATTTTTATGAACATGAGAAGCATTCCCATGCGAAAAATAAATAAATAAGCGTTTTTTGAATAAAATTGAGAGATCCCTATAGGGACCATTTGAGCTTTAGGCGCGAAGAGATCGGACCCTAAACCCCTTTAGGGACCGCCCTTGTTGTACCCTTATGGGACCACTTTTACCCCTATAGGGACAACTTTTTCGGCCACTATGGGAGCCTCTCCCTAACCCCTACGGGGATCACTTCTAAAATTTCTAAGGTTTAAATAAGCTCTATAATTACTGACTACTCAATTTTCTTTTTTTTTCACAAGATATCCCACTTTTTCCCTAAAATCTCTTTTCAGATTTTAAAAATTACAAAAAAAAGGAAGAAAAATCGTCACCAGCACTGTTGGTTCAACAGCAGCCATTTGAAAGTCTGCATGAATTTTGGCGACCGGAAAACGATACAATATGAAGTGAGGATGAATAACAAAGTTTCAATAATCGATAAAATCCTCAAAGCAAGAAAATATTCGTCCTTGTGGTACGTGGAACACTCCAACATAGTATAAAAACAATAATAATAATGAGGAAACGCTAGAATGCCAGGTGAATCAGTTTGAGTTTTTTTTTCCAATATTGGAAAAAAAAGTAATCAGCAGGTGCAAGGCTTTGCTCAGAAATAAGAAAAACACCCCCCTAATCATTTCATAAGGTCAGTCTACACACTCCTCTCGCCATAACACGAAAACTTATTGAAAACCTTAGTTACTGGGATTTTTAGTAGCCACCATAGGGTTTTGACGTTTTAGTGGGGACTAAAGTAGTCAAATTAGTGGCCACTGAAGCGGTTCAAATTTAGTGGTCACTATAGAGATCTAAGTGCTACTACTAGACTAATAAAAATTTTACTGACCACTTTAGGGGTCAATGGATCAACGTAACTGGTCCAATCTGTTTGTTTTAAAATTATCAGAGTTACTGGAAGGAATACTGGATGAAAAACTACTGAAGTGGCCACTATAGAGGCGGGTTTAGTGGCCAATTTAGTGTCCTCTCCAAGTAGTCCTTGGCGAGCCTCTATAGTGGCCACTAGAAATTTTCCCAGTAGTTTTAAAAAAAGAAAACGAAATTCGACGATCTTTGCTTCTAATTTCACTCTAGCTAGGTTATAATTTTCGACGAATTTTTCAAAAAGTAGACGACGCGAAATTGAGATGAATATTCTCGAATTTATACATTTTTTTTCCGACACCCTTGCTGGAAATGCCGAAAGCACAGAAGACTTGAATGATCTAAAAAAAAACGGGAACAGGATTTCCTAAATAGTATTTACAAAAAGATTATTTAACCGACTACAGAAAATCCTTAATGGATCCTGAGAGGGACCTAAGGTTACTCTAAAAGCTCTTAATATGATGTGAGAAAGCTTTTGAGCTTCTCGAATATTTTTAGTGGGGCTTTGAGCTCCTTTTCTTAGCCTCAGGACGGTCAAAAGATGCAAAAATAGAAAAAGATCTGCTGGGGACATTTATAAGGTCTTTTTTGATAAAAGCTCGATTTCTTTTCCCCGAGCTACAAAAGGTCTGTCTCTGTGCAAGGAGCTCTCATGTAACGGTAAATCTAAAGGCGCATGCTCAAAGACAGTTCGAGCGTATCGCAGCGAAGGGTTCTGTAGCTTGAAGGGGAAAAATGCAATAAGCTGAAGCGGTAGGGTCCATACAAAACTAATCATTAAATAAAAAAATCTTTAAACCCTTCACAAAGCGACGATATTTCCTTCTCGGGGTTCCGACTAGCTGCCGCATTCTGCGACAAGATCTGAAAAACGAAACAAACAAAGCGCTAATCTTGGAAAAAACTCAACTTGCAAGTCGGCTTTCCTTTGATGTGACCCTGAGAACGACAAAAATTGACGGAAAATGGAATTTCGAAGTTAAAAGTTGACCAAAAAAAGGCTTTGTGGGAAAATTTTAAGTGGCCACTGTAGAGGGTCGTCAAGGGCTACTAGGAGAGGACACTATAGTGGCCACTATTTTCCGTTTTAGTGGCCAATTCAGTAGTTTTTCATCCAGTATTCCTTCCAGTAACTCTGATAATTATAAAACAAACAGATTGGACCAGTTATGTTGATCCATTGACCCCTAAAGTGGCCACTAAAAATTTTATTGGTCTAGTAGTAGCACTTAGACCTCTATAGTGACCACTAATTGTTAACCCCTTAAGTGGCCAATAATTTGACTACTATAGGGGACGTCAAAACCCTATAGTGGTCACTAAAAATATCCCCAGTTGGGTAACATTTCTCCTTTAAAGCCGCGCTCAAAGTGATTCCGCGAAAACCAAAATTAGCTGTCAGATAAAGAAAAAAATAACTTAATTTTTGAAGATTTTTGATATAATTTTTGGATTTCGCGGAAATTTCTTTCGAATCGGCTTGATACTCAAAAACTGTAATGATATTCACAACAATTATTTGTATTAATAAAACCCTTGAAACCTATCGAATCTTGGGGTTTATCTTAGTACTCGGGCAAGGTCGGAATGGTGAATAATGAACGCTAAAAGGGAGAGGCTCAAGAAAGGCTGCAGAAAGGCGTCAAAAAGGCAGCAAAGTTGGTCCCTTTGTCGAGCTCAATATCCAGAGGCTGAGCTGCGCGGGAGCATTATTTAATTCTCTATTTTTTTTATCATACCTATGTTTTCTTAAGCCGGAAACCATGCCTTGAATGATTGTTTTCAATTTTCCTTTATTATTTTTTATTTTTTATTGACTTACTTCTACTTTGAATAAAGTGTAAAGAGCAATTCAAATTCTAGGACGGTTCAAAGAAAATTTATAAAAATCAAGTAAAAACATGGCTTTGAGCCAGAAAAACAATGGAAGTGTGGCGCGTTTTCTTTTTCGTTCTGAAAAATAAAGCTCGTTGGATAAATTCGCGATAATGTCGATTTACAAGAAGGATAGCGATGCCGCCAATAATACCATGGGACATGGCGATGAGGATTGATAAATTGTTGAGGTCTGTAAAAATTCAATGAAAATCAAATGAACAAGGATCCAAAAACTGAGGATATTCTACGGCCACTATAGGGTTTTGACGTTTTAGTGGCCACTATAGTATTCAAATTAGTGGCCACTTAAGGGGTTCAAAATTAGTGGCCACTATAGAGGTCTAATTGCTGCTACCGGACCACTAAAAATTCTAGTGGCCACTTTAGGGGTCAATGGATCAACATAACTGGTCCAATCTGTTTGTTTGAAAATTATCAGAGTTACTGGATGAAAAACTACTGAAGTGGCCACTAGAACAGAAAATAGTGGCCACTATAGAGGTGGGTTTAGTGGCCACTTTAGTGTCCTCTCCAAGTAGTCCTTGGCGAGCCTCTATAGTGGCTACTCTTAGAAAGGCTCAGGAACTACAAATGAAAACGATATCTGGCAGTACCGATCGACGTTATCAACATGACTGAACTGAAGAAAATGTAGAAGACCGGAACTGGATAGGCAATTAAAACTGGTGAGCATTCCTGGGATCAATAGTTGATTTTTCGATTTATCAAAGATTTAAACTTGGATACAAAGGGCCAGTAAGAAACCGTGTTGAATTCGCCTAGTTTGGGGAGAAATCGTGGCGATCGGCGAATGAATTCGTCTGAAAAACTCTATCCATTCTTCAAATTTTAGAATGGTCCCTATAGGGGTTAGAAAGAAAAACTCAATAAAGGCCAAAAAGCGGTCCCTCTAGGGGTTGATAAAGTGGTCCCTAAGATCACCCCTTCAGGGACCACTCTGGAATTCCTAATTCATTCTGTTTGTAAATGAGAATTCTGAAGACGAAAGCTTTCCTTCAAAAAAACTTTGGATGACTCTCAAACTTTTCAAAAAATCCTTTTTATGAGAAAAAACCACTTTCATTACTTCAAAAACGTACCTAAACGAATCGAACACATAGAAAATCATTTCGAAAATGGGAACACCGGCGCAGAAGCACACAACAGTGAGTCCTCTCTTGGCAACGTCTGCGGAGAAGAAAAACACGGTTGATTCGTCGTCTTGAAGTTCCGCTAGCTCGCAAGGTAAAATCTGCAAAAATATAAGGTAAAATTCATTTGTCGTCTAATGGTGTTTTCCAGGCTTGTGTGGCCCGTCAGCCTATCGGACCTTTGGCCAATTTTTAGCCCGAACATGTCCCGCCTAAGCGAGGCCTCAATCAAAAATGGTCGGTCCGGTCCAAAGAGCGCAAACTTTCTTCAAGTTGAATACAGACGATTCACGGCTAGCTTGGGACGCAAAAAGGCGTGGCCTGTCTGCACTCTCCACCAACCAGGGCACTGTCTTGTCTCTTTTCGTGGCAGGACCCTTTTCTCGATGGCTCAAGCCAGCCGTGAATCAGCTATAGCAGACTTTTTCACGATAAAAATCACCTTTTTGGTTCTTCTTTCTTCGAATAAAATTCAACAGAAACTGATTCAACTGGTAAAATTATTTTCTCTATGATAATTGGGAGGTCGGATCAGAAATTTTATTGAGAAACCTGGCCTCACCCAAGCCCAAGACTTCTTTGCGAAAAAGAGACCAAAAGCCCGGGCCGGCCCAACTCAGCCCGCTCAGCCTGGCAATTTTGAGACGAGTTGAGTTGAGTTGTTTTTTTCAAGTATGTCTTTTGGGAAAGAAACTTGATTAAAAGGTTCGTAGAAGGTTTTTAGAAACGAAAAAATGAACATTCGAAAATTTTTGGCGCTCAGAAATCACTTTGAAAACACCATGAAGGTTGTAAACATCGCTTTTTTTTCAATAAATATAGTTTGAAGAACAATTTTGAGTAAAATGGTTTCAATGTAATCATTGACAGCTTTTGAACAGATTTTTAAAAAATTGACATCAACGTGTGTCTCAGGATCTATAGAGGAAATTATAAAAAGAACAAAAAAAAAAGTCGATGAATTATTTTTCAATCTTGAATCAATGCATTTCAAGATTTACCGAAAGTTTTCGGTTTCTGTCGAAAAATTCCAATTTATTGAAAAATCAGCCCACAAACCTTTTCCCAATCCCTCCTCGCCACATTGAGATCCTTCTTCATGAACTGCCAAACTGTTCCCAAATTACAGCCCAAAAGTGCACGAATTATAAATATTACAACACGGGATCGATAAGAAAACTTGATGGGGCAGCCAGGTGGGAGTAGGGCATGATGACGGTACTCGAAAAGCGCTGTAGTGGACACTTCAACGGCTCCGAGGATCACCAGGGCGATATAGAACTGATTGAAAGGGGATAAAAAGTCGTTGAGGATTCCATGAGATTCGAATCCAAGGGCTGGAGCAAGGATAACTGGACGGCCGAGGTCACAGACGTGGACTTGCAGGGCGAACATCCTGAGTAGAAATACTTGAAAATTTATTATTTTCTTTATCAGACAAGATTTTCTTACTCTTATTTTTACTTCAAAATTCTGAATTGACCCATCCTTGTGCAAAGAAAAATAGGCAAAGTCGGAAAGGCTGAGAAAAAGCTCCATAGAAATGTCACTTTTAGGGTGCGAAAGGCTCCTTTTCTGCTCCCTTTTTGCGTCATTTCATCGGCTGTTATACACCATTTTTGTTGCCTTTCCCATTTTTCACCATTTCTTGAGCCTTCAAAATCCCAGAAAAAATGGAAGGCTCAATAAAAGGACTATTTTTGGGGCCTTTTTTTTCCACCATTCCGACTTTGCCCTGGCCGCTTTTTAAGGCATTCCAAGTGCGACTACGCTGTTTAATGTCGGAACTGATAAATTTTCAGAAAGTTTTGATGATAGCTCAAGTTTAAAATTGTCGAAAACATGGTTTTTCATCTTGAAAGGATGTTCTAACAACATAGAACAATGAGTAAAAAAAAAATTGTCTCTTGAAAAATTTTTCCATTTTCTGAAAAACATTTCCATTTCGTATTGAAAGGATGACTACCATATGAAGTTATAAAATTTTTTTAAAAAGTCCTAAAGTCAAGTGAACAAAGAGTCGAAAAACTGGGAAAACTTTCTGTGGCCACTATAGGCTTCTGACGTTTTAGTGGCCGCTATAGTAGTCAAAAAAGTGGCCACTTAAGGGGTTAAAATTAGTGGCCACTATAGAAGTCTCAGGGCTACTACTAGACCAATAAAATTTTTAGTGGCCACTTTAGGGGTCAATGGATCAAGATAAATTGGTCCAATCTGTTTGTATTAGAATTATCAGAGTTACTGGAAGGAATACTGGATGAAAACTACTGAAGTGGCAACTAAACCGGGAAATTGTGGCCACTATAGAGGTGGGTTTAGTGGTCACTTTAGTGTCCTCTCCAAGTAGTCCTTCGCGAGCCTCTATAGTGGCCACTAAAAACTTTCCCAGTTTGTCAAAAAGTTCAGTCAAAGAATATGAAGTTACATTTTTTTTTCCATACGCCGAAAATTAAGTTCGTTCCCCAGTTATGACCAACGCTAAACTTGAAAAAAACGTCACTTCAAAGAAAAAAAAAATTTAAAAATTAAAAATTACAACGCACCAAAGCTGCTGATTCAACAATAGCCATTTGAAGGTCTGCATCGATTTTGGAGATTGAAAAATAATACAATAACTAGTGATAATCAACAAAAAAGTCTCGATAATTGATAAAATATTGAGAGCGACGAAATATTCTTCTTTATGGTACGGAGGGCACTTCATTTGTGGAAAAAATCAGAGAAAAATAAGTATTATTGCAGTTGAACAGCGTTTTACACACTCAGAGAAACAGCAGGTGCAATAGGATTCGTAAAAATGAAATAAAATTAATTTTTTGTGTCCAAGGTTCACCAGACACGTTGATGTCAACTTTCCGATTTTTAAAGAAATCGCCTTGAAATTTCTTCTCTTTGTGAATGAAGCGATCAAAATAAACATATCTTCTGATGTTTTTGGAGTTAAAAGGGATAAAAAGCTTGTTTTTTCAAATTTTACGCTTCTGGCTTTTAATCAAGTTGTAACGCCTGAAACTTTGTACTCTGGAGAAAAAGAAAACTTCAGCTTCTTCTAGGCGTCATAAACAGACTTAAAAAGCGTGAAACTCTTTTTAAAACCCGTGCTCAGGAGACTCTAAAGTACATTCACAGCAAAGTTTCACTAAAATTTCAAACTGTGCCTTTTTGCAATGCCCTTGTAAAATTCAAGAACTTCGGACCACGGCTCTTAGGGTTTTCAGAGTGGCCCATATAGGGTTTAGGGGGAAAAAAGTCTTGATAAGCGTATAACCAAGGTGGTCCCTATAGGGGTTTAGGGTCTGACACCTTAGCCCCTAAAGCTTGAGCGGCCCCTATAGGGGCCTTTCAACTTCTTTCAAAACAAAAAAGCTTGTTTATTTAATTTTTCGCACATGCTTCTTCGCATAGAGTACATAAAATTATCGACTAGCATGCCCCTATAGGGCCACTAACTAAAAACCCCTAAAGGAACCACTTCTGCAAGATTTAGTGGTCCCTAGGGACAAGTTCGATCCCCGCCCCGACCCAACCAAGGGGTTTAAGAAATGTTGGTAGTGGGAAACCACGGCTTCATAATCCCCAGCCGTCACACACAAGGACGGATATGTCACTCGAGCCAGTCCACTGATATCAGGATAGGACCTCGGCTAATCGACTTGGGGCGCCGACGCCGCTCAAGCGGTACAAAGGCGTAGGAAGAAGAAGAAGAGTGGTCCCTAGGGAGGACCCTTCAAGGATCCTTAAGGTTAACCCTATGAGGAACACTCTAGAGCAAACCGAACGTTCCTGAGCAGTTCAAGTGATCACTTAAGAGAACTGAAGCGCGGGACCACTAGGAATGCTCAGAAAAGTCTGGAGCGCGTGGGGTTTGCGTTTCCGAGGTCCGAGATTGTGAATAAACTTGTAAAATGTCAATAGACCGCAGAAATTCATGGTACTCATGGCTTATTTTTTCAACAATGAATCCAACAAAAATTTGAGAAAAAAAATCACTCGGACTTTGATAACGACGTGTCGGAGCATTTCTAGTGACCACTTCAGTAGTGTCAGCACTCTTAAGGGACCCCTAGAACTTCTCAGAAACTTCCACAGCGCGTCCGGTTCGGGTTACCAAGGTTCGAGTCATGCGAAAAAAAAAGAAAGTAAATTGTCCACGGAGCACAAATGCCCCATAACTATGATTTGCTTTTCTCTTCTTCAATTTTGTAAAGAATCAGATATTATTTTTCATTCAGCTCGTGAAGACCCAAGAATTGGGAGAAGCAGTTTTCTTCTTGAAATCTAAATGAAGAAACCGGGATATGACTTCGCGATAAGGCCTATTGACCAATAAAATAACCAGACCCGCCAATATCCCATGAGTCATGAGGATGAAGATCATTAAATTATTGAGATCTGGAATAAATTTTACATTTTCTTTTTGTCGCGATTGAAAATAACTTGGTCGCACGTGGAATGGCTCGAAGGGTCGCGTTCGCGTAGCAACAGGATCTTAAATAGCTTACTATAACGCCTTACGATGGCATCATGCGGAACTCCAGAATGATCCCTTTAGGGGCAATCTTCGGGTCCTCGGAGGGTCACCTTCAGGGACCACTTCACCAAACCCTATAGGGGTTACTAAACTTGCAAAAGGGGTGCGTCTTGGACACATGCTAGTCGATATTTTTTATGAGCTCTACGCGAAGCATTTTCATGCAAAAACTAAAAAAACCTTAGGGGGTGGGGGATCAGAATCTAAATCCCTAGAGGGACCACCTTGATTTTATCCCTATAGGGACAACCTTTTTGGCCCCTAGAGGGTCTTTTTTTTGCCCTTAAACACTATAGCGACCACTTTTTCGGCCCCTATAGGGACTTTTTCTCCTTTAACCCCTATAGAGACCACTCTCAAATTCCTGAGCAAGTAGTTCCGAGAAGTGCGTTGGAAAACAATCGATCCATTCCAAATGCGACCAAAATAGGTTCACTAAAGTTTACCAAGCGTTAATGTAGTTTTGTAGGGGCTGTAGATGACGTAAGCAGCAGGAATAGGATAAGCTATTACCAATGGGGCGCATTCCTTAAGCATCCTTTTTTCCCAAGAAAAAATAATTTCATAGGCAAAGTCGGAAAGGGTAGAAAAAGGCTCCATAAGAATGTTCCTCTTAGGGTGACGAAAGCCCCTATTTTGCTGTCTTTTTGCACCAGTTTTGCAGCCTTTTTGCGGCCTTTTTTAAGCCCTTTTAGCGGCCATTATCAACCATTTCACCATTGAATGATTTTTCAAACCTGGACACACAGAGTCCGCAAAAATTCATAGTGAAATCGCCTCGTTTTCGAGGAAAGTGTGGCGATTGGCGAGCGGATCCTTCTCAAATATTCAAGTTTCACAAACGCGCTCTAACTCTACACCAATTACCTGAACGAGTCGTAAACATAGAAAAAAATTTCTGAAACACTAAATAAGCTGCAGAGACAGAGGGAAACGAGGCCCAGTCCGGCGCTGTTTTTTGTGAGGAAAAATGAAGTAGCCTCGTTCAAATCCTCGCTTCTCAACTTGCATTGAGCGTTCTGAAGAAAAAATACAAAATGATTGAAAGTTTCAAAAAAGATTTGCAATGGAGAGTGTTACGGCAATAATGTGGGGATCAACTCGAAAAAGAAAATTTTTTCTTAGGAACTCTTGTAAAGGGAACCTTAGAAACCACTTTACGAACCCCTATAGGTAGGGGGCGCAAAGCCCCGCCCCTTCACGCCACCAAAATGACGATTTTTTTGTTGCAAAAACGGTTTTGAGGCGTTTATACTAGCTAAAGTCCCACTTTAAAAAAATCAAACTGTTTCTGAAAAACCTATGTAATCGACAACGCTCTACAAGACTGAATATTTTTTTAAAACTATGTATTTTTTTCAAAAAAATAAGCGAAAAAAAGTAAGATTTAACACGAAAAAAACTGACAAGTTTCACAAAAATCGTCGCGTTTCAGAAAAACCAAGTGAGGAACGCTTCTAAATTTTTAGTATGTTATACATTAACACTTTCTTTATTTTTTGAGTGAAAATGAAAAAAATCTACCGACGCGAAAAAAATATTAAAGCTTGTAAAGTGACACCAAACTTTGAAGCTGAAATGCGAAAAAATTTCAGCGACATGGTATACTTTTTTTATTTGATTTAAAAAAACCTAACAGTGTGTCCAAAGAAATAAAAAAATTCAAAATGAAAATAATTATTGGGACAGCGAATCAAATTATATTTGAGTTTTACCAAAACCTCCTTTTTTCGCCTGCCTCGTTGACGCATGAGAGAATAGGATCGCGTCTATACTTTTTTTGATTATGTTATTAAGCGTTCAAAACTCTATCAATGAAAAAAATTATGAAAAAAATCGATCGACGCGAAAAAAATAACGGCTTTGAAAATCCTCGAAAAAAATGGCAATTTTTTTGAAATTTCGGAAGATTTCGTGCAAGTGTCCGTAGCAGTGTTTGCGTCAAACACACCGATGCGCACTTTTAAATGTCGCAGGAGCCGTTTTTTTCGGAGTCAAATTGCACTTTTTTTCCTGTTTTATTTTCGAAATAAACACTATTTTTTTCATTTTTTTCTTTTTCCAAATCGAAATGATAATAATTTTTTTCTGAGTAGAAAAAAAGAAAAAAATAAGCTGAAAAATCCTTTCTGACCTTTTTTTCTAAGTAGTTTTTTTGATATTTTCATCAAAAACTTCTTATGAGAGATTGTACAAAAAGATTCATACCAAAACATGAGGCTCAGTTCTGACAACCTCTCAGAACAGAAAAACCGATTTAAAAACGGTCCAGAAATGCGCAAAAAAACATTTAAAAAGAAAGCGTGCGGCAGCGGGTAAACCGTGAGATTTTACCTCCAGTTGAACGCCGCGCGCGCTCGTTTTTTGGCCATAACTTTTTTCTTAGTGAACCTTTTTTCAAAAACTAAACGGATTATGAAAACTGACAGTCTCCTCTATCGAACAGTGTGAAAAACATATTTTTTGAATCGGTTCGAAGAAATGGCTTGCGGTACCTAGGTAAACCGTGAGATTTTGCCTCCAGTTGTACGCCGCGCGCGCTCGTTTTTTGGCCATAACTTTTTTCTTAGTGAACCTTTTTTCAAAAACTAAACGGATTATGAAAATGGACAGTCTCCCCTATCGAACAATGTGAAAAACATATTTTTTGAATCATTCTGAAGAAATGGCTTGCGGACCCTACCTATAGGGGCCACTAAAGCTTGCAAAATTGGCCCCTACAAGGGTTTTAGTTAGTGGCCCTTACATCTATGTAATCTCTGCGAAAAAGTGAATAAATGAGCGTTTTTGAATGAAACTGAACGACCCCTATGGGGCCACTTTGGGGGCGTATTTGTCAGACCCTGAACCTCTATAGGAACCACCTTGATTTTACCTCTATACAGACTACTTTCCCGGCCCCTAACCCCTATAGGGACCACTCTGTAATTCCTCCTCTTTTCAAATCATAGGGTCTCGAAGAGAATGAATTTTTTTTGATTTCGATAAAGTTCAAAAGGCTTTCCTCAAGGAACGGACCTCAGCCTCCTAAAAAAAATTAAAAAAAAGAATTGAACACTTTCAAAAGTTGCTTCTGTATATAGTCTGTTCAGATTTTGAATGTCAAGTCGCCGCTCAAGCTCCGCCCCCTTATGGTGCGATAAAATAATTAGAGAGCGAGCCATCCACAGAGTGTTTTTGAATGACGTCATTGCACTTGACATTAAAAATCTGAACAGACTATAATTGTTCTCCCAAACCTCCAGCCAAAACTTTTTCGTCTCATTCTGATCGTCTCTGATGAACTGCCAGCCCGTGGCCATGTTACAGGAAAAAGTGGCACGTATCAAACAAATGATAACACGAATTCGTGTGGATAATCTCCATTTGGAGCCGGGTAGAAGAAGGGCGTGGCGGCGATATTCAAAGAGAGCCGTCGTGGAAACTTCCACGGACCCGAATATAGCAAAGGCGAGGTTGAATTGGTTGAGAGGCGAGAGGAAAATGTTCAGAATGCCGTTTGTACTGAACCCCACCACGGGGTTGTAGAATATCGGTCTGACCAGGTCGCAAACGAAAATTTGGAGTGAAAACATACTGTAAAATCCTCTAAAAACATGAATACTCCTGGAAGACCAACGAACCAGACTTGTTGGCTGAAGAGCAGCCATTTGAAGGTCTGTATAATTTTTGGCGAGTGGAAAATGATACAGTAACTAGTGATAGCCGAGATGATAGTCTCAATGATTGAAAGGATTCTCAAGGCGAAAAAATATTCGTCTCTCCGGTAAGGATCGCACAGAGCCATTTTTTTGAAAATAAACAAAAGGGGAGAGCTTTTCGAAAGAAATGTGAAAATGAGTTTTCTTTGCTCGCATGCATGAAAGGTTAGAGTATGAAAGCAGGTGAATAAGCGCTGAGATTGAGAAAAAAAAGGGATCTTGTATTTGTTTGTGTAATGTTTCCTTGATTCTGCCCCAATTCTTGTGACGAAAGACAATAATCAAAGATCGCCCTAATGTATATATTCTAGAAAAAAATGGTTTCGTGAAAATTATTTTCGTGTTAAGGCTTCAGAGCCAAAAAATTGATCATTGAAGTACATTCATTCCCTTCTAAAACTGAGGGACCGAGGAGAAAAAAAAATCCAAAATTCAATTAACCCTGGAGCACACTTTCACACGTCATATCACGGCTATTTTTCACAAGATTTTATGTCATATTCCAATATGGGAAGGTACATTAATGATCTAGTTATATCACAAATGAAAAATTGAAGTCCAAACATCCTAAAAACTCCTCAAAAATATTAGATTTTAGAGTGGTCCCTGAAGGGGCCGAAAAAGTTGTCCCCATAGGGGTTTAGAGTCTGACTTCTGGGCCCCTAAAGCTCAAGTGGACCCTATAGGGTTCTTCCAATTTCACTCAAAAACCGCTTATTTATTCAGATCTTCCCATGAGAATGCTTCTTAGAGTTGATAACAATTATCGATCAACATGTCCCCTATAGGGGCCACTTTTGCAAGCTTTAGTTTCCTATATAATCGTTGGTAAAGTGATCCCTAAAGGGGTTCTCAAAGGGCCTTTAAGATTGCTCCTCTAGGGGCCACTCTGGAGTTCCTAAATCTGCATACCCTTTGCTGATCAGAAAGCAGTCTTTTGAAGATCTGCATAATTTTTTGGCGAGTGACGAATAATACAGTAACTAGAAATAATCAGCAGAAAGGTCTCAATAATCAAAAAAAATTTTCAAATCTTGAAAATACCTCATTTTTGTGATAAGGATCACAATTTTTCAATTAAAAAAATGTATGCAAAAAAAGAGAAAGTTGAAAAACCGAAATTTTATCATTATAGGTTTGAAAGTAATGATTAGGTGGGATGTAAAAAAATCCAGGCCAAAATTAACTAGAGACGTGTGAGGTGTGAGGATCATACTCCATTCATCGTTGACTTGAAAATGAATTGCCAAAAAGTGATATATTTCAAAAAGTTGTGTGAACAGAAAACCCATTAGAAATACGCTACAGAAATGCGTTAAGTTTGATCAAAGCAAAAACTCGTCGCTTTTTACAGTTTAGTGATCCTTATCTTGTAAAATATGAACATTGAGTCAATTTCAGTTAAAGCTCGAAAAAATCTTCAAAAAGTTGTAAGCTAGATAATATATTTTTGAACACATCGAAATTCCAGGCATTGTATTCAATATTATCTTAAGGAAATGGGAGAAGTGTACATTTTCTCAATAGAGTTCACATTCTCACTCACTGCCAAAGTCGGAAGTGCGGAAAACGGGTGCAAAAAGGGAGTGACTGCGAAATGGTCGCTAAAAGGGTCCCTTTTTACGGCCTTCATTGAGCCTTTCATTTTTGGTGGGCCATAAAAGGGCGAAAAAAGGGAGAGGCCGCAAAAAGGGTGAAGAAAGAGTGAGGGTGCAAGAGGGTTCTGAAAATCTCTGCTATTGATGATTTTCGATTTTATTACTGTAGCTTATTTTGGTTCATACACAGTCACTTGTAAAGATTATTCTTAATTCAAAAAAAAAATTGTATTCATAGGCGAAGTCGGAAGGACCCTTCACGGGCCCTTTGAGCGTTCGTTACGGATCCGTCTGTTTCTATTAATTGTTCCTAAACGGGTGGCAAAGGTTTCCTTTTTACTGCCTTTTTGCGTCCTTTCTTCGGCCTTCATCCACCCTTTTTGGACCCTTTTGAGAAATACAATTTTTTTTTTGAATTAAAAATAATCTTTACAAGTGACTGTGTATGAACCAAAATAAGCTACAGTAATAAAATCGGAAATCATCAATACCAGAGACTTTCAGAACCCTTTTGCACCCTCACCCTTTCATCACCCTTTTTGCGGCCTCTCCCTTTATTCGCCCTTTTATGACCCTTTTTAGCCCACCAAGAATGAAAGGCTCAATAAAGGCCGTACAAAGGAACCGATTTAGCGGCCATTTTGCAGTCCCTCCCTTTTTGCACCCGTTTTCCGCACTTCCGGCTTTGCCAGTGTTTCTCAAAAGGGTCCAAAAATGTTGGATAAAGGCCGATGAAAGGACGGAAAAAGGCAGTGAAAAGGAAACCGTTGCCACCCGTTTAGGAACAATTAACGGAAATAGACGGATCCGTAACGAACGCTCAAAGGCACGTGAAGGGTCCCTCCGACTTTGCCTATGCTAATTCCTCGACCAAAGTCGGAATGGTGAATAATGGCCGCTAAAAGGCTCAAAAAAGGCTGCAAAAAAGGCTGCAAAAAGGCATGAGATCCCTGAAGATGGCGCAAAAAGGGAGCCTCCGTCACCCTAAAGGGAACATTTCTATGAAGCCTTTTTCCACCCTTTCGGACTTTGCACATTTCAAACCTTTTTGTCAAGGTAACCTTGTGAAATTGAACAGTAAAATCATGAAAAACTTTCATTTTTCGATTTAATTCAACCGCTGAGAGTGAAAAGTTCGTGTCGGACGTTGCCCCTCTGCGATTTACAGCATAATGAGCCAAAGATTAATTGACGATACGGCTTATTAACTAACAAAATAGCGATTCCGGCAACTATCCCATGGGTTAGTGCAACGAAAATTGATAAATTATTCAAATCTGAAAAAAACTTGTTTTAATTTTTTTAAAAAAACTCCTTCACCGATTGAAATAATCCCGTAAATTGAGCTGAATATCAAATAACAAAGAGATAATGGGTAAGATATAATCACCGGAGCGCATTCCTATAATATTTATCTCAAAATAATCGCTAGAAATCCCGAACCTGGATACAGAGAACTTTCAAAAAATCGTAATGGAGTCGCCGGGTTTGCGGAGAAATCGTGAGAATTGACGATGTTACTCTTCTAAAAGGACTTTTATAAATTTCATTCTTGTTCCATAAGCCATATAACATTCAAAAAAATCAGGTTTAAGATTTAAAAAAATACCATAAAAATTCTTTTAAGCAGAAAAATATACTTGGAAACTACCAAAACCCTAGTTCCAACTTGAAAAAAAGTCACAAAAAAATCCTAGCAAACGGATTGAAATTCCTTACTTTTTCTCTTAAAAAAAGAAAAATAAAAAAAGTTTTTCAAGTTGAGTAAATTTTCCGGTTTACAAAGAAAAAGCATTATAAGTTTGCATACGTACCTAAAACCTCATTTCAATTTCCTCCAAAAATATATCAAAAAAACGACCTGTATCGATTATAAAAAAATTACCTGAATGAATCAATAACGTAGAATAATATTTCTAGAGAAGGTGGTAAAATACAGAAGAGAGTGAAAGTGGCGCCAGTTTTGACCGTCTCGATTTCAAAGAAAAGTGTTGTTGTCCGACTGATTTCTTCTTTCAAGTTCTCACACGGAGAGTTCTAAGATATTTAATTATCTAATTTCCTCGATTTTGCACAGTATAAACAATATTACTGATAAGCGCTCAATAAAATTCCGTTTTATAAATATTTTCGACCATTTTCGCATGTTTCTTTACAAACCTCAATCCAAAAGTTTCTAGCCACTTCCTGATCGTCCAGTATAAATTGCCATGCCGTGCCCATATTACACCCAATAGATGCTCTTATAAGGAATATAATAACACGAATTTTAGTAGAAAATTTCAGTGAAGAGTGGGGAGGGAGTAGAGCATGATGGCGGTATTCGAAAAGAGCCGTCGTGGAAACAATAACAGCTCCGAAAAAAGTTATAGAAAAATAAAACTGATGAAAAGGTGTCCAAAAGGTGTTGAGAAGTCCGTTTGTGCTGAATCCTAGTATAGGAACATACATAACCGGCCTCATCAAATCACAAAGAATTATTTGGAACACGAAAATCCTACAATCTTTCCCCATTAAGTAAAAAAAAATAAGACGAAAAACCAAATCTGTTGATTGAAAAGCAGCCATTTGAAGGTTTGCATGTTTTTGGGCGAGTGCCGAATAATGCAATAACTAGAAATAATCAGCACAAAAGTCTCAATAACGGAACAAATCTTCAGAGCGAGAAAATATTCCTCTCTGTGATATGAATTGCACTGAGACATGCTTATTCTCTAGAAAAAATACTTTAGCAACAAGAATGAAAGTTCTAAAAGTAACCTTTTCCTAATTATGGGTTGCAGGAAATTAGCACGTGCGATTACTCACTTCTCTTGCTTTTATGGAGTTTGAGCAAATTAAATCGCGTGAGATTTAATTTCTTGAGCAAAGTTCGACACACCTTGCTGCGGTCTACTAAAAATCTAAAAAAAAAATAGCAAAAATGCTCCTAAACTATCGATAGTTTAGGAGCATTTTAAAAAACATTTTCAAAAAAGACTACTTTTTAGTGATTTAATGACGAAAAACAGGTTTTTCGAGAAAAGCTCTAATTTCTCTATTTCAATCCTTATTCGAGAAACTTTCTTTGATTTTATCTTATTCTCCATTGTTTAATCAACAGTTCACCGTAGTAATTTTTCAGAAAAAAGCGAGTTTTCAATATTTTGGAGCAAAAAACAGATTTTTCGAAAAATCGCTAATTTTTCACTCTTAAAAAGCTCCCATAAATTGTTCGGGGTTCCATCTCGTTCCCCGTTATGAGATGAACATTTCCACGTACGATATTCTCACCAGGGAATGGTCTCAGCTCACAGTGGGACTTCTGAAAGAGACCATATTTTCTAGGTGTAGTTTTTCACGCTGATTTCAAATCCGTTCTCAAAAGCTGCCACCGAGGTCTGTGAAAAAAGTTATGGACCCTCAAAAGTCGAAAATTTCATAGTCTCCGATCGAGCTCATTTTTAGAGGTTATATAGTCCTTGTTTCCCTTGTCACGATAAACCATCAAATTTTTTCAAAAATTGTTTGTGAGCCAAGATATGAGCTTCCAAAGCCCCGCCGCACACAAGAGAATGCACGCTTGTCGAACACAGAAAAAACGTTTTTTTTTGGCCTACAATCATCCGAACCTGATCATTCCGAACCAAATCCGAACCAAGTGTTCATCCGAACCTAATCATTCCGAACCAATTGAGTATTCATTCCGAACCAATTGAGTAATCATCCGAACCAAAAAGGGAATTTTTCATGTGTTCATTCCGAACCAAAAACATGTTCATTCCGAACCAAAGGTACAGTTCCTTCCGTTGATTTCTCAAATTTTTTTGAACAAAAATTTCTCTTTTTGCAATGATTTGTCATTTTTTTAGATGTACTTCCAAGTCGAGAAAATCTGCCGGCTCATTTTCGAACCATGATGTTCCAAACCAAAATCAGAACCAAGTCTCAGGCGAACCCATTCCAACGCGGACCATCTCATGCTCACTAGAACCAATAGTTTTGAAGCTTCGCCCAACAAATCTTCGGTATAGTCCGTGAATTTAGAACACATCAACAACTGGATTCATCTGTTTTCCTTTTCGTGAATTTTGAACATTTAGAAACTGAACTTTATCAATAATTTTTTCAAGACTGTTCAATTCTTCTGCAATTAAGGTCACCTTTTTTATAGCTCATAGGAGAACAAGATTTTCAGCGGGATTAGATTCCTTCGAATCCACATTGATGAAGTATCGGAGTAAAGAAAACGATGAATGTTGGTCCATCATCAGGAAAAGTGCGAACGGCTCATTAGAAGAGATTTTCCCTTTTCGCATTTCGTCCTGTGTAATATCAGATTTCTCAGGGTAATCATTTTCAATAATTGCAGAGCCCTCTGCAAACCATCAAAAACTGCTATTAATTATTGACAGATAAATTTAACTGTAATTTTTTTCAAAAATCACGATTCGTTTCATTCCAAAAAAAGTTTTCACTCGAAATGGGCCTGCTATACTTTGGGTCCGTAAGTGAGCACTTCATCTTTCGAGCCCGAACCGATCAATAGGTCCCGAAGTTAATGTTTTCGTGAGTGGCTGATCTTTCGAATACGAATTATAAATATATTTTTTTTCTAGAAACTGAGATTTTTAAAAAACCTTTAAAGAAAGTTTCGTTAACTCACGACTGGCTTTAGCCACTGAAAAAACGCTTCCTCGAGTCCCAAGCTAGTCGTGAATCGGTTATACGATCAAGCGAGCTAGTTCTTCGTCATGTTGCGGTTTCATAGTAAATGAGTAGAATCTTACTGTTTTCAGTCTAATTATCATTTTTCATCAATATGTATTGGTTGGGTTGTTTCCTCAAAGAAGAGTTGGCGTTGGCGCGTGGCACTTGGAAGACAGGAAGAATTAGAGCTGCTGACGGGGCACCCCGTGAATTTAAGCAGTCGCTCCGCAGGGTCGGAAAAGGTAACCTCCAAATTATCATGATTTTCACTCATATGAGTGAAAATCAAGCTGAAGTTGGTGAAAAAAAACTAAGAAAAAATGACTCTTTTGATAATGTTACCGTTTCGCGGTGCGGGGCGCCTTTCTTCTATCAGCAGCTCTGGGAAGAGTAAGCTCAAGCAGATTACGAGCCTTCGAACACCTTCATCAAGCTTTGTTGGCGGACTACACCATTTTTATCCGCGACCGGCAATTCAGAGGTAAAAAAAGGATCGTAGTTCAAGTTCATTAAGTTTATTCTCCAAATTTTCTCAATTAAAATTTTACACCATGTTCGAAGTAATTCTCGCGAAATCCGCAATTCTCTTCATCACTAAAAAATTTTTTTATGTTTCCCCCTTTTTCATGAACATTATGAATTTGGCGGGATCAATTTGGACATGGCATAAGAATAGAGCAAAAATAAATGAATAGTTTGAAAAAAATCTCAATTCAAAAAAATAAAAAAATTAAAAATAGAAGGAAAAAAACTGGCTTCAACAAAAGTCTCTGAGATGGCCCAAGAGGCTCTGAAAGCTCTCTAAAAACCGCTAAGAGCCTTTTTTTCCAGCCGAAAAAAATAGGGGAAAAAGGAAGGCGACGAGAACGACATGTTCAGTAAAAACTTGTAGCCGCTATGCAACGAATTTTTTTCCCGCAAGAAGATTTATAAAGTTTATAAAAACTATATCGTTATGAATGAACAAAGGTGAATCGGGAAATCGATACAAGTAGGTACCGGGTAGCGACCGCTAGTGAGGTAGCTACTTATTAGCAGCTTTCATGATACCGGAAAGCAGAGCTGTTCTCAAGTCGGGGCGACCCTGGCCGAGGCCGCCCCGACCCGACCGCGACGCGCCCCGGCCCGCGAAGCGGTTTTCATTCAGGCCCCCGAAGCGAGCGCGAGGATTTTTCCGTTTTTTTGTTTTTTTATTTCGTTTTTTTCATATTGGAAATGAATGTTTAAGTTATTTATGATCCATGAAAAGTTTAATTTTATTGTTTTTTTGATAGAAATCGGGCTTTTTGACTTCACTTTTTTTCGAATCTTTTTTTCGTTTTTTTCTCGTTGTAAATAAAAAAATAATATTTCAAATAGTGGTTTGAATGAATTTTTTTGCGAAAAATGAAATTCTGATGATGTGAAAAATTTCAAATTATTTTTTTATTAATTATTTCGTTTTCTCTGGTTCTGTAAACTGTTCTGGCCACTTAGAAAACTATTGAATTTTTGGATTAATATCTCATTTCCTCGGTTTTTCTTCTTTGTGTGCTCGATAAAAATGTTTTTTTGTTTCACTTTCATTTCAGTGAAACTTGCACTTCTTTCGCTTTCTTATAACTCGCAAAAAACCGGGAGTCAAAAAAAAAATTTGTATCTACGGGTCGACCGAGTTGACCCTTACCAAAGGCCGACCGCGGCCGCCCTCGAACACGCCGCAAATCGGGGCGCCCTCGGTCGACCGGGGCCGCCCCGAGAACAGCTCTGCCGGAAAGCATACAGCGATACCACTCCGGTAGAATCCAAGTACCATAGACATAGTACACGGACGCATACAAACAACCACCGATTAGAATACGCTGATTGATTTCAAAGTTGCTGCCCGGTACAATCTTGTAACGACCTCTCGATCGACCAGTGAACAAGAAAATAAGTTGAAGGGCAAAAAAATGAAATTCTATTTTTTTGCCCCTAAAGTTTTTTTTCTAGAGAAAAATGGGAAAAAAATACGAATCAAAGTTGACAGAAAAATTCACTCTCCACCATTCTATCAATTCAATAGTTAGAAACCTCGAAATTTGAAACACTCAAAGAAAAAAAGAGAACTTTACGTAAAGTCTTATTGTAAATTTAAATTTTTTTAGGCCTATTTTTTTATTTTTTTGAAGAAGGAAAAACCACTCTGAATAAAAATTGAAAAACTTCCTATTTTCTATTTTTGAACTCAAATAGTTAGAAAAACAGGAAAAAACGGTTAAAAATTAAAATTGAATTTCTAATTTTTGGGCCTAAAATTTAAAAAAAAAACGTGAAAAAACATAAATTAATGTGCGAAACATGACCTAGTTTAATATTTAGAAATGTGTCAGTTCATAAAACGGATGTAATGATCAATAAATGTAATACTGTTCAAAAATACATGCCGTGTTCAAAGTAATTTCCGCGAAATGCAAAATGATCTCTGACTCTCCAAAATTTAGTGATATTTTCCTTTCTCTAACGGGTATTTTGCATTTCGCGGAAATTACTTTGAACACGACAACAACGAAAAG